TGGTTGTTGAGATAATAGTGTGTGAACATTCACTCAAAAGTAGTTGTGGTGGTCCAAGTGCATCGGGCGACAAGACTTTTGTCCTCCGACTGTATGGGAGACGAAGCTTACGTTGCAGCGCGTTATTCTTCGCTGTGTGCACGGCTGGTCAACGCGGGGTACATCGTCAGAGTTTGTGTATATCCTGCAGGTGTAACAGTTCAGACTGCCGACTGCAACTGAAGAAGATCGTTGAATTGAAGGCCGTTAGTCCGCATCGAAGCGGTAAAGACGTTGCACGACGGGCCGTAACCTGGGGAAGTGAGGAAGCGCAGTGTGGCTTGTGGGCGGAGCTGCCACCGTGATGAACGGTGGTTGGTCAGCTGGTCTTTATTGTGGTATTCTGGTCTCCAAACTGGCCCACGTACTCGAACTTTCTAAGCCAAATCTTCGAAACCCTCCAAGCTCTATCACGTTGTCTCAGGGCTGTGCCTATCGAGTATCTAGTCTGTTCTTTCCAGTGACAGACCGGAGGCAGTCGCAATCTGCCGTATCTGAGTCCGAACATCATGAATCTCCCTTTTTCCGTTCGTCCACCATTGAACCCTTCCTGGACGTATTTATGACCCTCAGAAGCTTGCTCGACGCTTAGGCGAAGCCTCAGCCTTGTGAACCTTTGCAACAGATGGAAACCCCGGCATCGCCGAAGGAATACTATCTACTTCGGTGCCACTAATTACAGCGTCACCCTTGGCCTCAAAAACCTCTGCGACAGTTGGGAACCCCGGCCAAGCCTTAGTAAGGTCATCCACGTACGTGCCGCTCGTAACCATATCGAACAGTAGTTTGCCCAACTGTTCTGTGTGGTGAAGAAGTCGCACATAGGCATCGATATCAGCCTGATGGTGCTCCTCAGCGACCTTTCTCGACGAGTCGTTCGATATGAGCTCGCCCTGGTGGTATGACTTGTAACGCTGAGGCATCATACCCGAGACTCTGTGGCTTATTTCAGGGTCCATCCAAGTGAGGGTGATGCTGAAGTCCCTCAAATGAGTAAGGTATATACGGAAAGAATCGAAGATATCGTGCCAAAATAGGTCGTTCCAGCTGGAAACAGAATCAGGAAAGTCTTCGCCTGGAATCGGATAAGCTTCGTCGTCGAGGGCCTGTTGTGTCTCGGTATATGCAACGAGAGGACAATCTTCTAGATGAACAGCTGTGAGTGTATCTCCATGTGCAAGAATCCAGCTAATCTGCGCGGCGTGTGAGATTGTCACACAGGTGAGCTCTAGTACCCTCAAGCGAGGATAGTACATGTTCCGAAAGTCCAATTTGGGATAGTAACCGACGTAGTTCTCGAAGGAAAGGCTGAGCACCTTGAGGACATCTTGACTTCGGCCAATCCACTCTCCGATGTTCCTTGTGAACTCATGTGCTCTTGTACTGAGCGAAGAGTCCGGTAACACGTGGTCGTCGTCGGCATCCCAGCCTTCGTCGCAATACCACGCATCGAAGTGCAGAATCAATGTCTTGACTGAGCGCATGCACTGTTTGAACATAGGGTCGCGTGTGATCGGGAGATGCAGCGGTGGCACCATCTCTACCTCAAGCTCTCTGAGCGTCTTCCTTCTTGCGACCTCGAACAACTTGCGTAGAACCTTCAGGGGCGCAGCAAATTCGAAGTCAGACTCATCGTTCTCTTCGTAAAATATGCGACCGAAGTAGGACAAGGACAGACAAATGCCGCGAAGTGCAGGGAACTTGCAGGCGTGCTCAAGAGCAAGTTCGTACTGGTGGACTGTCCAGTCGAGTGGATCAGGTCCTGGCTTTATCGTTGTTAAATGATGTTCAGTGATTTCTAGGTGTGACCTACCAATCGAAGTGCTTCACCTGGTACTATGCGCACGGTGCGAACATGCCGTGCTATCGGTGTCTCTGGTATCTCGGCTTTCGCATGTCTCCAATGCTCGTCGTTGGGCACGTTGGACGTTATGACTCGAAAGCAGGATGATGCAGGGCCGGAGAAGCGTCTGCAGACGCTGCGCACCTTCAATAAATCCCTGTTGTCGAGCTCCTCGAACATCTGAACGAGTATCTCGTCGGGAAACTCGGTGAGTAAGGTCGCCATCTTGTCGATACGGACAGAGAAATAAGTGTGTGTTCGTCTGTGTCTAACCATACAACAGTTGTAGAGATAAACACTGGAGGATGTAGGAAAGAAGCGTATGTAAGCGGTGTTGAACGTAAAGAAATATTTGAGAGGGAAAGAGTGTGTAAGGGTCGCGGAGGAGTAATGTGGGGCGGAATAGCTATGAACCATGGTTCTTCACTTGATTCATACCTACCCTGTGACAAGATGGCCAGGTTTTCTGAGGCAGTCACGACGGGTCTTCACAAGATAGGCAGTCCTAGTATTCGTCAGCACCGTCATTCATACAGTATACTCGTATACACAATCATACACTCACCATACACTCATACTCCATTGCAGGCTGAACCTTTTTCACACTGTGTCAGAGCACGGAGTTGCTATTGCCTGGCTTACAGTGATCGGTGTTGGCGCTGTTTATTCTTGGTTTGATGTTCTTTGGTGGAGTGGTCTACAACAATGTTTGCATTATCATATTCCTGATTGTTCACCCCCTGAGCAACGTCGATGCGGTGTATGGGTCATATACCGATTGTCGCAACAATCACCTGCGAATTATTAATAGCGTGCATAGCAGATCCTTTTCGAAAGATCTAGACGTTGGACGAGATGCTAGGCACGCTGTGGCGTATAGCGCTCATCCAGCCCTTAACATTGTAGGTCGAAGGTAGTCGGTAGTTCGGCAGCTTACCCAGAAAACCCGCCTCTTGCCATTTTCTTGTCTCGCTGAGCGTTGTGGTTGCGGCCCTTGTTGGCTTCTTTGCGTTGTCGAGCAATCTGTGTGCTTTTTTCGTTGGCAGGCCCTGCGACATTGCCGCCACCTCGTCCACCTCCACGTCCACCACGCCCTCGGCCTCTGCCACGTCCTCTGCCGCAGAAGCCTCCTCTTCCTCCATCCCCGCTCCCTTCGTCTCCTGACCCTGCAGGACTGTTCTTCCATGCTGTAGACTGCAACTCCCTCTGTTGGCCGTGGAAAGTGGAGAATTTAGCCTCGAGGCGCCGTAAACGTTTCGGATCGCGCCCAATCATGATGCCCCAACCTTCGATTGCTTCGTCGGTCATACCGGTCTCGCTCTTCAACGCTGCGCGGGCTTTGCCTCGCTTCTTCTCCACATCGCGACCAAACACATCAGGACTCTTGCTGAACGCACGGAAGAGTGCTTCCTCGTTCTTGTTCGACAGATCAGAGTTGGCATCTCCATCCGGCGCGGCAGTGTCGACAGAAGCGCCGACATCTTCAAAGTCGTACGTATCGTCTCGCTCATCATCGTCAGAATCGAAAGCTGCCAATGCGGCAAGGATATGGGATGTCGCGGGTGCTTTGCTGCGATCTGATAGAACCTTGTCTGCTGTGAGATCCTTGTTCTTGCGCCCGATGTGAAGATGTGAGGTGTCGATAGCGAGCTTGTCAAACTCGTCGTCGTCGAAAACGTTACGGCGCTCGGGCAGGTGTTGACTTGACCTGGAAGGGAGATGTGATTGAGGTGCCGAGGATGGTGTGGGTCTAGTAGGGGTGTTAGCTTGTTTTCGATCAACAGGGGCGGATAGACACACAGTTGATCGCTCCGATCAGCGTCTGCGAGATGTGGCGGTAATGAACCGTCCAGTAGGTGGGCGGTGACTTCCTCGATATTGTCATTATACTCGTCCAGCAGCTTCACTACAAAGCCGGCGCCAAGATCCGGAAAGAGGTCTTGTATTTGAGTAATCACGCTCATGCGATGAACATGAACCTCGCCGGTGAAAGCACCGTGCCCATAGTCATCTGCTTCTGCCTTATTCTTGCCTTTGTCGACTTTCCGGCGGACGAGTCGCTTTGGTCGAACAATGCTCGATTGATGGAAGACACTGAGTGATGCTGCAGTATTCCACACTCTCGTTGCTTCAGGAGTAGTAGCCTTGTCTCTAATCTTCTCAAGCAATGGTGTGTTGGTGACCAAATCTGCAACGAGCGTCTTCTTGCCTTGTTCCTTCTTTTGCTCGTGCTCTTCACTGGATTTGAGCGAGTAAAGGTGGTCAGATAGTAAAGAGTAGTTCGGTTTCGCGCCTTCTAGTGTAGCTGTAAGGCCGAAATATGCGGTTGTGACAAGCTTCTTTTGCATTGTCGGTGATACTTTGGGGTAAGCGCTATAGAGAGAATCGAGGAAATCGGATCCAGTGAGCATATAGATGCTCGCGTCTGGTGAGGCTTTTAGAAGTGGCGCTATCCGATTCAAGGTGCTCTCCGCTTCTTCGGGTCGTTTCGAGTCGAGATTCCGTATTAACGATGTCTTTGCTGCCTGCAATGACTTCTCAATTGTCCCACTCATACGCTGCCACAGCGTTTGCAGTAGTCTCCGGAATTGCTCACTCTTTGTGAAAGCATTGCATATGTCTGCCAGTACAGGCCAGTTGAGGAAGGCGTCTTCCACATCTTGCCCAGACCATATCCTGTGGAGTAGCAGGAAAGACTTCTTGCGCAGTGAGACGACCTTTGTTGCAAGGCTGTCATCGCCTGCTAGTTCGTGAAAGAAGGAGATCAGAAAGAACCCGGGCGAATCAACATCCTGCCGCGCAGATGCAAATTGCTGATTATTCAGGCGCAAATAGAGATCTGTCAGCGACGTCCATGAATCCAGGTACAGCTGCCACTCATCTGACTGGATGCTTTGTCGAATTTTGGCGTCTGGGAAGGGCACAAACTGAGGCAGAGACATTGCTGTTCAATTGCGCAACTGTGAGGTAGATCTCTTTGATGTTTATGCGATTTCGTTTTCCCAGTACATGACGACGTCAAGGCCCCACGTCAAAGCAGTCATGATGGCTCATGCTTGCGGAAGCCGCGGTCTTGTCCACTAGCGGTTAGCGTCGCCGCAAATCTTGGCACGGCCACACTACGAAAATTGAATCCCGCGAAGAACATCGAGATGCACGTACGTCGTCGATAAAGCAAAACCACGCCAGTCATCACATTACCGTGATCCCCGCTCGATCCAGGTCGTGACTGCCATTTGATTCAACCAACACCACACTCTACCACCAAGCACCATGTCTTACAGTACGTTACCCCACGCGCGCGCACAATGCGCCTGCTAACAGCGCGCAGACAAGCCTGAGAAGGACTTTGGCGAGGGCCCCAAGATCCACAAGATCCGCATCACCCTCACCTCCCGCAACGTCAAGTCGCTCGAGAAGGTCTGCCAGGAGCTCATCGACCGTGCCAAGAACAAGGAGCTCCGCGTCAAGGGCCCTGTCCGTCTCCCCACCAAGGTCCTCAAGGTCACCACCCGTAAGACCCCTAACGGTGAGGGTTCCAAGACCTGGGACACCTTCGAGATGCGCATCCACAAGCGTAAGTTGCCTTCAGAATTGCACGCTACAACTGTAGACTGACGAAGAGTAGGCCTCATCGACCTCCACGCCCCTACCGAGGTTGTCAAGCAGATCATCATCAACATCGAGGCCGGTGTTGAGGTTGAGGTCACCATCGCCGCATAAGCGCTTAGTTGGGACATGGGAAGAAGTGGAATGGTCTGAACAAAAACGTGGTTATGGTAGCTTAACTGCTGGTTATGAAATGAAATGATTCAGGATCAACACTTGTTGCTCTCATGGCTTGTCGTTATGTTGCGTGAGATGTGTGTGAGGCGAGCCAACGGCCAAAAGAGCCGTAGACCGGGTCTATTGACCTCACATGTCACGCGTATGTGAAGTTAGACCTTCGACCGACCAGAGGGCAATGTGGTCAGCATGATCTGAACTAATGTTAAAGCCACAGGTTTGGGAAGCGAACAATCTACCCAAGCTGACATTGCGGACCTATCAGACGGTTGCGAGATCGCAGAACTACAAAGACGACTTACTGCTGTGACCATTACCAGTCGACCTGTTGTGGAACGTCTGTTGTCCGAAGCCAAGCAAACTTGCTTGATCTGGCCCACGATGCATGGGCTTGATCTCGTGGCTCAGATCAATTCCGTGGCACAGATCGATTCCGTGGCACGATGCAATTCCTTGGTGGAGATATCAAGCTGACGTCTGCATCTGCACAACGTAGGTAATCTCGTCATTGATTTAGATCTTCGCTTGCGCCAGATAGATGCGGGTGATGCTGGGATGACTGGGCATAATCTAGATTGTCACGATTAGGACTCTTGCAGTATCGTGGCAGCGATCGAATTCTGCAGAGGCATAGTCAGATGGTATCATGGACAAAGCTGTCGTGTTCCTTGAGATGCTGTATGAACAATCAACACGCGTCATCGAGCTGTGACCTGGGCGCTGTCACATCTCCGAAACACGAACATGGAGCCTGACTACTCAAGAGAAAGAGAACAAGAAGAGAACGACTATCTCATGAGTGATGAAAGTAGTAATGTGTAGACGGATGAAGACTTTGGGAAGTCGCGAGGAAAACGGCGCTAGCGACACTAGCGTCCGCGTTCTTTCGAGATGCCTTCCTCATTACAGACTCTATACACCTTGACAAAACCACGTTAACGAACTCACACCTGCACAACCAAAGAAATGGCTGATACTGCGCCAACCAAAAGGAAAGCCGAGTCGGATGCACGAGGTGATGGCGATGCCAAGCGATCTAAGGTGAGATCTTTCTAGTGTGCAAGAAGACTGCATCGGGGCGCACAGTCTTAGGCCCAAGATCTCATTGCGCCTATGCAATTTTACCGTGCTGCATGATGCTAATGCTCAATTCCAGGGTAGAAAGAAGTGGGAGATGCCAAGACGAGGAATTGCTGAAGCCCGACAAATCAATCCTGGTGATGTGGGTATTTGGGCAACCTGCGCCATGAAGAAAGAAGCGCCAACTGTTGCGGACCTGCGGGATCTGTTCCAAGGAGTACGTCAATTCTGGATGCATGATCGCGACGCAGCCTTTTTACTCGATATGCAGAGCTGACAGATCCGTAGTACGCTATGAAGCTGTATGGCGAGCAGGCCGCCAACGGAACAGCTGAGGACGATGACTCGAATTTTAGCGGCGATATCGAAGCTGAGATCAACAAAGAGCTTGCCTACATTCGTAAGCCGGCTGTGAAGCCTCTATTCACATCGGTGAAGCTGGATACTCAATGCTGTAAGCGAACTACTCAGTCGTCGTCTGCAGTAAGCGTTAGTCTGACCAAAGCAGTGGTTTTCTTCAAGACACGGGCGCCTGTGGAACCCGTATCATTTGTTCACAAGATTTGCCAAGACACCGCAGACGGTGTCCAGCACAAGAACTGTCGTTTCGTTAAACGTCTCACCCCAATCACAGGCATCGAGAAGGCTAATCAAAAGGGTCTCGAGTCTGTCGCGGAGAAGGTCCTTGCACCGTACTTTCACGGAGAAGAGAACACAGGGAAGAAGGTGAGACCAAGTTTCCGCCATTTGTTGCTGTCAGATGGAGGACCTTGATGCAGGTCGGCTCGCTAACATGCCGTGAAACCACAGTTTGCGATTCGACCAACAATCCGGAATAATAAGGACTTTAAGAGGGACGACGTTATCAAAACAGTCGCGGCTGCAGTAGGCCCAGGTCACAAGGTCGACCTTCATGGGTACGATTTGCTCATCTTCGTGGAAATATACAAGGTACGAGAAAACGCCTACGATCCTGCACACTGGTTACACCTGCGACTAGCTCGATCTTGACAGATACTGACACGGTCCAGAACGTCATTGGTATGAGCGTCGTAGGGCCTGACTTCGATAAGCTCAAACGATACAACATCGAGGAACTTCGTCAGGGACCCTTCGAAAACGCCACAGAAGCGCCAGCACCAGTTGCATCTACTGAAAGTGCATGACTTACATCATGGCCTCAATGACGGGAAGCACTGTTTCGAGAACCTAGCGGCTACCGATTTAGCGAGCTTCGGTCGAGATGTCTGCAGCTGACGACTGAGCTTGCGTTCGAACAGCGTGCATCTCCTATGTCGCAAATCCGAAAACGACAAGATAGCGATCCTTGTACTTTCTAGCGTCCGCTTAGGTTCTGACCCGTCGTGCCGGAACCGAGGCGAGGTTTACATGGGCATGTTCCGGCTCCGCCACGTTCGCAGCTAGACCTGCTATGCGGATGAGCGATGCATAGACATGATCAGGCTTGCCTAGGCGGATGCTTTCCTAGAACGCGGTGAGACGCAGAATGCACATCTGAATCCCGCTTATCCTAGTCATCTCTTGCACGTATACCATGTGCGAACCCTTGCTCTTTAGACGAAGCCCACGCGCTCACTTATCGTTTCTCCAGGTTCCATCGTTCAGTGCCATCATCGAAACGTTGAGTTTCAAGATCGGACTGGCTTTTCTTTATTCGACGTGGCCTATCAGAGCGTGCAATAGCCGACTATTACCTCGGAGGGTCTAACCTAAGGTAGACATCTTTGCCGACGATGAAGACGCCGGTCCAATACCTTTGACGCCTCCCGCACCTTCAACCTTGGTTTCGTCCATGTGGCAAGGCTATTCTTTGCAATTTCGATGCTGGCTTCAAATGTAGCTGCACGCGTAATGTGTCCTTTGAAAGTCTATAGCTAGCCGAATGTGGCTTGCCGGATGCTTTATGATGCGAACGGGGCTTGTACCTCACTCAAATCATTCAGGATTACCAGCATAACGCAATGCGCTGGCAGTAATGCCCGATGAACACGCAATGATCACGACAACGGTCTCCTTGATCCCATACCACCCGGTTTTGCTCGGGTCGATTGGAATCAACCTGCCGCATGTTCCTTTGATCGAAGACATTGCAGCTCATGGAGTCTTCAGCAGCTGCAAAGAGAGAACACTATCGACATCATACATGATCCTGCACAACATAAGAGCTTCTTAAACCAACGGGCCGGCCCTGGCATGCAGCCAGCAAACTTTACTCCAAGCCAGAATCTCGCTAAAGTACCTATCTTACCGTATTCGTTACTCTGACCTAAGCCTTCATAATGCTCCTGCCCCCGCTAGATGTTGCAACATATCCAACATTCAACATGAGTCGTGGAGCCTACGCAAGTCGACCGCCTCGACCATCCTCTATAGTTTCGTCGACATCATCTTCCTCGTCGACCTCGTCACGAACATGCACTGCTTCGCCAGACTTTCCGCGTATACAGAAACTCATCTGTGCTGTCTTCCGGTCCTCGAGGATCACAGTGCAACAAGCAGAACGTTTACAGAGCCGAATCCATCAAGTATACCTGACGAGGCTCGCAGACGATAGTTCGCTCGTACTCAAGTGCCTACCCACAGCAAATGTACGACTTCTCCGCCACGAGAAACACACCCTCGGAACCGAAGTCAAGACGCTAGAAACATTGCACGAATATACCCAACTTCCAGTACCACGGATCATCAAGTATGACAGCCATGGTGGGCATTTTGGCTCGCCCTTCCTCATAATGAGCCACCTTCCAGGACGCAGACTTTCTGAACTATCACCACATCTTACAACTGCCGAGCGAAGCGCAATCGACCGAACGCTGGGCTCCTACGTCCGCAGCTTGACATCACTCTCTGCAACGCAGTTCGGCATGACACACCGAGTCTTCGAGCACAAAGGATGCAAGTCATGGCGAGAGGCATTCCTCGCTCTTCTGGAAGCCGCGTTACGGGACGCTGAAGACATGCTCGTCACAATACCGTACGACAGTGTCCGCTACTATGTCAGTAAACATAGCCACGCCCTGGACGAGGTCACAGAACCGCGGCTAGTCGCCCTTGATGTTTGTAGTCCGGACAACGTACTCATTGATGAGTATACCAAGCGTGTCACTGGCCTCGTCGGTTTCTCAAACGTCATCTGGGGCGATGCACTCATGAACGGAGGCATTGCGAATGGCACTAAAGCGTTCTTTGAAGGCTTTGGCGAGTGCCCTATGCGAACTGGAGGCATTAAGATTAGGATGTTCATGTAGGTCGCCAACCTCCACCCCTCGATTATTGCTGACATGATCAAAGGTACACAATCTATCGCGCAATACTGGCGGTTGTCGCGCATCACTACCGTCCACACACCGGCATGGATGAGCTTGAGGTGCGACGCGAACTCGTATGTGCACTCAACGAACTTGCACGAATGTGAGTGTATGCTCACCTTACGATTCACGTGTATTGGTACGACATTGTATCAGCATTTCGCCTACCCTGGGCCTGGCAAGGAGACCTTCGAAAAAGACGTATCACATGGATCTTAAACGACAGTTTTTTCAGCAACTCTTCAAGAACCGGCAAACCTTCTGCCTTCAGTGCGCATATCTTTTAGAAAAGTCTAGCGAGGGTATTGCATCTGGAAGATACATACAGATCAGAGGCAAACAAACATGTTAGCGATTCAATGATCTATGAAATGCCCCTTCTCTACTCTAGCGGTAGTGTCAAAATTGAAGGCGCTAGTTAGCAACCAGACACATTACATCCGAACCAGCAATTGCTAATTCAGCACAATCTATCAAATCCACTATCCCATGCAGTACAGTCGGTACACGATCCGACTCTCCAACTTTTGCCGAAGACACAAATTATAGTCACAGCCAGATAGCGAACACGACGCGTCCGCACACGTCATCACCGCAATATCCGGACTGAAAGAGCGACTTGTCACATTCCGATATCTCTGACAAGCATTTGACTTGCATCGACGAGGGAAAGCGAGCGTATGCGTGGGTAAACCATGAAGCGCTTACGGCAACTTTAGGCTGATTGCCCTTCGCGACCTCACCGCATCTATATATTTGCGGCGCCATAATCGCTGTACCTTCGTAGCGTCACGCGTGTCGAAGTATGCGGATGCACTGCCTTTCACGTCTTCCTCACCATCTCTCCGTCTCCCCTCCGCTTCTTGAATTGACATTCCTTCCGCATGCAGTCAGCTTAATCCCATCCCTCTATCTGGGCTTGAATGTAATCCACTTGTTGACAATGGGAGACGCAAATGTGATACTCGCCAACCCATGCAACCGTTAGCACCTTATCGCTGCTTTCGCTCATCCCTGTCCTTGCTCCACAGCCCCTGCCACCTTCCAGAACCCTCGGGTTCCGTGCAACTGGTTATCCAATCAAATCCCTTAGAAGCATATTCTTCGCTTCTTTGCTCTGAAAGCGGACTAGTTCATGCAGGGGTGCCTCGACAATGCCGTTGGTGGTGAGATCTAGCAACATTTGAAAAGACGGAGATTCAGCTGGTGAGAATTTCAAGGGATTTGGATGGGGCGCAGCAAGTGGGCCACGGGAGCGGGTCGTTGTGGAGACTGGTAAGGTTACATTTTGTAGCGGGTACGCGCAGTACAAGGACACTAGGGCGAGCGAGAAGGAAGCAAGTGTATATGTACCTATGTACTGCGTTGTAACTTCACTATCTCAAATTCGCATCTGGCATGCGCATGCTGGAAGGAGGGACCAGATACTGGATCTGTCACCCTTAGAGAGGAGGTGTCGAGTGAGTACGAATGACGAGGTCACTGGGTTTGCTGAAGGGTGGACTCGTGGCGCTGCCAGTCACGTGCTCCAGGTAAGTCGTAGTAATTTGCTCGAAGTAGCTAGATATTCGCGTTTTTGAAAAGTATGCCTGAGGCGCATTGAATGTACGGCTCATCTCTGTGCTCATTGAGTATCACGCTTAATACGCAAGTGCAACATCGATATGTATATTACACATTATTTTGTTATCTGCCTATCGAGATGCAGCATCCACCCAGCCAGCGCCTACATGATCTGTGAAACGAACTTTCAACTCACAACGGTTCATCCCCTATCCAGTCCCTTCCTTTATCCGTGTCGCAAGGACACGGTGTATCCTCCATCATGCGACTCCTCTCTTCAAGCTGCCTCCGCAACCTCTTCTCAGCGCTCTCCCGAACAGTGCGCAGAAATCTGTCTGAGCTGGCACATCTGGCCACATAGGACCGTCTTCGAGGCCGTTCACTGTGTACCGTTCTCGTTGAGATCGAGGACTGAGCTGGAGCCGTCTTAGTCAGGGGACTGAGCGGTGGTGTTCTCATCGAAGTCGAAGACTCCGCTGTAGCGCTCCTGGACATAGCATCGTCGAGGACAGGTGGATGATCCCTCGTTGTCCGTGGCTTACGTTGGAGCTCACAGGTCTTCATTCTGACTTTCTCATCCAGGGCCTTTTGCGCTTCCTCCGCGTTAGCTTTGAGCTTCCCTTGTTGGCCAAAGACGGTTTCGAGGTGGCGCCTCATTTGTGCCCCGTAGTAGCTAGGGCGACGCACTGGAGGTGTGAGTGCGTGTTGTCTTTCAACACCCTGAGCGGAACCATGTTTGTATGTCTTAGAGTGGTCCACAACGTCGTCAGGGTTGTAGTCAGAGGTTACGTGTCGTACATTGTGCTCTGTGCTGTGGACAACATCTGGTGGACTGGGCAGGGCAAAGTCGACACGCTGACTTTCGTGGGCGTCTAGCGTTCCGAATCCCTTGTAGAAAGGCCCCGGTACTGATGGATTGTGCTGAGGCCGTCGAATTGGGATAGGTGAGCTTGTTGAGTGTAATCGGTCGCGTGGTGACTTTGCCGCCACATTGGCGTTGGAAGAATCGTGACGCTGGCGCTTCAAGGATCTGCCGCGAACCTCTGGAGAAAGGTCGGGAAGTGAGCTGCACGAAGAACGAGGACTAACAGGCGGCCGGTAAACATCACCCTCATCTTTCTTTGTCTTGGGGCCGAAACTGAAGTCCTTTCTAAATATATCCCACGGCTCCGGATATTCTTGTCGCTTCTTCCTCAGGAGTTTTCGGAGCCACTCGGGAACATCACTGTCCTTCCGCTCTTCCTCCTCCCTGGGTTTTCGTTTTCGTTCCTCTTTCTGTGTCCGCTCTCGTTCTTCTCTCTCACTTCGTAGAGCGTCGGCTTGCGTGAGGTTCCCTACGATACCATCTCGCTTAAACTGTTCTATCAAATATGACACAGGAGGATGTTGGCGGAGTCCATCCCTTTCAGGCTTCTTCTGGATGAACTGCGAATCATTGGAAGACTTGGGGGCAGAATCTGGGGGCGATGATTTAGGTGTGGAATGTAAGTCAAGGTTCTTGAATCGTCCTAGTGTGAATTGTGGCTTTCGCCGTGGTGCCCTATATGACGGTGGTGGTAACCGGTACTTCGGTGGTGGTGAAGGCGAACTTGACGGTGGACACGATGGCCACTTAGGGAACACAGCAGGAGCCCAGATTGGCGATGGAGGTTTCCATGGTCGTCGATCGCCTACCGAGTACCTATCAATGGTTGGTGGGCACTCACGCTCCCAATCACCAATCCGTCGAGCGAGGTCCGTGGGTTGTGTGTGTTGGTCGCAGGGAGTGAATCGCGCTGCAGTGTCGAGGATGCCTGCCCTACGGAAGGCTTCGAACCTGTCATTCGGAGGGCATGGACGTGGTTTTGGAAGCGGTGCCATCGCGCTCTCGACGCGGTCCCAACCCTCTTCTAACTCACCCTGAGTAGTGACCACCGGCCTGTTCATCACTCTCTGATACTGGACTGCTTTCGCAGTGCGGATTTGGTCGTCCAAAGGCATCAGTTTTGTAGGCCGTAGGTGCAGCGAGTGACTTGGTATGCAAAATATAGGGTCCCGGTCTGGAGCTCACAGTCCATCAGAACCGCTCGCGTGGCTCTTGTGGGATTTATAGAACAATGACATGATTGACGTATCTATGCCATGGTTCAGAGTCACATTGCATGATCATCACGGCTTCATCGCTCGCCGAACTAGCCATAGTACGCGTCGACAAAAGCTAAGTCTCGCAATAGCAAGCTCCCGAGCAGGCCAAAGGTCTTATCAATAGCTGGCAGGCTGTTGCAAGGTCGATGGCTAGACAATCGATAGTCCAGATCGAGCCAGGATCCTCATGGAACTGTGCATCGTATCTGACCGGCATCAAGCGAGCTGACAGATGGTAGTGTGTGACGGGCAGTGACGGGTCGTCGTTGGCACGGGCAGGCTGGGAGCTTAACTTTGACACCCGTGATGTTGTGGACTGAACATGGGACCCAAAGCCGATGACGACGGAGACTATCACAGAGTACGGCTTGGCTGACGATGAACTGGTGGTGTGTACCAAAAACAGTAACAGAGCTTGCTTGCTTCACTACGACTTTCGTTAGCAACAGTCTTCAGCGTATTTTCGACACTTGTGTGAAGGCCCTTACCTTTACCATTGCATCTATAGCAAGACAATTCTATGCTCCTTCTTGAGTTGTGGCCATTATGTCTTTGCTGCTTCGTCCACAGGTGGTTGGCTCGACTGTCGCTGAGCCATGGGTACGAAGTGGGGTTGTACCGCTGATGGCGAGGCTCGCCAACTGATCGAGGCCTATTAGGTTCAGGGTCTGGGGTATAAGAAAGCCGTGGTTCGCAGCGGATGTTGCGGATGATCGCATTTGAGACGAGTAAGGTGTCGCTCTGGAGGCTACACTGACGTAATGAAAGCCGTGAGAATAGACCGATGTGGAGAGGTGACGGGAAAGGTGATGCACAATTTGATTGAGTCTTGACGCGTCATGCTGAAGTCAAGAATAGCGGGAGGGACAGAGAAGCGTAGGTGTCGTGATGACACTCGATAGTGGTGACTGCTGCATCGTTGCGGCATTGTTTAGCGCTAGTGGGCAATACAGGTAGGTGCTGCACCATCTTCGCGCCTACATTCAGAAGTCTCACAGCAATACTCGAAGCAAGATCGCAATACAATCACTCAGGACGCATCCCACGCAGCCACAAAGCTTTCCATGTCCCATATCTATGTTCTCAACCTACCCCCAATACCATCCCTTCAAATCGCAGCATCTCTAACAACACTCTCCCAAACCCCCCTCCAATCCGCCTCACCCCCACCGTACCTAGCCTCAAAAGCACCCATCGCCAACCCGCCCAAAAACGGCCTAACAGCCCTATCCACCAGTTCTCCCCTGGCCATATCCAGCACTGCAGCATCCTCCTCCACCTCAAGCGCCTTGATCAGCGTATCCAAGAACAACGTTCTCATTGGCTCACCCTCCGTCTCATTCTGCATCGCAGGCGTGATTAGAGGCGTAGACGATGTCTGAGTGAGTACTTCGTTGATTTCATCTGTGAGCGATAGAAGAGTGGGTGGTGTGGACGGTTTGTAGACAGCGTCGATAGTGTCGGTGAGGAAGAGCCATTCGATGAGCTGGAAGTCGTCTGGGTCGAGGACCACGAGCTCGTCTAGCAGTTTGCAGGCTTGGATTATGCCGGCGTTGTTGTAGTGCTCTTTATTGCTCGCATCTGGCAACAGCGACGATAAGCTGGACGTCAGCTCGCCGTTGACGATGGGCCAAATGGAGGCCAGGTGGATGGGCGATGTTTTCAGGATGACAGAGCGCAGTAGTACGAAGACATCTGCGCGTGTGACTGATGAGGGCGATGACGCTGGTGTTGCTGTGAGAAGCTCGACGATCTTCTCGAGGATTTGCGGGATGTTGGATGTGAACGCGTCTTCTGGACTAGCGAGGATGAGGAGCGAGATTCTCCGTAGTGTGGTTTGTGCTTTGCGGTCAGCTTCCTGTCGTGCAGATGCAGCACCGACGCCAAACATGATGCCTGCTGTTGTCGGTGCGGTCAGCCGTGACAGAAGCTCGGGTACACGCTCCTTGTCGGACTGTGTCCACTGCGACAGAATGGGTAGCCATGCATCCCGTATCAGATCGACGGGTGTGTTGAAGAATTTTGAATCATTGAAGGCATCGTAAATTTCCTTCTTCAGCAGCTTGCTCCCCTGTGCCACCTTTGTCAACTGGTGAAGGAGGTCCAAAGTATTGGTAGACACATTGTCTGGGAATGACTTCGCACGGAAGGTAGGGCCGATGACTGATGTGGATATGTCAGAGACTACCTTTGTGACACGATCGATATCTGCAAGAATGATAGGCAGGCTGGGCACAATGGACGTGAGTATAGCTACAACATCGGAAGCTCTCTTCTGCGCTCGGGTGCTGTTCGTGATCGAGGGTGTCTTTGTGCCCGTTGTGGAATGGTTCGTGTCTTGCGCGTAGCCCATTGGGCGGGTCGTGAATGTCGCTGTCAGGATTCGTGCAAATATATCCTGGCAAAAGTATCAGATAAATGGCTAAAGTAGGGCAAACCAGGACTTACCGCAAGCTCTCTCCTCATCTTTCGCTGCTCACCAAATGTCGTGTTGTCAACTTTCTGACCTATGACAGCGGTGAACTCGAGCAGAGTCGGTAATATTTGTCGATGAGGTAGAGGATTCGCAAGAACGTCGCGCAAGAACATTGTACAATCTTGCCAGATTTCTCCCATGGCATCGTCTTCGAGTGATCTAGTATACTCTACCAGGAATGCAACGAGATCTGTGTCGGACAAATCTGAGGTCAAGGTAGACATACGGTTAGGATCCAGCGCATTCGGATCCGTGCGACTATACACTGCGTTGAAGATCGCTGGAATTGTGAGCTTCGGTCTTGAGCCGTTCAGTACGTTGAGAAGGCCCATAACAGCTGTCTCGTGTGTGTCTTCCTGAGTCGTTTGAGCCCATAACACTACTAGAGTCTCAAGGCACTCCAATGCCTCAGCAGCGAAAAGGTGTTCCAGGATTCGTCTTGCTCGATTGCGCATACGCAGCGATGTGTAGCTGAAGGACGACACCGATGTTGGGTCCTGACGATCTTGTGAAAATCCGCCCCAAGACCAGATGGCGAAACAAATGCGCACGGTATCCTGGAAGCAGAGTAGAACCGTAAGCCTACTATTGGCGGTTGGTGTTCTTGTTTGGTTGGCTTCTGGCGCGAAGACACCGGATACCACGTTGCTGAAAAATCCTTGAGGAGCCTCGGGTGACTTGGTGGCAGAGGCCTGGGTCTCCTGAATCATCAGACGGTCATGTGCCTTAGCCAAGATCTGCTCCAAGCCATTGATCAAAGAAATGAGTGTAGTCTCAGGGGATGTGCCGTCTACTGACTCGTGTCTTGCAAATGTTGTCTTCAGCAGATCGAATGTCCCATTGATCTCTTTGCAGAAGCACTCAACCAGAGGCAGCAGATTCTGGAAGATGGTATCGGCAAACATGGGCAGAACCTCGATAAGGAACTGCACCCAACCATCGAGCACAAGCCGACTGAATGGCGATGAAAATCCAAATTTGAGGCATTCGACTAGTTGGGAAGGCGGAGGAATAGGCGGCGGCGCGAGATCTACAGAGTCTCTGTTCAAAGCTAATGACAGCCTTGATCTCTGAGCGGCATTTTGTGGTGGTTTCAGCTCCTGTGCTTTTTCTTCGGAGGGTTGTATGAGTCGTATACGGAGAGCAGATAGGATTGCACCGAGCAAGAGGCTCTGCAGAGAGGGCACCGCGGTTCTGAGCCTGATCATAAGCGGTACTTCAATTTCCAGGTCCCTCAGAGTTGGGGCGAATGGACTCTGGTAGATCTGCGAGATGATGGAGATAGCTATCCGATGCAGCTCATGGATATGGGGTTCGAGAGTTGCGCCTGCAACACTGGCTTGAATCGATAGGGCACCAAGGCACTTCCGGATTAGCCATTCTTGAAGGGACATTCGATTGGCCAAATTCTTGTCCCATGTAGCAGCTGTCTGTGCGAGTGTTCCCCAGGTGAACTGCGAAGGCCTTTTCAGCATGTAAAAGACGTGTCCTAGATAATACAGGCATTCTCTTGTATCATCTACCGCTCTTGCAGTCTGCATTGACTTAGCATCCTTTTCAGGGCCTAGATTCTCGGTGGCTGCCAAACAATGCAAGGACTGAAGGTGCACTGCCAACACCTCAAAGACTCTGTTAAGAGTAGGAAGGTCGAGGAGCCAACTCTCCATGAAGGTAGATGTCTCTGTACCTTCCTCAGCTAGGGTATCCAGAAGGAGAAGCAGTGGTCTAGTCAGCACTGAATGGAATGTTCCTGGCGAGAGCGTGGGAGCCGGCAAAGCCATTCCACTTGCGCGTCGGGTCACACTGCCACGCTTCTCTGATTGTAGACTCAGCTCGTGCATGGTATGTGTCCAGATTACTGCAAATCGCCGACCGTAGTCTGAGATTGGTGCAGTGCTCGAGCGCAGAATCTGCTTTGCTACAATCGCGGAGATAGCGGCCTCAACCAAGCGACCAGATGGCGAGATAGAGTGCAGCTGCAATATACACAGAGTGGCTTCGACATGGTACTTTGGCATCGTCGGCGACAGATAATGCCACAAGCAGGCAACCAGCTGATGCAAGAGCTCTGACAAGTTCGAAGTCGGGATATACGGTTGCGACGGGCGAGCCACCTGCAATGCCAGAAGTATGCCAGCAATGGCACTCAGGTGAGAGAACGGCACAGTCCTGACAGAATCTGGTGTTGAGAGAGATTCCTTAAGGACGGAAGAGAAGTCGAAATCATCGATAGCGTTCAGATCTTGTATCTTCACAACTAGGTTAGCCAAGATTTTGGAAGGTATCTCTGGCGAGTACGACCACCCATCTGCTTGAAGTGTGGCGAGCATTATGTGTGAAGCCTGTCGCAGAGCGATGCGACCCACTACAACGGGTTCGTAGAGGCGCTCCGCTGATTCTAGGCCAGCCTGGGCGTCTTCGTAGAAGGTTGAGATCTGCTGCAGCACTTGAATCCTCGATGCATCCAGGGTATCGGCCACTGGCTGCTCATTTGAGGCTTGCTCGAACCTCAAGGCTCGATCCGGCACAACCTGAACAAGGGAATCAGCTATCTCAAGAGCCAAGGCAATGACCTCAACATCGATAGCCTGCGGGTTGCGATCTTGGGAGATTTTGCCAAGTGAAGTAAGGGTAGCGACAATCATCAATGGCATATGATGAAGTAGCATATCTTCCTCCTTGAGGTTGAAACGTGCGAGGACGAACTTGGCGAGCTTCATTTGCCGCAATGCCTCTTGCTTCGTGGTTGATCCGTCTAGAGATGAAGTGACAAGATGGGTCAATTTACCCCAGATGAGGCCACTGTCGACGCCATCGAAGAATGCACTGGCGCTTCTCATGACCTCATCCACTTGTTCCTTCGATGCATGCTCGCTGTAAGTCTGAACACTCTGTAGTGCGGGTAAGAACAGCTCAGGGACAATCAAGCCACCAACTTCCCAACGGTCCATGAGTGACAGACAAACTCGAAAAGGTCGTGCGCGCTCAGCGGGAGTTTTTGTGCGACGGTTGATCATCTTCAGCACACTAGTTGTCAACGCAGCCAAACCGTAGCGGGAGAAGTAGGCCGCGTGAACAGTGGAGGGATCTGCCGCCGTGTTGTGTCGTTCCTGAGTGGGCGACTCAGCACCATCGTTGACCTCAGCAGCAGAAGGATCTGGCCCAAGGAACCATGCCCACAGCCTTCGGTTCAAGCTCATATCCCTGCGCGATACTACACCAGCAGCAGCAGCCACGAGGCGCTCGAGGTCTGCTTTGCTGATACGTTGCTGCAGGACAGGAGAATCGAGCGGCAGATGGCTAACGATCAGGTCGAGGAAGCCTCTCTGGATTAGAAGCTGCTGGTCTGAAAGGCCTGATTCGAAGCACCGAATCAACAGTCCTGGTTCTGGATGAACAGCCGCCTCAGCTTCGAGGGGTAAACTTGCATTTTTTGTCCCATTCCTAGAAGCTGGCAGACCAAGCTTGGGAAGTCTGCGAGTCAGAAAGGCAAGTGCACCTTGCCTCCTCGAGGCGTTCGTTATGCTCGCAAGGAAGAAGCACTGCCAGAAATGGGATGCATGCCCGTTGTTGCTTTTCGCATCTGCCATGTCGTTCGTCTGATCTTGAACAGCTGTCCGTAGTCTATCGAGCGCTGACACCATGCGCTCAAAATCCTCGCTCGTCTCATCCTCGAGGCCTGGTAGCAGAGACAGTATGATGGCCTTCAGAGCCGGCCGTAGCGCAGCGCCGTCGAGTTTCAGGATGTGGTTTTCGAAGATCGAGAGGAAGAGTGGGCGCACTGAGAGCGAGGCAAAGGACAGGGTCGTAGCGAGGCCTGGCAGGTAGAGGTTCAGGTCACGGGCAAGGGCATCTTCCTGGGCCAGTGGTCAGCGTCTGCCGACCTGGTTCTTGGACATGTGCATACTTCAATGGTTGTGAAGATGTAAGCATAAACCTCGAGGACTTTCTGGTGAACACCTGAGGGTAATGCTGGATTCAAGCACTGCGCTAATCGCAGTGCGACTGTATCGCTATGTGGAATGACAGGCGTCTCGGAGGGATGCGCTTGCAGGGCCTACACACAACATCGTATAAGCGCGCTGCCATGAGCAGGGTATCGAGGAGCAATTGACCTTCAGCAGGCGGCCCAGGAAAGAGATATAGTCTGCCCATTCCTGCTGCGCTGTGTCCCAGAGGGCAAGCGTTCGTTCGACGCCGAGTGCATATCGCCGGAAGGATTTGTCTTTCTTGTACAAAGCTGGCGCTTAGTCAGCCTGCCCTGCTATGCTATAGTGTTTATATGTCGTGTACCGTCTTCTGCAGCGTTGCGCGATGCTCGTGGTGCTGGTGAAGAGCGCCCAGAGCCTGGTGGTGAGAACAACTGCAGGTTAGCAGTAGGATCAGCGGCCATTCTGTGTCTGGCAAGAGGTCGAGTGTCCGTTCAGCGCGCTATATGCACGGGACATGTCGCTGCAATATGGTGTGCACTTGCTTGTTGCCTGTTGTTGCGCATTTGAGCTCCAACGACACGAAGCATGATCGGCGAATGTGGAACAAAAGCGCCGACATTCGTCATTCACATGCCGATGGATGTGGAAGCAGCGACCGCCACTTCAACACCAGCAGTTACATCCAAATCCGTACTCATGGCCCGACAAACCCCCTGAAAGGCTTCATGGCCCCCCACGCTCGCCATGCAAGATTCTCCCTTGGTACGATGTTTCCACGACGCCTCCAGATGCAGCTAACCATTATCAGGCCGCACAAGGCCACCATCCCCCATATCATGGGGACTGTGATGACCCTATATATGCTGCTCCTCCTCCAGAAGATCCACCGCCTTCCTACGAAGACGCGACCCATTCCTCGACTTCGCCCCTCCTAGTGGGGCCACCCCCAGACTATGGCGCCTTTCAAGCATACGTCGACCCTGATGAGTCTTCTGAGGCCAGCAGCGAGGTAGAAGAGGCAGACCTATCGTTACCAGAACGAATCGGACAGGCTTTTGGTGTGTTTGTGTCCGTGGCTATTCTGTACATATTCTGGAGCATCATCACCTCGCCCGACCCTGACGACTTCCTACACCGCTACGCAACAGCGCTCGCAGCACGCCCCTAGACATCTTTCGACATCGAATCGACGAACTCGCAAGGTTGGACTCCAATCGATATGCTGGACATGGCGTATGGACGGCGAAGAGACTATGGTAGTGAGCGGGCACCAGCGTAATCGTGCTGCATTGATGCCCATGGACGCCGGAGCTCTGCAGACTACGTCAGCTTGAAGAACTCGATGCTATACCGCTATAGAGCAAGCCCTTCTTGTCACGGACGATTGGGTGCAAGCCTGTGGCTGTGCGACAGATAAACAGCTTGCTACGCGACGGTTGGCTACATTACACTGCCTTTCCGTAGGCAACGGGCAGACATGCAATCAATTTCAAAAGAGATGCTGTCGTCATGGAAGAGACTTCAGACATATGCCCAGATAGCATCAGGATCACTTCTCCCGCAATTGCCAAAAAACATGCTCATCGAGACATGGCGCAGTCGACGCTAGTGATCTTCAACCACACAGGCGCAGCACAGCGTGCGCATGTTTCGATCCTTGCCAATGCGCGATCGAAGGCTTGCAGATACTCTTTGCCACTGTCTGTCGTTGGTCGGCCCATCGTTCCTGCTGCTCGCAACACATTGACGCAACTTCGTCAACAACCAACATCTGGCAGCTACAAGTATCACCGAGCGCTTACTGTACACTGCATACTTTGCTCAGCATGCAGTAGAAGTCAGCCCTACCAGGTCACATATACACACCATCCAGCAGTTGCTTGCAGACGCACTCCGTTCTCACGGCGTGTCAGACGCCCGAGGGACGTTGGTTTCTTTAGCGCCTGCGCCACAAACGCCTCGTGAACAGCATCGCGATCAAAGACACCTTCCGACCTCTTGGCTCCTCTCTGCTCACCGAAAGCCTGTCGCGACGATACCATCCTCGCTTTTGAGGCTGCTTTATAACATTTCAGTTCTCGCCACCGCATTGTCGATCTCGGTCACCCCCGAACAGGGATCTGCAGTGCTTGAAAACCGGTCTCGAGACTTAGTGATCGTCAACAGCCGGATTGACCAGCAAGCCGGCACTACTACCCACCACCTTGGGCTTGACTCTCACAGCAGTGCGCGCTATCCCGTAGCTCGGATCCGGATATCTATGCTGCCGCTTTCGGCAAGGCAAATACGATGGTCTACCGTTTTGGGCGTTGCTTAGCACTCCTACCCTTTGTAAGAGTGGGTTTCGCGCCGACTTCCACCACATCCTCTTGACTCTGGGCGAGTGGTAGTGAAGAAGCTAACGTGAGCAATAAATCCACCTACCAGGAGTCTAGGACAAACACTAGCAGGCGCTGTGGCTGTGGCTTTTCGATGTATCCGCGCCAACTCCACTGCATAACAAAGATGCAGGCAGTCATGCATGCAAGAAAGAGCAGCAATCAACAGATGGGAAAGGTGCCCTTGTCCAAGTAAAACCTTTGAATATGAAAATCTCCGCTCGGGCATACTACGCTACGTCTAACGAGGGTATTATAACAAAAGAAACATCTACATCTACCACTTCCCAATATTATCACGCTTGTCGACTTCACTCTACGTCAACAGCCTCAACACCTCCAACACCTTCCAGTGCGTCACCTCTCCATCTTCCACCACCTCCCACCCTTCTTACCATCACCATGCGGCCCCCCCTTCCCAGGCGGTGCGCTCCTTCTCAACCCCCAATACCCCATGCGCCCCTCAACCTCCTTTTCGCCCCTACACTTTGGTTTCGCGTGATCCTTAGCACTTCCCATCGGCCAAATCGGCACAAAACACACCTCTTCATCACCACAAGCCCCGCACTCTTTCCAACTCGTCCAGTTCAACCACTGTACCAGCTCGGCCACGACCTCAACTGCGTGCTCGGCATACACGGTGGAGAAGCTGGAATGCGGGGTGGGAGACGTGGCGATGGATAAAGAGGTCAGGAGGGAGTCGCAGATCCGTGTTGTGACGGTGTGGAGGGCGCGGTGCGCGAGTGGGGGGAGGGAGGCCGGAGGGATGCTGAGGGAGGGGAGGGGTGGGAGGAGTTGTGACACGCAGCGCTGTGTCTCTTTTGACGCATTCCTCGCTGTGCTGTCGATGAAGGGACGGAGCAGGCCCTGCAGATAGACTGCTAACGCTTCTTTGTCTCGTTGGAAAGCCGAGTGTGTGGTGATATGGTGCAATGGCGCGGAGTACCTGGCAACCACCATATCGGCGACGGCCTGCCAATCCCTCCCTTTCCCTTTCTCTTCATCCCAGTCCTTCCCCAAAATCATGGCTGTGACGTCGTCCTTGATCTTGCTCAGATCCGAGGGCGAGACATTCGTAAGCCGCGGCATGCGCACATCAGACTGGACATCATTGTCCCACAGCCCCTTAACCTCCTGCGCATACACACTGACAAACTTCTCATGATCCACCGTCACACGATCGTTTCCGATGCCGTGGTACCGACTCGTAATAGCCTTGATGTACTCCCAGCCGCCTATTGGCCCGTGTCCCTTCTCCCCTCTCGATGTCACGCTAACGATATCCGTCCGTTCAAGATGCTTTTCGAAATCACACAGGATAATCTCGAAGCCGCCTTCAAGACGCAAGATTCCGTCAATGCGGTCTTCCCAGACCGTGGCCGCGAGATCACATAGGCCCTTGGCGCGCGCCATCTCACCACCCATAGGACCACCAACGTCGCCAGTGGTTAGGTTGAGGAGGAGCCGGTCTTGCGTGTCGAGGGTCCCGTTGGATGTCTTGCCGGCGCTGAGGCCATCGATGTAGAGGAGATGGAGTGGATGTTTCGGAGCGTAGGTGTGGAGGTAGCCAACAGCTTCGTTGGTAGAGATAGGCTCTGTGAGGGGCTGTTGGGTTTGTCGCTTCCATGGCCTTTTACGGTCAGATCGCAACTCAATGGACTCGGGGGCGTCGTGGTGGTCGGGGTGGTCTGGCGGAAGGGGATCGTGGTGCTGCGACGGGTCTGAGTGGTGGTCTGGAGGTGGTGGGCGGCGGTGCTCGGGGTTCCATGGACGTTTGGGTTCTTTGTAGGGGCGGTCCTTGCGAGGTGGAGGAGGATAGGGTTTATAGATATGGCCCGGCGGTAGAGGTGGAGGAGGGCCATGTTCACGATGTTTGCGAGGTCCACGTTCGTGATCTGGCGGTGGAGGTCCATGCTCGTGGTGTGGTGGGGGAGGACGACGCTCTGTACCGTTACATGGCTTACGATCGTGAGCTGGCGGTGAAGGTCCCTGTTCATCACCAGGCGGTGGTCGATGGTGTCCATGGTCTTTGTCATCGTGTGGTGGACGCAAGTCTGGTCTGTCATGGTGTTCATCGTGGTGAGTTGGCAGAAGAGGTGGCCCATGTTCATGCTCCGGTCCATGGTCATACCTTAGTGGCGGTCCATGGTGTTTCCAGCCCTCTCCGTCATGCGACATGCCCTCTACACCATGCTCTCTACCATCTGGTGACTCCCCTGGAGGCCCCTCTCCATCCCCAGGCGGAGGTCCTCCTGGTCCTCCTCGCGGTCGCGCAAAGATAAGTGCGTGCTCGGGCTCGAAAGCAAGCCACTGCATTCCCTTTATGAAGTCCGGATCCGAGGTACCATGATACAGTTGTGTTCCCTCAGGCACAGTCGCTAGGAATAGTGACATGCCATTGTGGTTGAGGCTGCCTCCCCATTGGCGCATCGAGGAGTGGATCGCATTGAAGATGTGGTTTGCATTGCAGACTGCGGCATCGCTCGATGTGGCAAGGATGGGGCTGAGAAGCAAAGAAAGTGACAACAAGGAAACGGGCGCTTTGCGATGCATCTTGACCAGGCTGCGAATGAGCGCTGTACGCTACTCACAGGCGTCGAAACGAAACAAAACAACTGCTGGAGGCGATATCGAGAAAAAAACAAAGCAGAAACAGAATGATAGAGGGAAGAAAGTCCAACCTACGTGTGCGTATACGCGGCTCTACGTGGACAAATTTTTCGCGATGTCCTTTCGAGCTTCACTTACGCGGCCTATGGCAAATATGATGGCGAGCGATGCTTAAATAGGCTACTGTCGTCGCACAACCAGATTGATAAGATCGCTGAGATCTATTGACTGATGCGGCCACGAAGCAGTTCCTTTGCTGACTTCCAAATATCCAACCTCACGCATATCGAAGTCACAAGAAAGTTTTCGCATGCTTTCGCATTGGGAGTGAACGAGTGAATGTCCAAGGAGAAGGCATTGTTGTGTGATGTAGTCGGTCCGATTGAGTTGTACAGGCGTGTACACATCCACTCAAGTACGCTCCAAGAAATGCTCAAGAGCGCGTCAAGCGCCAAAGCACGGCTTGCATACCGGCGGCTGTGCCACATACAAGCGCGTACCTTGCATACAAACAAACTTCGAGACGAGGGAGTTGTGCGATGCTTTGTCGGTGTTGGGAGAAGAGTCAGTTCTGTACGCCTCGCCTCGAGAAGACAGCATCGGAAGCTGTTCGGAAACAGCAGGCTGCGCCAGGGGACAATTAATTCCGGGTTAGTTTCCATCACAACAAAGAACTGCTCCGGCGCCCGCGCGCTCTGTGCCGTCTCGTGCCGTCTGTCAGTTTTCAATGCTGTGGCTAAGGCTGCTAGACAGCTGCCTGTGGAGCTTCAATATTGCACCGCTCTGTTGTTGAGTCAGTTCTCGTTCGATAACTTCCAATGGTTCCAGAGCGTAGAAGCTATGGAAGGATTCGACACGCCAACTAGATGCGGGTGTAAGAGCCACCGGTATACGCTGTGACTCGTGGAGATTCTCCTTGGTGTAGTCGAGTCCCGAATATTGCGTGATAGGAGAATTGTTAGCTAGCGATACATTGAAGAAGATGTGGACTTCGCTGTCTTTCGAGCATGAGTGCAAGCAACTCCTGTATGGCCGTGTTCTGGCTCCGAGGGGCGGTCGGAGACGGTGGTCGATAATATGCGACTGGTGCATCATTGGCCATCTTGCGACGTTGAAAGAAATGAAAACCCCTGACAGGTCATACAGACTGCGTGGTCTGTCGTTGGTGTTGCAGATGCGCGTCATTTGATACCGTTGCAGAGGACATTCACATGGGGAGACCCAGTGAATCGCATTCCCTCCCCAAAACTGTTAGGCATCCGGCTAAAGCTCGTGGAAAGCTGCACCCTGCATTTGTGGTCGCGTATAGCACAAGGATCATCGTTCAAAATGGTGTAGGATTTTGGAAATTGCACCCTACCATGGGCCAGGATCAAAGCGCTTGGGAATGTGGAAGGAGACAACGCAAAGTGGGGAGAAGTGGGCGATGGCGCTCGACCGCCTGATGGACCCAACGATCGTCTTCTCAGATTCGCTAATTCACCACGCTAACGCTTAGATTGCCGAGTTAGTCAGTCACGAGCAAGCCCAGGGCCTAGGGGAAAGGAGCAATTGTCAAGAGACGACATGCATGATGCAGGCACTAGAATTGAATATCTGACAGCTGTAACCTAGGCGGTTGGCAAAATCCGCGTTCTTGGTTCTTGACAATTGCACGTGTGTGCTCGGGAAAAGTCGTTGTATGTGGTGAATCTCGCAGCATGATTCCTATTCGGGAATGCATAGCGTAGCGTAACCACTGCTACGGGCCCTGACAACCCCTGGTGACTTTGTGAGTGAATGGTCGGCTGCTGAAGGTCGCGTCAACGGCGCAGTCACAGCGATGGCAGGATTCCCGTCCGGCACAGACGCCGTCAAGCTTAAATTCAAAATCCTCTGCGCAGCCATGCCGCTGTACAGCTTGCTCTTGAAAGTTGCGAGATATTGCTGACCGTTTATGATGTAATTGTGCATCTCAAGTACACAGTACCAACGCGATGCCCCAGCCACCTCAGTGCAAAACAAACACTAGTTTCAGAACAACAAGGAAGAAGATTGGCTATGGGCCCTCACCAAAGCGTGGCACAAATTCGCGGGATGGATCCGTTTGGGCGTTCACCTTGCATGGAAAAGAGTGACCCAAGGGACCTAATCCAACGTAATATTCCTTCCGATGCAGTGCAGAGTAGATCTGACTGTGTTGTTGGTTTGTCTCAGTTCAAAACTGCCCATCTCCCATAGCCACCACCACAGTTACCATGCACTGCCCTCAGTCCATAGTGCAGGTTGTATCCACCAGGCAGTAAGAGGCTCCACGATGCTCGATTACAAAGACCTGCTTCAAGCGGCAAGCGCTTGTGCGCGCGTCTGTGTGTTCTCGTATGATGGCGGGCGGGCCGGCGGTCCCCTTGGTTCGCAGAGCATCTCTGCTTTGACCACCAAAACCGGTGAGCCTAACGGAGCAGCACGCAGCAACATGCAGGCACCACAGAAATACTCACTCGTCAGGGCATCCCTCCACTTGGAGCATGGCATTTGCAGGGTCTCGGCCATTCAGGTGTCGAGTGGAGCTCTTGTCAAGTCAGCTTGTTCGTAGAATTAAGGCCCCCAGCTAGTACTTCGCGGTCTTACACTAAAGACCATAATCGGAAAAGATCGTTCGGCATAGTTAGTTTCGGCATGGATTTTGGCTTTGCGAGTGCCGATAGGGAAAGCATCGTCATGATTGAGAGCGTTCCAAGTTCTGTGCTTGCAAGTGGCACGATATTGATCTGTGAATGTGTCAGGGGAAATGAAACGAAATCGATGTCGGAAGCGACTGAATAGAAAGCGGAATGTCATGACTTGAGCTAGCTATTCTAGGCAGCAGCGCCGCCATATGCATCTATCCACATCTTGTCCCAACAGAGTCTACCAATATATGGGTGTATAATCTCTCCACAAAAGTGATGTGAACGCCGGGTATGCAATGCAAAATGTGCAGCCAGCCGGCGACTGCGGGTATACAATTGAGCGAATGTTGAATGGTGGAAAGCGAGGGTATCTTGAATCGTAAAGGGGCGGTAGACCAGCTACAAGGCGTGATGGTCATCGCGAGGTCGAAAAGTCGCAGTTTTTATCGAACGTATGAGACGGTGCCCAAGCTGGTCCAATGTTGACAGCCAGTCTAGTCGTGCAGGTTGAAACGTAAGATGCACAGCATTGTGCTCAAGGTTCGCTACGATGCTGCCGATGATTTTCGAGAAGCTTTGTGATGTATTCTCTTAACGTGGTCTCTCTGTGGAACATAATTAGCGTGATGTTCAACCAAATGCAGTAAATGAGCAAGTCGTACCATATTATCGACGCGACTGAAGACCCTGTCGCATCCATTCCAGTCGCACAAGACACCGGGGTTGTGCTTCGCCTCGTGTCGTGCCAGGTCTTTCTTGCTTGAGAAACCTCCGCCAGTAGCTTGAGGGCACTCTGCATGCCTACAGAAGAAGTTCTTGCTGTGCCTCTTGTGATGTTTGCGAAGGTCGCAACCCCGAGTGAATACTGCTCTTGATGTGCAACCTGGATAAGCACACGACCAGGTTCCGTTCTTGTTAGGGAAGCCGTAGGCTCGAAGGTCTGGTAAGCTCGGCGACAGTGAGCGGGGTGGTGTTCTTTCTGATGGCGCGCTTGATGGAAATCCTAGTCCACCAGAGGACGAAGCCGAGTGCGATCTTGAGGTTCGTGGTCCAGCGAAAGATTGTGGCAGGAGATTTGTGTCTGGTGCTAGTACAGGACCAGCTGTCATGCTTGTGAATGGAGGGTACGAGTATGACGATACTGACGGCATCTGCATCGCCTGAGACGACCACGGGCTGTGTTGTGGGTACGGAGAGTTCATGACTGGCCTGTAGTGTGGTTGTGTGAAGATGGGTCCGTTGCTGGGTAGGGTCGTGGGTACGGGGTGTATCATTTGGTGGAGTGGTGGTGATGAGTACATAATGCTCGGAGGTGATTGACATGTGCTGAATGGTGACATGGCGCCCATGTTCTCTTCTGGTGCGAGTAGAACCATGTCTACTTCCGGTGAGTAGTATGACATGATCATATAAGCGATGTCGTGTGGGGTTGGTAGGTGTTGGTTGTTGTGACAGCACAGGATGAGGAGAGCTGCCGGTCTTTAGATGGTCACCGACCGAAGTATATGTGGGATGGAAGTCGTGTGAGAGAGGGCCAATGCGTTCAGCGGAATTCTCAGTGAAGTGAGAACGGTCGAGTCTCTAGCACAGACCCAGCATATAGGGAAGTGGATTCCCAGCAGCTAGTCCCGGATGTAGTCTGTGAACGTTTCAGGGGCCTCTCCGCAAAACAAGGCTGAAGCCCTTGGACCTGTCGCAGCAAGTGGCGGGTAGTGGCGGTGTTTGAATGTGGTGCAAGATGGGTCCGTAAGCATGAGCCTTACTGCCACCAAGATAGAAACTGACGGAGACCCGCTAACCAGACTGTAAACGCTGTCCACTGTAGATCTGGGGCGCAGACAGAAGCTTTAACTTTTGCATGTCTGAGAGGTGAGCATCATCTCACCCAGATTGCATGTACTCGATAAATAGAATCAGAGCTAGTCGCGATCATCCAAGTGGGTAAGTTGGCTAACCCTTGTTGCGTTGGCCTCTCAATTCGTTACCGCTCCCAGGTTGCTTCCCGGTTCAGAAGGTGCATAACACGTTCACAAGTGCGGTGGGCGCTCGAGTGCGCCTTGGGGCGGGTGAGTGGTACCAGGCTCTACTCTAGCGCTGGTCTCTCCTGCGGCCTACTAGGGTAGGTCTTCTGGAAGGAAAGCTTCAGTCAGTGAGCATTTCGCTTGGAACAATTCGTTTGCATGTTAACGCCCCTGTCAGCGCACACACCAACAAACCAGAGATGCAGTGTCACCAAAAGCCTCGCCCTCTACTCTGTCGTGAAGGATTTAGTCTCCGAATACAACGTTGTCTGGCATGGTACCCCAGTGCAGCCACTGCCCGTACTAGTCGAACAGTGAGACGACATCAGAGGCGGCTGCACGTGAAGCGTGAGGGGCACCAGCCTCTGCTTCCAGGGCTTCGGCTTTGGAGATGATGGACAGTCGATCGCAGCATGGCGAACGTAGTGTCGGTGTGTGCGGGCGGGTGCAAGCTTGGGCTCTGGGTCGCTAAGTCCGGTCGCATGTCGCGCTGGAATGCCGTGAGCCGGTCAGAAGTGGTTCATCCCCGGTGGAGATTGGGGGTCTGTGCGTGAAGCTAAGAATAGCGCCCAGCAACGAAAGCAGCCCTGCTTCTAACCTCTTCCAGAGCTATCACGTTCTGAGTCAGAGTCGTTTCAACTGTCGCGACATTTTTCAGATTGTGCTCCGTCCCGTTGCTGTCGAGTCTGCCTAGTACTATGCACTTATTCCACCGAAGACCGGCCGTCTCACTGACCTTTCTTGCCGAGACGGCTACCAGCCGTGACGTTGAACGTTGGGACTGCGAATCAACAAACAGTGTGTCAAGTCACAGTTGCTATGCGCAGGGCAGAAAAGAGCGAAGGAAGACACATGGCCAACGAGCTTGTGTCATGCCGGGACGACTACCTCACACCACTTCAGCTGCTAACCCAAAGTTAATGGATATCAAGATCAGAACACGCGTCTACGATCGCTGAGTATCTGAGGAATCAGTGGTACGTTACCGCCCTCTGTGCTGCCGGCTTCACCTTGCAACTATTCGAACTTTCTCTGGATAGCGTGGTTTACCAGTGTCCATGTCAACGTCATTTGTATTGCTTCGAATCATGCATCTAGCGCACTGTGGAATGCAACCCTCCATTAATGAAGACGGGTAGCATTGGCGACAATTAAGCCCACTCTCTGCACGCGCTTGATGCACATGGCTCAAGCGAGTACCTCCTTAAGCGTCTCCCTCATTTCGTTGGGCGCACTGACAAGCAAGTTTGTTGATGTGTGGAGAAGCAGTCGATTGTTGGTCGACATCACGACTTGACAGATCTCTGGAAGTCATTCGCAAAACCCAGTTCTGCAGGTGCTACCATCAACTGCACCTTCTGCGTGCTGAGCTGGCAGGAAGCGTCGCGTAAATTGCATTTCAACACCCGGTAAGCGTCAAAACAAGACAGCAACAGCTATCCTTCACGCAAAATGCCAGCTTTGACTACGTTGTTGGCTCAGTGGTCGCCGGTAACCGCCCTCGAACTTAGCTCTATCCCTGCAGCACGTAGCAACAATCACGTTGAACTGCACCTCAGGCCGGCAGCTGTACCGAACGTTTGAAACGACCACGGAATTTCTGAACCCATCATCATAGTTGGACAGCATACCAGGCCTCCATCTGGACTTGTTTTCCCTCGACTTGATCTTTTCGAAACACCCGACTTAAGCTGCGCGCAATCACTATCACTCCGCATTGATCATTATCGAACTCCATAAGCGACTGCACCGTCCAAGACGCTTTGTCCAACATCTGGACCTCTTACAATGTTCTCCGCAAGTGCCTGCTACGTTTCCACGTCGGAAGAGACCCTGGTGCAATTCATCGTCATCCCTGGTAAGCTACGGCAACTGTGGCGAGCCTCTTCAAGCCACATCAATTCCACTCCATGCCGACTATCGGCGAATGGAATACAGTTCCGTGGAGGAAGCCCCAATCAAAAAAAACACAAAACAGAGAACAAGGCTGGATCAATTTCACATCGAGCTCGAATCGGTCGGACGCAGCTATTGGAGGCCTGATGAAGCTTCAGCCCCAGATATTCGGAGGATCGGAGCCCAAGGCGCAGTCCCTAGCCTCCGGTGGAGCACATCGCCACGGCTCCAAAAGTATCCACGAGCATAATCCACGGAAAAGCAGATCAGCCTTGGTCTGGACGACAGCGGCTTCTCCACCCTTTTGAGAGACTTGTGGCTGCGCCATGCAAGTCTCCACTTCTTGATCAGACAATCGTCAGATATTTCGAGATGAAGGAGCGCTCCGGTAATAGACACTGCGCAGCATGTCAATCTTGGCAGCGACTGATAATTGAGATAATTGTCAATAAACGGTCTTGCTTGACCCTGTCGCTCGACCTTTGGCGGGTCAATAAAGATCACAGGAGCATGAGCTTAGATTCACTAAGAGTTTTGGCAGTCAGACCCACCACCTTGAAGCGCGTCAAACCCACTCTCCGCGAGCCTCATTTCCTCTAGCCGCGACACCATATACTCTGTACCAGATACTCGGGACGTCGAGAAGAAGGATTTGCGCGTCTCCTTCTAGAAAGAATTGCACGACCTCAATCGCAGGTTCACTTTCCTACTAGAGCAGTGGCGAAGGAGCGTTGCTCATCGGAGACTCCGGCCCTCGAGTCCAGAGTCATTCGTTGCGGCTCCAGTACATCCTCCACATCAGCGTCGCGATACGATATTGCTACAACGTTGTTAAAACACGTCGAGACTTGGCACTGGGCTAGACGCTATGCTCGCAGTCTCCACCCACCAATCTGTGCTAAACCGCTTACGAGGCTGTCACAAAGGGAATGAGACCGGGTACACGCGTTGCGAACTGACTATTGAGGTGTCAAGCAGGTCTCAATACACGGCTCACATTCAATGACAACGAAACTTCCGTCGAGCTCGTCGCTACGCATTGCGGTGACGCGACACGAAACACACTTGGTCGAGCAGACACCTTCAGAGGATTCAACATTCTCTGAGCCCCTAGCTCACGATCTAGGAGTCTTCCACTTAGATCAACCATCGAGGAAAGAGTGCTCTCGATTTTCTTCTGTAAGGTTAGCTCCACACGATATGACTGACACCTACAGTCTCCTCGCCATGCTACAATGCTATCGGCGGCAATCCTCTCTTGCTCGAGTACAAACCGCAACGAGACGAGTTTACATCTCGCTTTTCCAGATACTACGCTATACCTTAAACATAACAGGTATACTCCCATAATTCGTTATTCCGCCATCATCGCGTTCTTCTGCCCATCGTAGATACTAAAGCAACAGTAGCACCGCAGGTGATGACACCAGTCACGCTCGATCACTGCGCTCAATGTGCCGTAGTACGTCCTTACTGTGTTTGAATGTCTGATCGTACGGTCTATCGCTAATGATAGTCATGGTATGACAGAAGTTTTCTTCTGAGCCTACCCGTCTCGCCAACGAAGTAGATATTTATGACTACAAATGGTGGCTGACGGCTGGTAGTCCTTTGACGGACTTGGTAAACGCGAAGTTACATGATATGTGGCTCTTCCTGCTTGCATTGACTACTCATGTTGATGCATCTGTACTTAGTATACGAACTAACCCAAGGTGTCTCAGGTGCGCAAGGCTCGTCCTTAATCACTAACATGTACACAGTGTCCATACCGCTCCCCTCTTCGTAGCTACCTGACACCAGAATTACGAAAACTTCAATCAACCTCGACCCACCATGTCCTTTCTGGCGAGATGGGTGCTGCTCTGTTAGCTAACCTCCGGCTGCTCCTCAAACGACCCTTCTCCCCTTGTAGGGCACAATTACTGCAGTAGCCGTGTTTGCAGCTGATGATATCAGCCACGTGCGATACCCGGCTTGAGCGTTGGGAGGAACATACTGGTCGCATACAGCCAATTGATCCTCCAATCTTTTCGCGTTTTCTTTCACTTCCTCGCGTTTGTTGCGCAGTTTCTCGCTCTTATTTCCTGCACGGATCAGATCGACTCTCAGTGAGACCGCAAGGTCCGATTGGAGTTTCACGTGTCTTGTTGTGGTAGCGAGCTGGCTTCTGATGGACGCATTCTCGTTGATGACAGTGGTGTATTTGCCGCTCAGAGCGTTGCCCTCTTCTGTCATCTTTTTCAGGTCTGTTTGAGTCTTGGCCACATTCCTTTCAATCATGGTGTGCTTTGCGATGAGATCGTTATGCTCCTGAGCAAGGTTGTTGTAGTCTTCAATCGTCTTGTCAAGCTGCTGAGCTGTGTCCTCATGTTGCCACGGCTTCTTGCGCTTGCGCTGCAAATCCTTCGACCACTCAAAGAGGAAGACTTTCGGCAGTTCGTCTGACGTGTTACTGTTGAAGATGAAGCCAGCACCATAGTCGGTGTATAGTTGAACAAGAAGCTGACGAACTGAATTCTTGTCGGGCGTACCGTCGTAGATGACCTGGACAGAAACGACGCTCGGGCAGCCCAGTAGCACGCGATTTTGTTCTTCTGCGGGGTAAGAAATCGCTGCAAGGGTCAGGTCTTTGGTCCTCTGGTCTAGCAGCCTCTCTGCGAGAACGTAGAGCATGCTGACATCAATATACTACCTAGACAATGCGCCTACTGGGTTACTCTCGTTGTCCTTGCTGACATTAACAACTAACTCTTTTGTCTGGAAAGGGTCAGTCGTATGAACACCAAGACATTCTGCGACGGCTTGATTGAGAAGCCTCGAATACAGTGAGAAGGTCTCAGGCTCAGTATCAGGCAGTGGTACACTGCGCTCCTCTGATTCCTTCCGCTATCCCATCAAAACTTTCTAGAAAAAAGGCACTGCGCGGACAGATCAGACCGTGATGGAAACAAAATTCTTTGACATCAGGCTTCGAGCTCACCGCGACGCGGATCATCGGCGAGGTAAGATGTCTACACTGTTATTCGCGCCGCACACGGGTTTGGTGTCGTACTTGGTCATAATGGCTAGCTACAGGCAGCAACGCATTTTGGCATCGTTCGGTTGAGGCCATGTTGTGATGTGGAGTGGTTGTCATGTTCACGAGCGACAGGCGGAGAGAAAGTTCATGGTAGGGGTGGACTTGTTGCTTTCACTTTGGCGTCACGCGAACGCCGTGGTCAAATCTCAAACAGTCCTTCACCTTCTGTGCAAAACAATTTGAGCTTGACACTTTCATAATCGTTTTAGTCTGACATTGCTGCGAAACAGATTGCAATGTCCTTTGTTACGATTGATGCGCACCGCAACTTCACTTAGTAGACACGTGAGAGAATCCAGTCGCTACGTGAGGGGCTTCTAGGTTTCAGTGTACAGAGGCAAGGGTGTACCTCTTCATAACAGAGAAAGGTTCTGTAATCTTGAAATGTTGTATCCATGCTTTGGCTGAGAGTATGTAAGAGTGACCCTAACTTCCAAGAAACAGCCCTGCACGCTGATTGCGGTGATAAAGGAAGCACCTGTGTTGATGACGGCGAAAAGTATCATTGGAAGCGAAGGCATCATCATGTGGAGCGATATTTCCAATAAGCCGACACGTAGTAAGATAGCGTGAGAGTAGCCGGGAGCCCCCGTCTCGTGCCAAAGGTCTCACGAAGGACAAGGACAGTGCAAGTTTCGATGCAACAAAGATGATACAACATAGCCTACAAAACCTCTACCTAGTATACCCCGAGAAGCCCGCACTTCGCGGCGAACCCCCTGCGCTACTTTCACTCGAACTATTGACGCCCCTTGGACCTCGCCTCCTAGGTGCTTTGATGAGCCTATCCAGATCCTCCGCATTCCTCACTACGATATTGAGGTAAACTCCCTGAATATCCCTATCGTTCAGTCGATCTTTGTCTTGCAGCGCACTCAGACAGAAGAATACCATGTCACCTAAGTACGGGTTGCACACCATGTCCACATCAGCCGCGATGTCGTGGGCGTCACGTTCGCGCGTAATACCTCGTTCGTCGTCCATGTGGATTTTGATGCTGTCGGTTCTGGGGTCGAAGTCGATGTATGAGATTGCAGTCTTCAGGCAGAGCTCTGTGATGACAAGACCGATGCGGAATATGTGCGCATGTGTTGACAAGTCACGAGGTCCTCGGTATCGGTCCCGGTTGGCTTTGAGACAACCTTCCAGCGAGCGAGTTGTTGAATCATCCCCGGGTGTTGCAGTGAGCATACTGATCCACTGCCCATCGAGGGTTCGGCGCCAACGCACATTCTGGCTGTCGAGAAACCGTAGCCACTGGCTCCCGATTAGGCGAAGGCAGCTTTGGGCAATTCCGCTTGCGAGGGCATTTTGGTCCTGCTGGTACAGAGTTTGTGAGTCTAAGCGGGCGTTTTGGTTGGAGAACATGGTGGACAGCGGGTCTTTGAACTCAAGTGCGCTGAGTAGCGGGACGGGCGGTATAGTGAGTTCGAAGCCATCGGTACTGCTGGAGGGCTTCACCACGCATGGTTCATACTCGTTTCGTGTCCGAGTCAACTTGGGGACAGCAGAAGCCAGCTGGCGCGGTACGGGCTTGGTAGCCGTAATCCTGACAGGTCGGACAAGAAATTCGTGTGTTTTGCTGCCCAAGGGTAAAAGAAAAGCGAAATCTTTTCGGTGTATCCGTGGTACAGAAAGGCCAATATGAATCTTGTTGCCTGTATCCGATGCGCGATGGAGCAGTTCTGCATCTTGTTGCGCGGCGAGTGTTTCAGATACCTTCCCTTTCACAGCAGCTGCCCTCTCGTCCCCAAGCCTCAGGATGAACTTGCGCCCAGGTAAGCGTCTGATCTCCGAGAAAATATCCGGGTGTTCTCTCTCAAGGTAGTAGTTGGTATGACTTTCTAGGGCCCTCAAAGTGACCTCCAGTCGTCGAAGACTCTTTTCCATGTTCTCAGCTCGGTCCAAGACGCTCAAGACAAATTTGTGCTTCCACGATGTTCTGCAACGGATCCTCTGCAGACACTCTTCGATAATTCTCTCATCTATGAGTCTGCTCTGGCTTGATCTGCTTGGTTGAAACCGCAAGGCACCACCGATAACCTCGTCGACATCGTCTTGCAAAGACATCGAGATCTTCAGGATGTTTGACAGAGTAAGTCGTATGTTTTGACAGCCTTCGTGCCCGAAGAGAGCTCGCAGGTAGACATTCGGTTGGCGTTCGTTGACCTCCCACTTGTGCTGCCACCTTTCGAAGACATGTTTGGAAACGATCAATCCTTGATTCAGGTCGAGAAGTCGATCAGAAAGATCTCTCCATTGTCGTATTTGGCCTGCAAAGATATTGAGAGCCTGGCCCGCGGCAAACATGCCAGATGCTATGCCAATTATTTCCGCCATGGCCGAATAGTAGTCTGGCGGCTGTGCTGTGTTCCGATCGTAGGACAAGAGGGGGTCTCTCGCGAAACTGAGAAAGCTGCAATCAAGCCGAACGACTACCTAGCTGTTACTGTCAGAATGCTGCATTGAAGGCCTCCAGGAATCTTAACAACGTTGCCAGAGTCTCTAGGGTTGGTCCTACTTACTTCTCGATTTTATAGAAACTAATGCTTCTTGCTTCAAAGCCGTGCTTCAAAACCCTGGGCACGGCCTATTCCCGGGTTTCTTGGCTTCACTAGAGGGGTGTGGTGACCATGAGTAGTTGTGCGATGTGAACAAAACACAACGAAAGTCGCGAAGCTGGAAGAACCATGAACTTTGGACCAGAGCTTACGGTCTTCTGAGGAAGGCCTCATGACCCTCATGATCAAGGCCGAAACGATGCGAACCTCAGCTCTGGTGTAAGTGGTGTAAGCAGGAGGAGCGCGATTGGGTGTAAGCAAGGTGTGGCGGTGGCTGAACACCAGTTCGCGATGCTCAGCCCTAAAACAGCCCCCAATGGCCCCCACATCATCACCAGATGTTCTGTTGCCTAGACCAAATTCGCAGTTTTAATGAATGACGTGGGTCGGGCCGGACCAATTCTGTCGAGTTTCGACCCTACCTACCAATACAAGACGAACTTGTGGGTGTTCGTTGGGTATGATCGCATTTGCATAGCCGCTCTGTGCGCCCAGACCAACGTTCAGCTCGACTCGCTCGTTCAAGTATATGGCGCAAAAGCGCCGGTATAGTCTTTCGGTATCTGTTTGTCTCTCGAAGCTTCCAATTGCACAAGATGGCCGCCATTTCGAAAGATTTTCTTGAGGTTGGCGATGATATTCCTTCTGCCAGACAGCAACGTTCGCGCTCGAGCGGCCATGTGGATCGTATCGAAGAGCTGGAGCGACTCGAAAGGCGTGAGCGCGAGCAGAAAATGAAGAAATACTATGACAACACCAGGTATTCCTCCATCTTGCACCAACGAACAAGATCCGACCACCTCAGCGTTCCAATCTGGGAGACGAATCGGAGACCTCGATCCAGCGAAAGAACTGAACAGCGACGCGAGGAGACGCCTCGAGATTACCGCGTGGAGGAAGTCAGGCCCGGCCCACAGCCGTACAAGTACGATCTGAAAACTGAGCCTGTCTTACCAAGCCAGCTTCCGGTGCCAATCAGAGGAAGATCTTCGCAGCCAGAGAGGCCGACAGTCAAAGTCCCTCCCGTGATCATCCAGGAAAACCCGCCGTCACCGAAGAAGACCTCAGGTAGAAACCTGAAGAGAAGTCCCGGTGCAAGCCCGCATTCGCCTACTGCACAGCCAGAGTTACAGTTCCAGTATGACACGCTGCAAAGCAAGCTGACTCAAATCTGCAACTCGTGCGTACCGTACCTAGAAGTGGAGCCAGCGAATCCCCAAGACTTGACGTTTGCCAAGATTCGAGAGACTATCGAGGGTTTTGCAGAGGACCTGCACATCTGGAGCCATATCGCGAACCTGGACGGACTGGCTAGAATCGACAAGAACATGCGTCATCTGGTGGACGCTGCTTCGGACACCTTGCACCGACTGCTAGAGCGAGCAACGGAGCTACGTGAAGCTTGCGCCACGGCCAAACCTAAGGACCTGAAGATGCAGCCGTTGGATGGGATAGATGACGACGATGACGACGATGACGATGATGACTTTGAGTTGTATGACGATGGTGATGGTGCAGTGTAAGAGCTCTTGTGTGCTGGCAGTTGCCAAGGACGTTGCTGACAAGTGGCAGAAGCGTCGAAGACCCGACAGAAGCTCCAGGCTTCGTGATCCACTCGCTGCTTCACAGCATTGGAATGCAGATACGGCACCTGAAGCTTTTGTCTCCTTCGTTGCAGGAAGCAACTCCAGATCTGCAGGATGAGATGGTAAATGTCACCAGACTGGTGAAGGAAGCAGGGAAGTTTTTTGGTTCCGATGCTGCGTTGAGACAGTATTCGATCGATCCGAAGTTCGCAGGACACAAGGCGTTCGTCGAAGCACGTTATTCAGCCGGCGTTGTGTGATGTTGGAGAGTCCTTTGGTGTAACGTTATCTGTACAGTGTTGTCGTGGTGTGAAAGGATTCGTGTGCTTAAGACATGAGGTTTGAGGTGTGGGCCAAGGCAAGTGCAAAATGGGCAAGAGCATCTCACCGACCCGTGTCGTCGTTAGTCTCTATTGAAAGTGGTGGGCAGCTCCATCCTGAAATCTCCTCTTGTGACGAACAAATAATCATTGGGTATAATGCAAGCTCCTTCCCCACCTCATTCTTCCTACTCCTCTAATCAAGCCCACTTCAGGCATCTCGTAGCCTCATGCGCGTCCTTGCACTCCAGCCCACAGACTCTCACACCACACTTTCGACACTTGATCGTCCCCCAATAACCGCAGTTATCGCAGAACTGTCTCTGCGGCGGCCCTCCAGCAGGAGATGGCGCGGCAAAACTCGCTGAATACGGCAGGGGCGGAGTACTGAGCAGAGCCTCCATCGCCGCAGGGCTCAGCGGTGGTGGTAACAAGCTAGATACATCGAGCAGGGCATCGTCAGACGCAGTGTCGATATCTATGCGTGCAGGCTGTATGGTTGGGGCCGGCGTAGCTTCGGTAGACGTAGGCGGCATTGTGCTCTGTCTACGCAACGACTGTGTGTTCCGCGCATGAGTCGTCTCTCTGCGGAGCGGAGGCGCTTGTTGTTGTTGCTGTGCAAACTGTGCTTCTTCATCATCGAGCCAGTGCTTGATCTGTCGCTGATACTGTATTATCCTCCTTGCATTCTGCGTCTTCGGTACCGAAGGTTTGCCGGGTATGGAAATGTTTTGCTTTGGATCGTTGTCCCTCTCTAGTTCGGCGATACGTCGTGCGATTGCTGTCTGTTGGCGTGCGGAGAGCTCGTTTTCGGCTCGTTGGCCGCTCGGTGCGGCGGCGGCGCGCTTCTTGTTCTTGGGGTTGATGGCGACTTTTGAGGGATCGTAGCCGGTGTCGACGACATAAGTCCATCCTGGCGCGACGGCCGCTGCCGAGTTGGGGAGGACTTCGACGTGTGGCATCGTTGCTGAGGCGGTGGTTTGGTGTTGAGTTCGGCGTTGCGGAGGAGAGACGGAAGTGCCACTGCACGTGGCTACGCGTTCACGCGTTACCTACGGGAAGCCTCGCGCGGGGTACATGGCATTTGGAATTGGTTTGTGATAAGCAGGTAGGCGATATGCCTTCGGTCGATCTCCAAGCACTGGCTGTCGGGCTTTGGCACTTCGATACCAAAACACTGATTTTCAGAAAGATTGACAGCACGGGTAAGCGTCTCAAGTACTTCGCAAGCATTCTATCTACACTATTCGTTGGGCCGGCCCTTACGCCGATCGTCTATTCGAAATGTCTACTCGTGAGCCTCCTATCGTCCTTCCTGCGACATCTCCAGCAACCTCTCCCGCCAACTCTGCCGCCATAATCTTCATCCATGGCCTAGGCGACACAGCAGAAGGACCCTCAGCAGTTGCTGAGCAGTTCCAGCGCGCCGGCAAGCTCCCTTACATGTCTTGGACGATCCCGAACGCAGTCGAAGACCGTGATTTGGGCACTACAGCATGGTACATGCCTACCCGGCTTTCGCCCTATCCGCCCTCGCGTCCGGAGCTCGAAGACGATGAAGACGAAGATGGCATGCTGAGGAGCGTCACGTACATCACCGGACTGATAGATGAGCTGGTGGCGCAAGGTGTCCCGGAGAAGAGGATAGTACTGGCTGGATTCTCGCAAGGCCACGTTGTGACACTACTCACGGGTTTGACGTCGAAGTATGCAGGGAAGCTGGGTGGCTTGGTGGGGTTGAGTGGCTATATGGCAATTCCTGAGCGTGTACAAGCACTGAGAGAAGAGGGTGGGCTACCGCGAGACGTCCAAGATGGCGTCGAATTGTTTCTGGCCAGAGGCACAGGAGACAGGTTGGTGCCGAAACGGTATCATCGCTTGTGCTGTGAGGCGCTGGCCAAGTATGGGGTCAAAGACGAAGCGCTGACGATCAAAGAGTACGAGGGGATGGGTCATGTGATGGGTGGCGCGGAGTTGAGGGACTTGTGCGAATGGCTGGAGCGGGTGGTTCCACCCCTCGACGGTTGATATGTCGGGGATTAGACAGACTCTCCAATTCAATGAGGCTGATCACATGTCGATTGATTGATTGGTTTAACGTCCTATGTGAGTCTTCTCGCATATCGATTATTCCGCGCTCATTGATACCTTCATGTGGATACGAGCAACAACGCGCTCGGAAGAAAGGAAACAGAAGGATCAAGATCGCAACCCCGAGTGGGGGCAGTTAGGAGGCTCGAGGTTTGATTTAGACTGCAGGCTTGCGAATGCGAGGACCCATTGAATATACCCGCGGTACCAGGTGATTCGTTGTGGTGGATCGACAGGACACCGTTGGCCGTTTCCGACTTGGCAGGGACAGGGACGTAATGGTCGGACCTTTCCCATATGCTGTGTCGATGCTCCCGCTCTTCAGTCTGACAGCGCGTGCACTGTCTTCTTTCTGTTTTGTCTCACCTTTTTCGTATGAATTGTAATTCATCATGGCGCTGATACAACGATATGGCCTGTACACGATTCTAGCGGCCGTGTTTGTGTACATGCTGTACTCCCTGAGCTTCCCATACGAGACCGACGATCCCAATGCGAAACCGAGCCCTCCCGCGAACGATGCCGAAGCACAGCGCCCCGGGCAGCAGCAGTCGCAGCAGCCGTACAAATCCATCGATTGGGCGAGAAAACCAATTCAGCATCCTGTCAAAAGCCTGGCTCAACTACCCACGGGAACACCGGCGAAGCTACCTAAGATACAATTCGACTTCAAAGAGGAGGACCCTACTGCCAAGAAGATACGCGAAACAAGGAAAGAAGAGGTCAGGAAGCAGTTTCTGAAATGTTGGACGTCATACCGCCAGATGGCTTGGATGCACGACGAGCTGAGACCCATCAGCGGCGAAGTCAGCGACCACTTTGGAGGGTGGGCTGCTACGCTCATTGATGCCCTAGACACACTGTGGATCATGGGCTTCAAGGAAGAGTTTGAGTCTGCCATCAAAGACGTGGAGAGAATCGACTTTGGATACACTGCGCTCGAAAAGGTCAACGTGTTCGAGACAAACATTCGTCATCTCGGTGGCCTGCTAGCAGCATATGAGCTGAGCGGGGAGAAGAGGCTCCTCAACAAGGCAAAGGAAGTCGGAGAGATGCTCTACCATGCATTCGACACGCCCAACCACATGCCTGTCACGAGATGGGATTTCCGCGCTGCAGGGGAGGGCAAGAAACAGATTGCAGACAATCAGGTTCTGCTCGCTGAAATTGGATCCATGACCTTGGAGTTCACACGTCTGTCCCAGCTCACTGGCGACCCTAAATGGTACGATGCAGTGACTCGCGTCACCAAAGAACTCGAGAAGCAGCAGGACAATACCAAGTTGCCTGGCATGTGGCCAATCGTCGTCAATGCAAGGAAACTCGACTTCACCGAGGACAACGGATTCACCCTGTCATCCATGGCCGATTCCACTTACGAATACCTTGGGAAGATGCATGCTCTGCTTGGCGGCCAGGACTCGGTATACAAGAAGATGTACGAGAAGGCCATGAGTACCGCAGTCAAGCATGCCATTTACCGCCCCATGATCCCAGACGATTCCGATATGCTCAGCTCAGGCTCCGTCCGGGTGGAGGGTGCGACCGTGTTCCTGGACCCAGAGCTGCAGCACCTGGGCTGCTACACCGGCGGCATGTTTGCTTTAGGAGGCAAGGTGTTGGCCAACAAGGAGCACGTTGCGATTGGGCGCAAGCTTGCCCATACATGCGTGTGGGCGTACAAGAGCAATCCAGCAGGCATCATGCCTGAGGTGTCACATCTTGTCAAGTGTGCTAACATAACTGAGTGCCACTGGGATGACAAGGCATGGCATGCCGAGATCACAGCAAGGGCTGATCTGCAGAGAGAAGCGGATCCATTGAAGAACATCGCGGGGCTTAGATTGCCCCCTGGGTTCTCATCGATTGGAGACCGTCGCTATATCCTTCGACCTGAGGCCATTGAGAGTGTCTTCATCCTGTACCGCATAACGGGAGAGCAGTCATGGCAGGCAGCGGGCTGGGACATGTGGACTTCAATCCTAAGGGTTACGGATACCGACATTGGCAACGCTGCTCTGCTTGACATTTCAGCAGACACACCACCAATGACGGACTCGATGGAGGTAAGTTGGCGGCCTCCACAAGGCGATTCACCGTCTGCTAACCATCTTGGCAGAGCTTCTGGATGGCCGAGACCCTCAAATACTTCTTTCTTCTCTTTAGCGATCCAACCTCAATCAGCCTCGACGACTACGTTTTCAACACCGAAGCACATCCCTTCAAACTCCCCAAGGCCAAGCAGTAATGGACGGTGGCGGGAGCCCGGTGCAGCGTTTGTCCTTTCGAGTCTCGCGTGTATACCCAATCGAATCGAAGTTAGAGAACATATCATTGTGAGGAGTTGCTAGATACAACTGGACCCAATCCGACCTCGAATGCAGACGGCGAGGCTGCTTGTCAATCGTGAAGTTGTACCGCCGCCAGACTTCAGTGGACTCTAAGGCACCATGACGGCACATCGAAACACCATCGCATCATAATGTCATCACAGTCTAAACAGCACCTATAAACATAAAGAGCCGCAGATTTTGTAAAACTCACTTTCAATCGCAAGTTCAGACAGATCCTCTGCAAATCACCACATCTTAAACGAACAAGCCTGGCGAGGCTGGCATTGGTGGACCCAATGGACCCAATTTCGGCACCAGGTAGACGGATGGTGGATCTTCACGAAGATGCAATGACACTGCACACCTTAGCGATGGCGTTAGTAGACATAAAATAATGTAGAATGAGCAAAACATTTGTACAAATCACTGCAAACTTCGGATTCGTGTGAAGGCAGCGTGTTGAACGAAGAAAGAAGCTCACGCAAGTCATGACACCAGTGAAGGCGCTAGGAGCTGGACCCTTGCACATCGTCAAGTGCAAGCCACCGAGCCTCGAACACTCCACAAACCATTGAACGCCCGGCATGTCGAAAGAAGACGAGCCATCATACATAGACTACGAGGCTTTCCTCGACCCCGACTTCTCGGCAACGTCCTTTGCAAATACGCTCGTGCTCGCAACGAACAACCCCTCAGACACCCCGCTCGACCTGTCAACACCACTCTCCCGAGTCCTCTTTGACGTACAGGAAGTCGACACACATATCGACACGCTCACCACTAAATCCGCCCTACCGCTTCTCGAGCACACACGCGACCATGCCGAGTCAAGCGGGCGCATACTTGCTGAGGTGGAAGGCCAGGTCGCAAGCTTGACGGAGAGCTACAAGACGCTCGAGAAGGAAGTCATTGAGCGGTATGAAGTCGCCGAACAAGTCCGCCTCACCGCGGAGCGCCTTGTAGAAACAGTCAGACTGGGAAGAGCCGTGGCACGATGTCTCATGTTGGGACGACAGCTCGAGGTGCGCATGTCTGAAGTCGGCGGTGTGGGCAGCGCAAAGAAGGAGGACCACAGAGCAATGGTCAGGAGCGCAGATACAATACTCTCTCTGCGCCAGATCTTCACCAGTACCAAGCCGGGACAAGAGGGTGAAGGGCTGGACAGGGTCAATGCAGTCAACACGCTGAAGAACGAGCTGGTGGTGCCTGGAGAAAGAAACATTGCATCGAGGGCACAACAGGTGGTGAAGGAGTTCAGCATGTCGAGTCTACTCTCGTCCTCCGGACAGACATCTGCAAGCACATTTGCACAGACGGAAGACACGAAGAGCAGGACCACATCCGCGCTGCAAACGCTATATCTCCTGTCTCCGACCAGCACAAAGACAACGAGGGAAAGTTTCGAGCCTACGCTGATGCTCAGCGCACTTCAAGACTATTTACAGACAAGTCTCAAGAGTTCACTAGCATCGCTCGCTCGAGCACTCACACAACTTCCGCTTCTGGATCGCACACTCCTCGAAATTTCCGCGCGTTGCCAGAACATCGTTGCGCTGCAGTCGCTCCTGCAGTCCATCAAGACACCCGTCCACCCCCTCCTTGCGTCAGGGACCTCCACATCAAACAACGGCAACTTCCTCCAGCCACTACTACACGCTCTCGACACCAGCTCACTACCCAGCTACTTCTGGCGCAGCTTAGCATCCAACATGTCACCGAGGATGCAGGAGATCATGTACAAGGGCGGAGTGTCGGCGAGGACGCTGAGAAGCAACAAGGAGAGGGTCAGGGATGCAGTGAGGGAGTGTGTAGATCGGGGCAGCAGCTTACCAGGGGAGAAGTCTGGGAGAAAGGGCGAGGGGTGGGAGAGGGAGGCTGCTGTCATGGTCGGTAGTATCGTTGGAGGGATAAAGTGATCAAGTCATCACGAGAGCAACACCATGTTTCAATCGACATCAGGCCTCACAGCATCGCGTTTGGACTCGCTGATATGACGCTCCTCGGAGCGGCCAACGACAGCCAGGGTCCGGAAGCCGCAGGGCCCGTCAAAGCTCAAGTGGAGCTCTGTCAGCACCCCTGCAATTCGCGCGGAAACTTCGACTGCAGATCCGATTGTGACGTGGACATGGTCAAACGCCTGGACACGAAGAACAAAAGTTCCGAGTGCTGCACGACACTCTGCGTAGCAGGTAGAGAATGCCACTGCCAATGGGACGCTCCGGACGCCGCAACACCGTTACAGACGGGGCGTTCCGAGTCTCTTGGAACTGCGGCGCTGTGTGCGGGCGCCTGGCGGCTTTTTGGGTGTAGTGGCGATGGTAGTAGCAGGTGATGGGTCTGGACACGCAGCGGTTGCCTTGTGAGGGAGTGGTGGTGTTGATGACTCGAAACCGTCCGAGTATCGAGGTACATGGAAGGGTAGGGCTCTTGGACCGTGTGCTGGAGAACACACGCCGTGCCTGTGCCATGGCTCGGGCGTCAGACAAACGCAGCCTCAGGCAATGCAGCGTTTACCATGTGCATCAAATCCTTCCCTACCGTGCATCTCTCCGTTTGGCTGTCAGCACGAGGACTGCTAAGTCGCTAGCACAAGGCTGCTGAAACGGCTACTATTAAAGGTTGAGCACTCTGATTCGCTGCGCTAACCATCTGGACGAACAGACGCCCCGTCCAGTTGTGCAGTGACTTTCTCCTCTCCACCTCTCCACCTCTCCCTCTCTCTCTCTCGACCGTGAGCTCACCCTCGCTCTCTGTCCCACCGTCCCCGTGGCCCCCGCCCTGCCCTTCTCTTCGTTGTATCTTGACTATTCTTCGTGTCTCTTCTTACACGCCTCGGCTGTCTGCTCGTGCGTCTCCACCGAGCTCGCTTCGCTGCATCAGGCTTCGGCTCCGGCGAGTCCACTCCCCTGACGCTGCCCTTCGCATTCGAGCTCCTTTGAGGCCAGCTGGTGCTGCAGGAGAGTCACGCGAGACTGTAACTCAAGCATAATACGCCATCTTGTCCGCCCGCCGAGTAATCCCCGACAGCCGAAGACGCTGGACTGACAGGCACAGAATACACCCCTGCCTACCCGCCCGCCCGCTGTAGGTTCCCGAGACGACACCATGTCCGCCAGCCATATATCAGCGAACAGGAACAGCACGCCCGAGGGCTCATCCTCGCTCCGGCCGCCCGTCAACCGAACCTCGCTGGGGGCCGGCCACCACCTGCGTGCCTCTGCCGACATGGGCGGCTTCTCCTCCCCTCTGGCGAACCGTGGCATCCGCCCCGCCTCCGAGGTCTACTTTGGCCGCCAGAGCACCCAGTCGGGCAACCCAGATGAGATGGAGCGCGCCGCCCAGCAGTGGCTCGCCGACATCGACCAGTACGAGAACACGCTCGAGGAGATGGCCACGGCCACCCTCGACCAGGACTTCAAGGACGAGCTGAGCGCGATTGAGCAGTGGTTCCGCGTTCTGAGTGAGGCCGAGCGCACTGCTGCCCTCTATGCGCTGCTCCAGCAGACCACCCAGGTGCAGATTAGGTTCTTCATCCAGGTCCTGCAGCAGATGTCCAAGAGCCTGCCCATGTCTGGCGTGCTCTCTCCCGCCAACTTTGGCGAGAAGGGTGAGTGCTGCCACATTTCGGCCCGAGGCATGACTGACCCCCTTCCCGCAGACCCCATGACCCAGAAGCTGAGCGACGCCATGAGCAAGCTCAGCACTGGCGAGAACCGTCACTCGATGATGGGGCGCCCTCCTCCGTCCCCGGGCGCTGGAAAGCGTGCCTCGGGCCTGGACCCCTCCACCATCCACCGCATGTTCCCCGATGCCGCCGCTGCTATCGCCAAGCAGAAGTCCGAGTTCACTGAGGTCGTTGGCGTCCCTCCTGCGGCGAACCGCAACAGCACCATCGTAGGCGACCGCAGCTCGATGCTTGCTCCGACCATCTCCGCCCCCGAGGAGAACAACAAGAGGGAGAACGCTCCTCCAGCCTCCCCCTGGAACGAGGGACAGTCTGCCCAACGTCCCAAGTCTTCCGGCCAGCAGCAGCAGCAGCAGCAGCAGCAGCAGCAGCAGCAACACCAGCAGCAGCAACACCAGCAGCCTCAACAGCAACAGCCTGCCATGGGCCAGTTCACCGCTCCCCCGCCGTCCGCCGGCCTCCGCTCGCCCCGACTTCCTCTCCAGCAGGATAACAGCAATGTACAGACCACAACTCTCAACGCTCTCGAAGCCAACTCTTCGGGCATGCCCTTGCTCTCTCCTGCATATGCGCCTGGTGGAAGCTGGGCGTCCCAGCTCAGCACTCCCATGGTTGCCAACTTCGGTCAGCAAGCCAACCAGGCTGACATGGTCGCCAATGCCACTGCTATGAAGCTCGCCGCTCTCTCTACCGTCAACAACCGCATCCAGCTGGATGATGTCCGCAAATACCGCCGCGCTCGATCGTCGGACGGCCATGGAGCTGGAAACGCTCCCTTGTCGCCAGGCTTCCCTCCTATGGGCAACAACATCCTCATGACCAACGAGCTGGGCCAGGTGCTGACTCCTCAGCAAGCTGCCGCTCTCCAGGCCCACCAGCTCGCTGCCATGAACGGTCGCCGCTCTCGCCCTGCTTCCCCCGGCATCGCCATGCAAGGCGGCATGGGCGGTATGGGCAACTTCACATCGCCGCAAGCGAACGGATTCTTGACTGCCGACTACGCCAACGCGGGCTTGATGAACAACGGCATGGGCGCATTGAACCTCGGTCAGTTCGGCCTCGGTGGTGGATTCGACAACCACAACAGCGGCTTCTTGGGCGACGAGATCAACCGTGGCCGCTCACCACGCGGTCGCCGTGGTAGCTCCAAGCCCCCGGAGGATCCCACCGATCCTACCCTGCTACAGGATATCCCCAACTGGCTTCGTAGTCTCCGTCTGCACAAGTACACCGACAACCTCAAGGACCTGAAATGGCAGGAGCTTGTTGAGCTGGACGATGCAGGCCTAGAGGCTCGCGGTGTCAATGCACTGGGTGCCAGGAGGAAGATGTTGAAGGTATGTTACTTTGTCTGCAGTTTGACAATGTTTTGCTAACAAACAATGTAGGTCTTTGAACAGGTTCAAGAGGCCAAGAACGAAGGCAAGCTGCGATAGGTTCGCATGTCCATCACCCTTTATCGGGGCGGAAAAATCACCGCCTCATACGACGCTCGTTCCCTTCTCGGGTGACGACGGCCCTCTCATTGAATAGATCTACGATGGAACACCCACTCCACCCAGCTGGTCACGGAACCCCATCGATCCGTCAGGTCTGGACCGCATACGATTTCATGTTATATGCATTGCATGGGACCCGACCGATTGGATTTCTGCGTACGGGCATCGAGCGGTTTTGTCATATACCTTGTGTTGTTATGGGTATATCGTTTCTTCACTTTCAAAATATGTGGTTGTTCTTTTGGTGTATGGTAGGGTTAGGGTAGATGGGTGCCGCGATGGGCGTGCAATAATGACGATGAGTTGTGTTCCAATTCGGCTTCTCGAAGCCTGTGTGAGCTGTGGTGTGTGTATAGCACTTGGCGAGGAAGGAGCGTTCCTGGGTACTTATGTCAGTTTGCGAACTCCCTCCACTCGCCCTTGCCTGCTGCTTCCACCTTGCCTTCGACGTCGACTCCACACACACACACCACACACCACTTCGATACAGATGGAAGGCAATATTCAGAAGCTGGTTGGTTACATATATGAGGGTTCGAATGCGCCTCGTCCCTTGTCAAGCTTTACTAACGGTAACTAGGCCGAGTGCAATGTCCCATACATCCCTTGGCCACGCGTCCACGACCACTACCTCATGACCACACAAGCGTCTCTCAGGGAACCTCGGCAGCGTCTTCGAGCGTGAGACAGTATCACAGAGTCACCGTCTTATGCCATCAATGCATTGAGTATACGCAAGACCATTTGATGCCCGGACTCAATGTCGCCTTCACCTCACTACCTCGCCACCCATGGAGGGGTTGGGCAAGTGTACTATTGTCCACCCACAATGTCAACGAAACGCTTGAGGGAGTTCAATAGCGTGAGGGGTATTGTCCAGCCACACAATAACACCACAACGATTTGTCTGCGGCTTGGTTCTCGCACAATGTCGACTGGTAGAGATGGTATATCTCCATCTCCACTCTTTCTCCCTTGCTTTTGATTCTCCACAGCGCAGATTGCATACGTTCTACAGCACATCTAGATTGCTCGGTCAACATCAAAAGTTTCAACGCATCTTTTAACTTGACAAGCCGACCTCGATACTGCAAGCTCGTCCCAGTCGCTTCCAACGCATCGTCATGCGCACTTCAATACTGCCCAAGGGGGTGCTGGCCATCGTCTTTCCCTCCCTCACAGCAGCACAGGCTGGTACAACATACACCCTCGCCGAGGATCTGTCCTACCACAACTTCTTCTCGGCTTTCGACTTCTTCTCTGGCCCCGACCCCACGGAAGGTTTTGTTCAGTACCAGAACTACACATCAGCCATCGAGCAGGGTCTTGTCGGCTACCTCTCCGACACGCAATCCGTATTCCTCGGCGTCGATCACACTTCCAAGAACCCCAACGGCCGCGCCAGCGTCCGCCTCGAGAGCAAAAAAGGCTGGAACAAAGGCCTCCTCGTCGCAGACATCCGCCACATGCCTGCTTCAACCTGCGGGTCCTGGCCCGCATACTGGCTGCTCGGCTCCCACGTAGAAATAAACGGGAAAATCACCTGGCCCGACGCCGGCGAGATCGATATCCTGGAAGGCGTCAACGACTACGAATCCAACGCCGTGACGCTGCACACCTCTACTGGCTGCATGATCGACAACACCACGTCCCCAGCAACCGGCTCAGACAGCACACCACCACCCTTCACCGGCTTCCTCAAGACAGACGACTGCGATGTCGCGGCCCCGGACCAGAGGAAGAACGTGGGTTGCTCGATCGCTGCACCTTCAGCCATGACCCCATCGAGACCACCCAGCTTCAAACGCGGTACAGCTAGCATTGACGCCGACATCGCGTTCCCCTCCTACGGTACATCCTTCAATCTTGCCACCGGTGGCGTTTATGCTATGGAATGGACATCCGCATCGATAAGCGTATGGTTCATCCCCCGAGTCTCTCCCCAATTCAACACCCTCTTCCCGGCCCCCGCGTCTTCCACGTTCCTCAACACGACTCTCGACGTCTCAGCTCTCGGTACACCAATCGCACACTTTGCGGGCCAGTGCGATTTTGAAGAGAAATTCAAGAATCTCAAGATCGTGTTCGACACGACTTTCTGCGGGGCGTGGGCGGGCGCTGAGTGGGAAAGTGGTGGGTGTGCGAAGAAGACGGGTGTTGCGACGTGTGAAGAGTATGTGCGGGAGAATCCGGGCGTGTTTGCGGAGAGCTATTGGGAGGTTGCGGGCCTGAAGTGGTTTCAAAAGGATGAGGGTGTGAAGGTGCAGCAGAAGAAGAAGAAGAAGGTGATGCCGATGGTGAAGGGCCAGGGTTGGTTGGGTTGGTAGATATCGTAGATGCTAATACACAATGGCTCGCGCCAACGTCTTTCATACTCTTATGTGCAGGCCTGGAGGTCCCCATGCAATATGATTGTGACTTCGTCTCTTCCATAGCAACACAAGTTGACACTCGATGTCTTCACACACCAAGAGCAACTTCACGGCTTATCGTAATGGCCACAACACCATGCACTTACCAATTGACGTCACCACAGATCATCACGAAGACTACAAGTGCACAAGATTAGATGTCAGACTTTGTATAGTATCCAATGCCAGCTAGCTATAGGACCGTAAGTACAAGTCAATGGCTATCTCCCATATGTGATCCCCAAAGTTGTCCGTATATGGCCGCCAGGCCCCAGTGGTGAAGAGTCATAACTGATCGATTAGTGTTCAGCTCTGGCGGATAGCAGAAGATGCTGCTCAATAATCACTTCAGTAGAAGCCCTCCACGTCACTCAAGTAAAAGTCTTCGTCTGGACCCGATTGCTCGTTCTCATACCCATCGTCAGAGCTCCAGCCATCCTCGATGTCGCTCCGAGGCGTGTTTGGAGGGTCCCAAGGACGGCGAGGTGGCCAACACTTGCACATCAGGTAAGAGATGAAGATATAGTTCGAGTAGTACAGGCTCCTGGCGAATTCGACCGACTTGTAGTGGTAGTAGCCGGGGTTCTGCTTGTAATCATCCATGATGTTTAGAGGCGGGTAGTTGTAGTTGGAGATCGGCGAGAAAAGCTTCGAATGAGGTCTCCTCCCTTGTGCCACCAACGCTTCAGGTGGTCAATGAGTCGGTGACGGTGGTAGACGACACTTGGCATGCCCTCAGCGTCGCGGAATGTATGACGGTTTGAGGTAAAGGCTCTTGCTTCACCTGCAGTGTCTTGGATGATGGAGGTTGCGGAACGGTGAGCAGACGCAGGTGACGTGAGCTCGAGAGGGTCGTTCGAGGTGGTGAGTGACTTGTTGTTTGTGGCTCGAGTGCTGTTGTCGAGCGTTGCGTTGCGGGCAGACGAAAAGCGTTTCTTGAGGCTGAACTTGCCTTTACGTACGATTCGCGGCTCAGTATCGTCGTCAGACGTGTCAGAGGTAGAGAAGTTGTCTCGAAAGATTGCTGTAGGTGGTGTCAAAGCTGAGGTGGGGTATCGTTCACCAACGGCGTGAGGCTGGTCACCGTTACGCCCGAAAACGCTGAAGCGGTGCAGCTGGCGAGCGTGAGCACTGGAATTAGAGTCGGTGCCAAAAGGCGAGCCAACCGGGGTAGTGAAGGTGCTTGTGGTAGACGCGTCGGAGATGTTGTTGCGGAGGTGGGAGGGGCCAGGGCGTGGTGAGTGCCTGACCGCTGTTGGTGGGGGTAGCGAGATGTCAACAGAGGGGATTGTTGATGTTGCCCAAGGGTAGTTCTTGTCTGAGTTCCAGGGACGTGTGTCTGTTCTCGTCGGGGTCGACGCAAAAGACCTCAAGGACCTCGTCGTCAAGCCCGACTCGACTGAAGCTCGCAGGTCTTGGTGTCCAACTGTGAGGGCGCGGGGGCGGAGTATGGCAGGTGAGGGTGCTTCGGGCTCGGCGAAGGGAGTTTTGGGGCGCGTCGAGCTGTTGTCCTGGGTCTTCTCACTAGCGCGAGATTCATCTTGTGTACGCTCAAATTCCTCATCACCCTGGGTAACCGCAATACTGTTTTCCTTCTCTTTGCTGGTGAGCTCATCGTACAATGCATCCTCGATAACGACCATGTTCGGCGAGCCAGCGATTGGCCGCAACCGAGCAGACGAGCGTTTCTGTGCAGGGCCACCAACCTCGTGGATATCCTCCATGGCATGCTCCATGATCATCTCCTCAGCGGCGAACGGGCCCTGATCTCCGAGCTTGTAGTACTCCCTCAGCGACGGCAAGAACTTAGAAAGACGTTCCGTAAGACCGCTGACCGAAGGCACAGTGACTTGCTCGATCTCCGCCAACAGCTCGGGGGACATCGCGCGCCGCATGAGCAATAGGCTTGTCATCTCTGCACGTGCAGCTTCCTTGGGCGTGTTGAACTGATCCAGCTTGTCACAGAAACTGCGATACTTCTCGCGCATCTCTCTTGCTGACACTGGCCGCTGCGGAGTAGCTTCATGTGGCTCAGGCACCTCCATCGGCAACTGATCCAACGAACGAGAATTGCGCAGACCAAGCTCAAGCTCTTCCTCCAGCTTGTCGAACAAGTTCATGCGGCTAAAATTCATCGACGGCAATCCATGCGTCTGGCTCATGGCGCTACCCAGAGCGCTCCTGCGGTACGAGCCCATCGACGATCTCCTCGAGAACAGAACACCATCGTCGACCGAGGCGCGCACGCCACCCGGAACACCAAAAGGAAACCGGAAGTTCGAGTTCTTCAGATTGCTAGCACTTGTGTTCAGGCTCGAGTCTTCATGTGACTCCTCCTTCAGATCAGGAAGATAGTGCAGGCCTCCTGGATACCTGTACTGCGACAACCTGAGATCGGTGGTGGTATCATCACTCGAGATCGGCAGCGGAAGATGTGGCTCGCTGACGCTCGCAGCTGGATTGCTGAGATTGAGGGATTTCCGGCCATGCCAGACAAGGTGCGTAGTTGTCTGGCTGTCTCGGCGATTTTCCGCAGGCTTGGGAACACCAGCTGGCGAGGACTGTACGCGGGATCTTGAATAGCTATCCTGTGGAGAGTACACCGACGAAGGTTCAGCGACGACAGGCGATGGGCTGCTGAGCGAGTGCTGATGCACAAGAGGGGCAGCACTCGCATTGTGCGCCTGTGGCGGAGCGCAGTCTTTGAGGGGACCAGCTTCTTTGGCAGGAACCGTGATCTCTTTGAACAATGCCTTCTCCGGAGTCTTGATGGCATCTCCTAGAGATTGCTGCGACGACGTTACGCTGTTCGTGGGGCGAGGCTCCTGTAAGGTCTCCCGAGAACTGTTCCCGGTCTTCGTCAGGTCTTCATCCTTGCTAGGCCTCTTGCCCCAGCGCTTGAACAGCATCCAGGACGCAACTCCCATCGATCGCTGAGCCTCTTTAGACGTGCTTGACTCTCGGGGCGGCACCGGAGGAGGCTGATGAGTGACACTGAGAGTGGACGAGGACCTCGAGATCGACACCGAACCTTGCTTCATGTTTGGCTTGGAGCTTGCCCGAAACTTGTTTGCAAGTGGAAAGCTCGATTCACGAGGAGGGACGCGCAGCTTTCGGAGCACAGCTGGAGGCGGGCTCGAAACAGGTGCTTCAGACGTCGGCCTCGGGGTCTGCATATCCGCAGAAACGACAGGTGGCGGCTTTGCTAGTGGCATCGATATGGATCGACCAGGCGTTGCGGCGTCTTGGGCGGTCTTGAATGAATGGGCGTCCACCTCCTTGATCGAGAACTCCTTCTCGACCGCTGCATCTGGGCAGGATTTGTAGGACTTTGCATCATCGTCGTCCTCCGGCTCAGCTACGGAGGGCTCAGACTCCAACACATCTGTGGCAGACTTGAATGACTGCGCGTCGGATGACTTCTGCGCATGATTGCTCCTGCTCTGAACGACTTGATCCTTGCTGGACTTGGCATCAGGTTCCTTCTCTTCCTCTTTCGCATCGTTCTCGTCTTCATGCCTAGACTCGGTGTGCTGATAGCCGGCCAGAAGATCCGACATATCGACCTCAGTGCTGGGCGCTGTATCTGGAGGCAACGGTGGCTCCTGGTCAGGAATGGCAGGCGTATCGGAACCAACCTGAGCTCCAGTGACAATAGGAATAGAGTATCGTACGGCAAAGTCGAGTGTCGAAGAGTCAACGACGCTCGAGTCAGCCTGAGACAAGATACTGAACCGCTTGCCTAAGCCTTGATCACGCACAGCCGCCCTTGCATGCGTAGGACGAGGCGGGTCGTGCGTGTCCATATACTGCGGAAACTCATCGCTGTTGTTAGTGGTGGGATTGTCTGCAGTACCGTCGACATCTTCCGTGGTGGAAGCAGGCTCCAGTGCCTGCAAGATCAGATCCCTGGTGATGCGCCGAACGACAGGAGAGGCAGGGAGTTCCACAATGCCAGGGACAGCAGTGTTCGAGATCCGTGTGGCCCCAGAAGCCCAAGTGCCACGAGCTGGGGTCGCAGGTGGCTCGAAAGATCCACGCTCCTCCTGTATGGTCTTGATGTTGTTAACGAAGCTGGTTTGAATGGGCTTCACCTCCGGCTCCAGGATCTGCTCGCGTTCGAACTGCTCACTGTAATCGTAGTAAAGCGGACCACTGGCAACTTCCTCTCTTACGACGACTCCGGTCATAGTGTCGACGAGAACCTGAGTACCTGTTGGGCTGAGTATCACCTCCAAAGAGGATCCATCGTGCGGGGTAGGGGGCGAAGGCAAGTCTGACGAGGGAGTGTCAGAGTCGTTGCGCATGTTGGTCGAGCCACTGGAGAACGATCCTTTGGCTGATCTTTGAATCACACGAGGTCGCTCGAGAGGGACGCGAGAGTGGAACAGCGGTGGGACTGGAGGTATGTCGCCCTGAGGTCCGTTGAAGTACGTTGGAGCGTGACCGCGGCTTGGGCGATGAGGCATACCAGGCGCCCTGTCCTGATATCCAAGGCTCGTGTCGGAAGGGATCCTCAGTCTCATTTGCCCCTGGTGCTGGATCTGTCCTTGACTGCCGTGGCCATGTAAGCGTCGTGGTCGTGATCCAGTGACATCGCTCAACGCGGGTGATGCTGGACGGTAGGAGGGACGACGGAGTCGAGTGGGGTAGACGTATGGCGACTTCGGACGCTGGATGTGTTCGTGGCTGCGCAAGCTGCCCAAGGATCGATTGCTGGACAGTCTGAAGGTCGGCTGAGAAGTGTTGGTCATCGAGAACGATCGTTGACTGTCCCTGTTGTTGCGACTGCTCCGGTGGCGCGTCGGAATGAGGGGCGACGACCCAGGAAGGTTCATCACCGTGGGTGAGAGGGTATCAGCAACGTACTGCGGACCGGACGACTCTCGCATGGAAGAGCGTCTCGGTGCTGAGGAAGACGAAGGCCACTGTCGGTGGTGCCTGCTTGCCCGGCTGGAGGTGCCTGACATGGACGATGCTGTGGAGAGCCTGCTGCTCGCACCGCGGCGCTGCGGAGCTCGAGGCACGTTGCCCATGCCAGAGAGGTCTCCGGTAAGGCCGACGACGTTGCCCATCTCCGTGGAGGTACGCAGCATGGACATGACTCCAGGAGCAGATGCGAGAAGGTCCTGCTTGTCTGACCCGCCCTGTTGTCTGTAGGTGGCTCGAGACATGGCGGACAGGTTGGACGCCCTGCTGGTGCGTCCGCTGGCGTTGGGGTCTCGATCGGCGAGCATCGTGCTGCTGCCCAGGACGTGGCTACACTGACCAGGATGCTATGCTGAGCGTGGGAAGAGCTGTGAGAGTAGGGAGTGTGGATGGTGATGATGTGGGTGATAGTGGGATGATCAAACAAGCGGACGCCGGCAAAGCAGAAGCTATCCAAAAACAAACGAGTGACTGCGGCTCCGCCCTCACCAACGCTCAACCAAGACGAGAGTGATGCTGACGATAGACAAGCGGAGTGCGAGGAGAGAGAACGGACGAGGGAAGCTCGAGCAGGAAAAACGCTGCTCTGCAGGAGAGTCGTTCCTGCCTGCCTCGTGGAGGTAAGAGCTAGCCCGCAACAGCACCAGGAACGCACGCGGCAAGCCGCGACTGAGAAGGGCAATGACGACGGCGTGAGAGACAATGACAGAGCAGGAAGCATCTGACTGAAAGAACAGAGACAAGCTTCGGCGAGAGTGAGCGGCCTGGTAGCCGCTCCGGTTTTGAGTACATGCCTATTGCCTCCTACCGCAGGCTCCAAGCCTGACGTTCCTTCCCGCAACAGCGAGCTCGATGTCTCCACTGCAGCAATCAAGCTCCTCTTGAAAACAGATTGCATCGAAAGCGAGCCTTCTGCATCGGTGCACACCCTGCCGAACCGACCGTGCAGCACAAACTTTTGAGAGAGCGGCATCCCGATGCTCTCTCATTCTCATTCTACCTGCCACCACTCGCGGTCCGGCAGAGGCCAGCGCAGCGCACGCACTTGACATTATGGCATTGGCATTACAGCTGGGGAATCAAAAAGAACCATGTACAAATTATATGAACGCAGGCGCTAGATGCCGGAAAGCCCAGACACAAGAAATTGGTATATGCAAACCGAAGGAAGACCGATGAGCAAACAAAAGGGTATATGGCCGCGAGATGCCAACACAGACAACGCCCGCTGTAAATGAGACAAAGCAAATGTAAGGGTATGTGGTTCACTCCGCAATGGTATGTATGTCGTTCTTCTTCTTGGTGAAGAAACGTCTGAGCGACTGGAGACTGCCCCTTTTGAGCAGCCTCTTACTTGTCGTTTCTGAGTAAGTGCTGGTAGAAGTCGGTGGCCGATCTGGCGGTCCGGCAGACTTCACAGATCGTAGGTTGGAACTTGTTGATGTCATAGTACCTAACCGGCTAGACATCGACTGTTTGGGCGTATGCTGAGCACTGCTCGGGAATAGGCCAAATTGAGCGTTCGATGACGCTGAACGAGGTGGTGCTGTGCTAGCTGGCGACATGATCGAAGCTCCTGACAATGAAGAGTAAGCTGAGTCCTGAGCTGTCATGGGCGGACTATCCCCTTCTTTATTGGACATTCGCCGATGACCGTGCTTGTGGCTGATACGACTCGGATCTGTCTGGGGTTGTGCGGCAGCCTTACGTTGGTCTTCAATGTGCCAGGCTTCGTGGTGGTACTCAGGCTGCTTTGGTGTGGGTTGGGTTGGCACATGTACTTCAGGACGAGTAGCAGGCGCTGGAGCTGAGACGGGAGGTTCGGCTTTGGGTTGAGCATTCCCAGCCATGTAAGGGTTCACAGGCTCTGGGTGTGATTGATAATGTGGTACCCGTGAGATTGGACGCCCACGGGCTTCTGCATCAGGGGGCGCTCTGGCGTCTGTCTGTGGGGTGGCGAGGATCACCGGTACCTGTGGAGTGGGCGGTGTGGGCAGAGGTTTGTTCTGCGAGCCTTTTCTGGACGATCGACGGCCGTTATCGCGCAAGTTCGACTTGGAGGAATTTCGTGAGGATGAAGTGGTTGCGATCTGCGCAACGGTTAGCTTCCGTGCTGATGAGCTTTGCCAGGGACCACATACCAAGCTTCGCCGGCTGGCGGCACCGCAGCGCTTCTCGATTTCATTGCAATAACTGCTGACTTGCACAAGCACCGTACCAAGCCTTTCTGCTTTCGTCACCAAGCTCTGTAAGAATTGCGCCCAGCCACCTGTGTTTCCGCACATGGCCGAGTATATGCGCCCGACATCCTCATTGTGATATGCCCATTCATCGCCAATGTCGCGGAGATAGAGTTCGAGTTCGTGATTTGCGTCTCGGTAGGTGCTTATGTCGATCAGGTAGTCGTTGAGCAGTTGCGACATGCGATTGGTGGTTCGTTCAATGGTGATATTTCCATCCAGCAGCGAGGAGCGGTATGCGCGGTCGTCGAGAAGGCGGTCGAATTCGTTGACATGTTCCATGGGCACTCTCAAGCATTTGTGTCGGAAGAGCATATCCTTTAAGCTCTGCTCCACATCTTCATTCGCGCGCTGCAGGAAACTATCGAGTTCGTTGACGTGTTTAAGGAGGATATCAGCGACGTCGGCGGTCGACTTCTCGAGGCGTTGGTGCAGCAGGTGGACGCCGAAGACGATCTGGGTGATTGTCTTCAGCAAGGGGTGGAATCTGCCCTTGGGGTGGTGACGCCAATGGCAGCTGTATGTGTAGTTGTAGGAGAGCTCCTCGGCATCAGCCTCTCTGCACAGCAATTGCTGGCGAGTCTTGACGCCCCTGCCGGGAGTCTTGAAGGGCACGAAGCCAGTCTCGCCCGTTGCGTCGAGCATCGACTCCTCGAAGGCGGCCTGCATCGACGGCAGAGGGTGGATGGGGAAGGTCGCGGTCATGATGGGCTTGTCACGCGCCTCCTGCCACTCAAAGGGATCACGGTGGTGTTCAAGGCTGCGGCGCCCGCGCTGGGAGGCTCTGCGCAGAGGGACCATGGCGATGCAGCGCCCGAATTGCCCGATCCGTCAGCGGTCGTGCTGTTCTCACGGATCCCGAGGAGGTTGTCGCCCGCTATATCACGCAGGCAGTCCCGAGCCCAGACTGGCAACTCGCGAGTTCAGGGCTAAGGGCTGCGCATAAGCACAAGACACGTCCAGGTGTATTCCAGTTATGCCAGGCGGGAAGGTGGGAGGAGCCGGGGTGCGGCAGTCTGCAGCCCACCGGCTGTTCTAGCAGTCTTCAGCGGCCGGTGAGGTGTGCCGCATGCTGCTGCTGAAGTTTGGAGTTGCAAAAGGGGCCACACGCTGCACAGGGGAAACGCTGCGAGAGTGCGACAAGGACGAGTGTGGGACGTGGAGGGCACAGTCGGGGCAGAGGCTTTCCAGTCAGTCGTCTGCAGTCATCAGCTCACCAGCTGGCAGATCGCCCACAGGATGCTGGCGTTTCTGCTCGCCAGGAGAGCTGCGCGAGCATCCGAGCGCTGCAGCAGAAGTGCCCTAGTGCCCGGCATGGTTCAGGGCGCGGTGGGGAAGCACTGGGTCGTTCCTCCACCAGAGGAAACTTGCCAAACAGAAGCGCAGCTGAACCGAGCTAGAGACGCAAGGTTTCAACGCTGCAAATCTTCCAGCCGGCGCGTGCCTGTTCGCCAGCGCGTCTCTTGCTTCTTCCTGTAAGGTTCATGTGTTCAGGGTAAGCGCAGCCAGCACGCTGTGACCCCTCCCCTGTACGACGTCTGGCCTGCAGCAGGCATCGTCATGCAGACCTCAGCACCTGAGCGCGAAGAAACTCCCCCCTTCGCCACGCCTGATGCTTCCATGGACGAGCAACAAGCCGTGTCGCCTGCGTCGCCTGCGTCAGCCGAGGCCAGTTCCGGGACGATTGACCCGCTAGCTGCAAAGGCTGCGAAGAGAATAGCCGATGTCATCAACGACTTCAAGCGCGAGCTCCAGGAGCGCGACGGCACCTGGGCGCACGCTTCAGGGTCACTGGAATTGGCCCTGAAGACCGGCGACTCCTCTAAGACCTGTAAATTGACTATCAAGCCTATCGAAGATGGAGACGAGTACCCTGTCACCGTGCAAGCAGCCCTCAAGAAGCCAGAAGTGATCACAGTTGACGACGACACATTGCCAAACACACAGCCAACCTTCAAGCCCACGCGACGCGCCTCAGATGCCAAACTCGAAAAGGAAATTGTCTCACGCAAGAAGCACAGGCTCGATGATGGCGAGGATGAGGCGAACAAGCGTGCGCGCACCGGCGAAGACGAGGACGACGAACACATCATGCCCCTCATTACTAAAGAACATTTCGACGATCTCCTGGCCAAACTTCGGGGGGACATCCAGGAAGACACCACTGAAACTGTCAACCACGTTCAACGTCTGCTACGATGCTTCAAGGAAGAATGGCATGACCAGAACAAACGGGACTTCGAACAACCGCAGGCACAACAGTCAGCGGGACCCTTCCGCAACTCGATATCCGCGGCAGCAGGAGCTGCCCCAGGCGGTTCATTCCCGTCGCCTGACGTCGACGGCGACGATGCCAACGCTTCGATAGCCGAAGTCGTTCGCCGTGAAGCAGGGCTCATATCACGGCAGATCAAATGGGTGGAGGACTGCAGACGGATGGCCAACGACGCCCACGTCAAGCGAGAGGACACATGGCGAACGTCCTCCGCGGGTTTCCACGACCAGCAGCGACAAGACCGTGAGAACTTCCAAAAGCGAATGGTCCACGAATCGGCAATGCACTCTCAGACGCTGAACCAGATCCTGAACGAGGTCAAGGCAATTGGATTGTATGCACAGAACATGAAGTGGGAGACGCCGAGTTACCTGAACCATATGTCGAATGTGTCGCCTCCGATTCCTACACCGCCTGCTTTCCCTTCGCAGCCCGCACCACCAGCGTTTCCTACCCAGCCTACACAACCAACGCGCGCTCCGTCGTCCGGGACAAAGCAGCCAGCCCAGCGACAGCACTTTACTTGGAAGACTGGGCACGGTCCCGGCACACAGAATGGATGAGTCGTCACAGAGCACGTCCTCGGTCAAGCACATCACGCAGACTCGAAGGATGATTAGAGCAAATGAACCAGTAAGGATTAGCACTATACACAAAGCTATCTCAGGAAACAGCTCTACCAGCCCCTCCATCTTGGCCACACATCGACAACCTCATGTCCTCCCTGCTCCGAGTCCACGATTAGGTACCACCCCAACCCGGCACCAGCAACACAAGCATGATTTGGCCAGACCTCCACCTTATCCCCAATCGCCAGCTCATTGCACTTGCTCCTGTCCCCCTTCCAAGTCAAGATCCCATGCTCCTGACTGATCCTCCCAACAATCCATCCTGTCTTCTCCCCGCGCTCATCATACACCGAAGTTGTTTTCGAGTTACCAAGCGTCCCCGTAACAATGCCCCACCCAGGATAGCTCTTACACGGCTCCCTCCCCATCACCAAGCTACCCGCCGAAACCAAGGCCTCAGGCTTCTCGCGCTCGGTGTAAACGGAAGTGATTTCGACAAGCATACGAATCGCAATACTATCCTTATTCAACGGCTGGAATCCTTCTCTCGCTTCACCCTCCGCTGGCCGGGCATGAGTAGCAACCTGTTGGCAGTCCAGCAACGGATACACACCAGCGTGCAACTCAACAACATACTGCTCTTTCAGTCTCGCCAGGACAACATGGAATTCATCCACCCTCGGCGAGTTCCCCGACAGCATGTTCTGCGCCGCCGTCGCCGTCGGCGTCGCTCCTATTGACAGCACAAGTCCCTTGCGCTTCTCCTCCGGGACCGCTTGAGCGGCGACTTCTAGACCGAGGAGCTCGTCGATCAGCCCCGATGCCGCGTCGTCCTCGGAGTTCCCGGCATACGAGTGCCCGAAGTGGCTGTAGAAACCCTTGAGCAGCACCGCGCCCTGGCCTCCTTTACTCGCATCTTTCGCCAGGATGGCATCAACCAGGGGCTTGAACTGGGGTGAGGAGGTCACGATGCCGGCGCGCTGGTAGCCGGTATCTATCTTCACGAACACGCCGATTTTCTTCTCAGGTGCGAAGGCTGGGTGGAAGGTTAGAGTGTCGTGGAACCGGGTGAATGCATCTTCGTTATCGATTATGACGTTGATTGACGAGGGTGCGAGGCTGCTGGCGAGAGTGATGAGGCGCGGTATAGCGCCCTGAGGCACTGGGACGCCGTAGAGAATCTACAGCACACGTTAGCAAATACAAATACAATATATGGATGAGGCGGCGTACGCTGGCTTCTCTGCCCCTCTCCTGTTCCGCCCTCACATACTCCACCAGATTCTCCGCCTCCGCGATGGTGCTGACGATGAATTGTGCTGGCGAGCCTTCCCGCCCATCCCCGACCATCATCTTTGACAGCTCCAGTGTCTTGTGGCTTTTAACATGTGCCCTGAACCCAACACCTAATCTCTCGCAAACTTGCAACATGGCGGTGCAATTCTTCTTGATGAGGCTGCGGTCCAGGATGACTGACGGCGTGGGCAGATCGGTGAGTTTTCTGCCAATGAATTGGTCTTGCAGGGAAGGGGTGGAGGAGAGGGGGTAGTTCGCTGCCATGGTGGGTGGTGGTGTTTGGTTTGGTTTTGGGTGCTGGATGATGGACGTTGCGTATTGAATAGCCAACTTATATACACCCTCTGTGTCCGCCTCTTGCAGTGCTGTTTCCCTACGGAAAAGTGCTCGGCCGTGCAATCCTCATCCACCTTCCACTATCATCGAAGGCTCGATAACCTAAAGACCTTCGAGCCACAATAAGCCGCGGACGAGCAATCTTGATCCTCCAGCTGCCAATTGAATCACTCTTGAGAGATGCCTGGGGGTAATAGTCTTAAAACCTGTAGCTGACAGGGCGTGTGCTTCACCGAGTTGAGCGACGGGTTGGGTTCGGGTTGAGGATGGGCTTATTGGCTATCAATCTTCTGGGGGTAACGGTTTGTGATACACTGGGGGTAATATTTTGGTGTTGGGTTCCGGCGGAGTTTGAATGTCCGGTTTGGAGTGGGGCAAGTGGGGGTGAGTTGACGGAAAGGACGCTGCTTTTGGCTATAATCAGATTGCACGAGGCATTTAACAAAACAAATAAAGACTTCAGGAGGTATCGTTGTTGCTCATTGAGGTTGCTACGCAAAAGCTAGGTGTTCTCGCACTTATCAACGCAGAAGACAAGGTTTACTTTCCCAAGCTGTGTACTCACATCACCGGAAAGCACCCTATGGAACCGGTCCCGGCCACGCACTGCTCAACCTCCTTCTTCTCGTCAAGACGCTACCTGGACTGATGCTCCTCCGATCAGCACCTGCGGGGCCGGCGAAACTGTTTTCGAGAATCGCGTCTTCCAAGTCATCTTCCTCCTCGATTCTTTCGATGATCTCTCTGGGCGCTTCCTCTTCGAACACCGCTTGAAGATCAGCATGCGGGCTCATCTTGCTCCAACTCCAGAAGCCGCCATCGAAGAGCCACTTGGTCCGCTTGCTAGGACCGGGGCCGCTGATGCTGCGTCTGCGTGTTGATTTCCACAGCGTACGGCGCTCGTGCCACGCAATTGCTAGCAAAAACGGTGCATTAAGAACACGTATCGCCGTAATGTTGATCTTATGAAACCAGCGCGGCGTTAATATGAACTTGAGCGGCAGCAGGACAACAAATGCGAGTAAGTTGAACGGCGGTCGATAGGCGAACAATGTATCCGACTTGACGCCTTCGAAAGTCATGACTGCGCGGCGGAACTGAATCTCAGCAGTGGCGTCGGCGGCGATCTTCGAGAATGTGTTGGAGAGAATGGACACCAAAACCGTCAGAAAGAGCGTGTTGCCGATGAACGCGTAGATGACCATGAGTACTGGGCCTAGGATCTCATGGAATGTGGGTGCCTCATCGATACCGGTGCCGTCCAGCCCAAACCAGATCCAGAGCATCCACTTGGAAATGGTGATGACATTTGGAGCGTCCGCGTCCGTAGCAGGGTTGCTCATACTGAGCCATTTCAACGCTAACAAGAAGCCACCGAAGCACCAGAAGGCGATGAGACTAAGTGCGGTGAACTCCTTTACCATTGCTCGCAGAGAGATGAAAAGCATGTTCTCCGGCATCAGGTTGAAGGCGATCCTTGGGAATAAGATTGGCGAGGCTGTCGCCAAGACATCGAGGGCCTGCCTGCCCGTCTCGTCGTTTCCAAGAACCCAGCCGTGCAGGCGCATCCAAAAGTAGATGATGTAGATTCCGGAAAAGGTAACGTCGAGGAAAGCCCAGAGCTCTTGGGTATGAACCTCCCATCCGTGTTCCACACAAGAGATCAACTCATCAAGCACCCAGCCACCTCCATAGAGCAGGAAGACCATCTCGGCTGTCGTAAGTGTGTGATCAACCCTCTCGTGCATACACCAACAGTAGCATGCGAGAAGGATGACAAATTGAACGACTTCGATGATGTTGCGCGTACGGGGTACCATGAGACGGTATTGGTTCAGCAGTGGGGCTTTACGGGGATCGTACAGCGATATTGGCTTGTGCTTGTAGTGGTCTGGAATGATGTCGATGAAAGTCGTCGGCGTGTACACAATGCGTCCCCGGTACACCGCATCTATGACCTTCTGGCTCGCCGAGCTGCTCAGAAGGACCTTGCTCTCAGAGACAATGGCAACCTCTAGAGCTGTCAGCTTGCCCTCGTAGTCACCTTGACCCTGATACTCCGAGATGTGCCGTGGTGGGGACACTTCTTCCGGTGCACCTTGGAAAGGCTGGAATGGTGCTACGAGAACTTGTGCGAGTAGCAAGAGTCCAGGCTTTCCAGTACTCTCTTCGTCATGCCGACGTAGGACCTTCATGGCTACGAGCTCGCACAAATTGGCTCGAGTGAGATCCACGGTCTGATGGTGTTGCTGAAATTGCTGCTCGCGCAAGAACTGCATACGATTTACGAGCAGACAATACACTGCTACAAGTCAGCAGCGGGCTCAGCCTGGAGTCCAGGATACCTACCAATAGAGATATCGTCTTCATCGTAGAGTCGGTCCACAAGTGGTTTGACAATCAACACGTTCATACGCGGTTCTCTCAACTGCTCGACCGAATATGGGTCCTCTATTACAGCTAATATGAGCCTTCGTATGCTGCTGAGTATTAGCATCTGCCCGATGTCTTCTGTGACGATTGTGTCATTGGCCCCCGACGACCGACACGGTTCTCGAAGAGCCGCAAGGCGCGGAATCCCACAAAGTGCTCAGATTCGCAGCTGCTTGTTTTGGGACGACATACCGATGAATGTTGTAATAGACCTTCAGTCCTGAATGCGGATACGGCGCAAACACCTCTCTAGGTCCCACCGGCTCGCCATTCCCATTGAAGCAGCCATCAGAACCCGCATGGTCTTCATCGGGAAGCAGAGTTTCTTGCTCTTCTCTACTTTTCACCGCACGTAGAGCATCGCTCAAGGTCCGTTGGGTGTCTGTGAGATGGGGTCGCCTAAGGTGATTCCGGAATTCTATGTGTCGCGAAGATTTACGCTGTGCGGGCGACGGCCTTCTCTTGGGAGAAACATCACCGCCGTTGCTGTGCACAGCTGTGCTGTCTACACTATCACGACTGCTGTAATTGGGGCTTAATCGTGGTCGAGGGAAGGTGCCATAGGCGGAACTGTCAGTATTGATGCTCCGGTCTGGGTTTGATGTCGGGTCGGGCATGTGAGGCCCAAAGGATAAGTAGCGATAGAAGGTGAAAGTTGGGTCGTGTATCGTGTGCTGTTCTCTGATTAGGCCAGACGTTCTAGGGAAGGAAACCGCTAGACAGGATCGGTCCGCTGCAGGTGCAGTATATACAATCTGTGGTCGTCTATTGGTTCTCGCGCAGCAACTCCGTAACTGCAACAAAGGATAATTGGGTTGCTGCAGACTTTGACGTGGACGATGGCTTTGGTGTGGGGGAAAATGGAGGCAAGAGATCAACGTGCACCCACGGATTCCAGATTGATCTTCGTTTCGAATCCAGGCTAGACCCAAGGAGGAAAGGCTGCCCGCGTTCTCTATGCAGCCCACACGTCACTGCCCGTCACTTTGCATGAGCGGTGTCGAACACCACAGTTTGTCAAATTCATTAACAACAACCAAAAGATCGATTAGGTATCTAGGCCTACGTTCCAAACTGCTCATTCCAATGCGAACACCTTTCAGCACTGCCCGCGTTATTGCCCCACCAAGCTGATATCTTAATTTGCTTTCCACTTCAAACAACAGGAAGTTCAGCAGCATGTTAAGATTGAAAGCTGCATCGAAAGTCGTGGCGACAATGTAATTGTAGCGCTTCCAGAGCTTGAAGTGGTGGCGGAGGATCTAGTACATCGCGATGAAGCCACCCAGCCATGAACTGAAGTATCCTGTTGACAGATTACCATAAAACACAGTCAGACCGGAGAAGAAGATTATTGTGTTCAAGAGGTGGAACTTGAGTTTCGATTTCGGGAACACGCGATATAGTGCATACATGGCAAGCGGTTCTGCAGCGTCGACTAGGAAACCGTAGGGTAGAATCCTCAACTCGCTGGCGACGAACATCCTCTTTGGGACAATGACAGCGTACTGTCCACTGATTCAGAGGGTCTGTCTTTGCGCCTGAGAGGTAATCGAACTTCGTGTTGAGGACCCACCGGATCACACCATAGTCGATGGGTATGCCTAAATTGCTTCCAAAGACCTGGCTGAAGAAGACAGTGCGCGATGGGATATACATGTAGTGACCAATGTGCCGGTCCTGGAGCATGTACTGGGCACGGTACCAGGCATCGCCTGCTATGGAGCCGTAGACTGAAGGTCCGCAAGGGTGATGATGGGCGGCTCCGCCGGCGATGTGGACCAAGTACCCGTAGATAAGCTCGTTAAAATCACCAGTCGCAACTTGGTAGTTCGAGATATCGTAAAGGTAGCCAAGAGGGACGACAACGATGAAGCCAGTTGCGACACCAACAATTACGGTCCACCAAGAAATGAAGAGCTGACCAGAGCTTACAATGGCAAGCAAGATGACACAACCAGTAAGGAACAATGCTACGAACCACCATCCAGGCACCTCCTTGTACGAGCGCTGTAGGACGTTTAGGCGATCTGTGTATTGGTGGTGGATGTTGGGCTCTGCAGTACCGTTACCGCTACCAGTGGAAGCTTGCTGCTTCTTTGCTTCGCTTCTAGCTTTGCGTGCTGCCATGTTCTTCCCGAACGTTACCAAAATGGCGGGACCACCTTTTGGAAGGTAGCCATCCAGACAAAATCCGGAATTAACTTAGCGTAGTTGAGAAATATGGCCCACGCAAACTGTAGTCCCATATACGCTGGACCGTATTTCTCCCAGGCGGTCTCGTTAAGACTAAGTCGCTGTTGATGATCTTGGCTATCGGGTATTTGGTTCCGTTAGCCAACAAGAGCGAGTTCGACATCAGGCCGTGTTTGTAAGAGCCTAGGTTACCCCACTTGGCGGCTGAAAGAAGAGCCCAGCAATTGAGCACAAAGGCAAGACACAGAACGGTCTGTATCCAGAAAGGTATAATCAGGATCGAGGAGCCATTCCAGTTAATGTTCAACAAGTCGAGACTGAGGTTCATGGATCCCATGCCTCCCAAGACCAGATCCGATGAAGTTCGCAATCTTCAGATTCAGGTCAGCTCATGCACATTTAGGAAGAGTGATTGAGAAGACGTACCAGGTTCTTCGGTGCCACCCAACACAGAAACGCAAGCGAGGACGTCATTGGAAAAACGTATTCTGGTAGAAATTGCCAGAGCGTCATACCAGGAACGCACAGGAAGAAGATGTGCATTTGTCGTTTAGCCAGTGGACTTTTACGGTCTTGCTTGCGAAAAGTCTCAAACAGAGTTGTGTACATGAGCGCTTGAGGCCACACGTGCTCAGGCTCCCACAAAAGCAGAGAACGAGGGATCGCAGCGATATCGTAGCCAATCCAAACGATGGCCATCGTGAAGAAGATAGCAACGGCAGGGTCGATCCTCGTGTCGTACTACAACTCGGCTATGCTAATCGGAGCTGCCGCCAGTCAGTAGGGGTCAATGTAGCTGATGGAATATACGCACTGTAGCCCAGGTTGTATGTCGCGCCAGGTGCCGCAGTCGATGTGACCAGAACATGCTCCTTGATGCTCCATTGGGCTGGATTCAAGTCGTAACCATAGCCAAAAGGTAATCTGACTTGCCAGGCCGGAAGTACTTTTGCTGACGCATGCGCGACGTAGTGACAGGTTCTGCCTTGAAGAAGATGGAGACTCTGGTCATGGGCCAAGCAAGAACAACATTGTTAGGACTTGGAAAGAGTCCTTAATGGCAAAGTTCTTAGGCTTTACTTATTACTTCAATTTTCACTCTTCCCCTGATCTCTTCCCTATAGAGAATTGTTGGCAGCCACCTAAACAGCACATCAAAAAGTACCCTCATTGGGATAGAAAATGACACCAAGGAGCTGGCTCTTGAGGATTGGGAGAAGGTGTCAGAATTTTATAAATGCTCAGGTTGATACTATACCTCAGAGGCTTCAAGACTATAGATATAGGAGGACAGATGACAGGGTGATGATATAGGAAGCCATACCGCGTTGGGGAGCTCAAACACAGGCTAGGGCAGCACATCAAAACACTCTTGTGATGAGCCACAACACCAAAAAAACCAGTACAATAGCTTCCTGTAGCCTTAATATACACTCACAAGTTGATTCTACTTTATAGCTTCTTAATTGAGTGCGTTGTTGTACTGCTACAATACAAATTTACTATGGGAAGAGCATTGAGATTGTTTGTTGATAGGGACTGACAAGTTGGTGATCCGTCTCATTTTTTGTGCGGGGGCGTGGAATAATCTTTGTCTTTGCACTAGCCTCTGCTCACGCAATGGGTTCCGAATGTTTCATACTCAAGTCAAAGACAAGATACAGTTGTGCGGAATAATTCTATGGTAGGTTGGAGGTTCTTGAAATCATAAAGTCATGTTACTCGCGAATGCATTACAGTCTCCGCCGCTAATTGTTCGGCCCAGTGAAATTACCAATGAATACTACCAGAATGGCACAGTAAGCAGCACTGGCAGCGAACATCTCATGTCTCGCAGCTTTCGTCAGGACACTCATAGCCGCACTGAACAACAGAGTGAACACAATCAACACTCCGACGGCGTTGAACGTGTTTCGTGAGGTGATAGCTGGAGTGTCACCGTCTATATCGATCGAGCTCGTGAGGTGATACATAGTGACTGGTGAAGTCAGTATACTGGTGGTTCGGGTTTGCATGAGATATGACATACTGATTGGGATGACCAAGAGAATGAAGATGACAAAGGTAATGAAGATGTTGACCATCTTGTCGATGCGCGAAGCACTGTATAGAGAGATGTCCGTGTTCTCTGTCTTAGCTGCGAGTTCTGGGGTGCGGAAATATTTCTATTGGAAGGCCAGGGTCAACAGTCTTCTTCGTCGAAATTCGAGTGCGGTGCTTACCAGAAGTGGGCCTTGTTGAAGGTTGAAGACCTTTTTCATGGTACTGTCGACCTGACCTATCAATGTCTCGACACCGCCATCGAAGGCCGCTCGTTCACGGCCGGTGCTGATGGATACGATGTCTTCCTTGCTACGAATTGACTCCATCTCACCATCCATGAGCGGTTTTGTGTTGTTGTGGTAGCGACGGACGCTGCGATAATCACGTTCAGATGGCCTTTGGAACGTCTCAAGCCTGCGGACATTAATGAGGACTTCGTCTGCACGATGGGTTAGTAGAGATGACATCACATGAATCCGAGGAATCATACCATATTCCATCAGCTTGGCTTTGATCTCACGAAGAATAGTTCTTCGAACCTGAGTGCCATCTTCTTCTTCGGCTGCCCTGAAACGTGGGCGGTCTTCGTCTGCCTCAACCTCATCCCAATCAATCTGATCGAGCTTTTCTTCAAGCTCGGTGATCTCACTTTGCAAGTCGAGCAAGATACGAGAATGCAGATAGCTGTACGATCGATACAGACCAAAATTGGCATCACTTGCCTGGAATGCAGCCAGCCTGGGAAAGCCGTTGGGTGCATTTTCCACTGCCAGGCTTGTTAGCTTCACCGTTGCTGATGAACATAGTGGTCTACAAGCTCACAGGTTCGTGTCTTTGTCTCGGTCACGAGCACAGGGTCTGGTGTAGACTTGAATGATCCTGTGACACGTCGCAGAAATCCAGGCCGCTTCTCATCTTCTGTTTCCTGGTCAGCCTTATTGCCACATTCCGCCACTTTGCGTCAGTTAACGCTCAGCCATCCAATTGTTTCAAACTTCTAGAGCAACACATCGTTTGCTGCTTGATTAAAGCAGATAACCCGCCTCGTACGTAGGGAAGTGATATTGATCAAAGCTGGTACATCCAACCTGATTGGATTTGGAGGCCGAGATGGGAAGCGAGGATTACCCACCAGGCTGTGCAGCCTCTCCAGCTGACGATGGGGGTACATCTGGAGACGTTTCTGAAGTTGGCGCGTAAATCTCTCCGATCTCAATAAATGCATCGCCTCGTAACGTAGATGTATCCGTGTTCGTTGGAGAAGCTGGTGTATGTGGTTGCTTCTCATCCATGAAAGTGTCTCCCGTCATGGTGCGTGATGGGGCCATTTTTGCGGGGTGAAAGCGAGCAACCACAAGGCAAGAACAACCGACAAGACAATAACAGAAGACACCAAATAACTCTTGCGCGGATCGCGGACTACGAGGCAGACGCGCTGAATGAGAATCAAATGTGGCTCAACATCTGGAGAGTTGTGGCGGGTGCATGCTCTTGTAACAGCGAGAAATGGAATGCAGGAGATCTCCTTACACGGGACTGAACGTCAATGCGTTCGTCTTAGCCCCCAGAAATCTTGCATGTCAAAAATCATTGGTTGAGAAAGCGCATGTTCAGCTTCGTTCGGGGAGCACCGCCTCAAGTCAATGTTGCATTCCTTAGCTCCGCCTCCCTCCACATCAACATCAATGTTTTACTGGGGCTTCAGATCCTTCTCGCGCACCCCAGCACCATGCCTGTAGAGCTGGCCTGTAAGGTCCTCTATGAGCTGGTACTCAACCCAGCCTGCACGGTTGTATATCAGCTTGTGGACTCTGAATACGCCCTTTATACGAGCACCTCCTTGAATTACGGCCATGTGCACTATCTGGCCCTGTCTGTATCTTGCTCTTGCCTGCCAGTGTCAGTAGGACGATCACTAACTAGCAGACAATCAATTACCAGAGCAGCGTTCTCGCCTGCATCAGCAACGCCTGATTTTGTGAGCGGCTCCTGTGTGTGCTCCTCTTGTGTGTGCTCATCCTGCGTGATTGGGTCAGCCTTATTAGGTGGCAAAGGTCTTACTACGGCGCGACCGACCTCGACCGTCTGAGCGGGTTGAACCTCAAGTTCGTTCGTAGACATCGCGCCGCAAACGTGAATCGCTGTAAATGTCAATGTATCTGAGGAGAGGTCTTGTGAATGATGTCCTTGACAAGCAGGGCGCTGTCTGATAATATACCTACAGCCCGGTTGCTGCAGGCCTCCTAGGCAACTGATTGCCTAGGGCTGCGAAGAGATTTGGCCCCCATTGAAGGCGGGTAAGTTTGCATAGCCGCATCAACACTTGCATAATACCTACCGATATAAGCTATCAAACCTCGAAGTGAAACGTCACAGCTCCCGCTGTCAGCACAAAGACAATCAAGGCACCAAGACACGGCAGCCTATCGATGCTGATAATCACCTGAACATGGCAAGAGGATGAGATGAATGTAGATGAGTGACGCATACTTTCGGCCCCCACTGTGGACGTGGATAAGGGTCGGTAAGCGCGCTAGTGCTTAGCTCGAGCGGGCGGGGTCTGTCGCTGCTGAATGCGAACCACTCTGCCGTGTGAACGATCTCCTCAAATATGGGGGCTGAAAGCCTTCCTTAGGCGAGCAAATAAATCAGTGTATATGAATGTTGTAGCGACACCTCGCAGCCTCGAGACACCGAGCTGCTCTGAGTAACACGCACAATGAGCACAAACCCAGACTCGTCCCTGCCCATTGTGAGAGCTATGGACATCGATTCGACCTCACAACAAGCCAATCCTTATAGCGGTCAAATCATCCATGCTGCCATTCAGGTTGAGTCGATAGAGCCTGTCGCGCAAGCTGTCGGACCTTTGTCAGCGGACGCTTCATTGGAAGCAAGCAGTTCAGCTGCTGAAGATGAAGCCGAAAAAGAGCGCGCCGATAACATGCGAATGTGGTGGAACGAAGCTATCGCCAAGAACATGAATCTGCCTGAGGGGTACGAGCACGTTGCTGTGCTTATCGTCAAGTGGGCTGACGAACTCGATGAGCTCAAGACAAGAACTGAGGTACGTCAAAGTCGGCCAGCTTAACGTCGACGTTGGAATGTACTAACGCATGAAAGGCGCTAGAACTCGAGACCTTGTTCCGCGATCGATTCCACTACCACACCGAGACCGTCGAACTGAACGTGAAGGGTAAAGCACAGCTACAGCTCAACAGTCGTATCAGCAGCTTTGCTGCAGAACACAACGGACCGAACAACCTGCTTATCATCTATTACACGGGCCATGGCGTATATTTTGAGGACAAGAAGTTTCTGCAGCTAGCTGCATGTGCCAATCCAGCGAACGGCAAGGGACTCTATCAGGACGCACACGCAAATTGGAACAAAGCGGAAGATATTCTCAAAGCAGATGAGGTTGACGCCGACGTATTAACCATACTGGACGCTTGTTACGCCAGTAATATAACAAAGTCAGCGGTGCAAACGAACAAGAAGTTTGAGCTACTTAGTGCGTGTGGGCTCGATCAGACGACTGCGGCACCAGGTCCTAACTCGTTCACCCGAGCCTTGATCGATAACCTGAAGGATCTTCTCGCAGAGTATGGCGACAAGCCGTTCAACACATTCCACATCAATCAGCGTGTATGTATGGACCAACGGCGTCGTGAATGCCCATCGCATTTGTGGTACCGGCTCCATAGTGACTCGAACATTCTTCTGGCGCCGTTGAAGGGAGCAGCAAAGCAGTTCCAACAGAAAACAAACGTTGCGCGCAACCCTAGAGGGTATCTGACGTTGAGATTCGCCCTTAGAGATGAGAGCTTGAACAAAGAGCAGATCGAAGTCTTGACCAGGAGCCTGGCAAAAGCATTTGAGAACAAGAAGATGATTGGCCTGAAGAAGATCGATTGGATCAACATCAAATCTGCGAAGGTGTCATACTTTGAGCGGGTTGGACTAGCTATGTATGCTGTCGCGCAGTGGAAGAAATTCCTAGCAAAGAAGCGGGAGGAGAAAGGATGGCAAAAGGCAGCCGAAGCCATGGACGTGGACATGGATCAACGCTCACCATTGCCTTCATCAACACGCAAGCGCTCTTGCGATGTGCTTGATCATCTCCCGGGTGCCAAGCGGCGGGCTACTGACACTTCGCAACCGCCATTGTCGCCAGTGTCGAACTCGTCGCGCAGTCATGAAGAGCTGTAAGATGCATTGCATGTGGTGCAAACCCCTTCAGGGCTGTTTTGTTTCGTTGTTCTAGCGTTATCGTTGCTTGGATTTCTAGGATACCCGTAGCTACGTGCTACTTGTGCAAAGTCGATATATGTATACATGTTCTTGGTTTTATCTCGCAACTGTTCTTACTTCCTGTTTCATCGTATTCAGTATGGGAAGGGACTGGCATGCGTCAGACGCGTCTTGGTCCGTCGCAGACCATCGCTTGTAAGTGAAAGACCACAAAAGTGAAGAGTGAACGTGAACAGTCGGACTGTACAGCTGTCCGTACTGCAAGACAATGGAGTCTACAGACCGTAAGACGCCTTGCACATATCCATCGCTTCTTCTCAACGTTGACGTCACCATAGACTCATTCTCGCACTAGCGCCACACGTCTCTACACCACACGCCATCACCGAGGACTGCGACGAGCACTGGCGTATATGTTTCAACCCTGATATCGCTGGCACAATCATGGACGAACCACGACTGATCAGTAAGATTACTGTATTGCAACTTTACCCAAATCTCGCCAAAGCATGGGAGGCGCAACCAGAGAAGCAAAAGATTGAAGCACAACGTATCGAGCAGAAATCCATTACCTTCATGCGTCGGCTCAACAACGCCAGATCGAGCCTGTACCTACCGAAACCACCAGATCTTGGCGTTGCCTGCGATCAGCATCTCTTACCTGGAATGAGAAGACACTGGGGCAAACCCAGGACATGCACGACGCATCCTTCGGATCAAGCATCCTTCGGAGTATGCAAATGTTGTCGCGTTGACCACCAGATGCAGCTCAGCACCTCACGCGACCGCCAATTTGTTGCGACAAGAGGTGCGCGGGTGCCCGTTTGCTCAAATTGCGAGCATCTGTCACCATCGAGCGGCTCAATCGCCATGTCAAATGCCATCGCCACCTGAGAAACAAGGCTGGTCTCTCAGGCGTTCGACCCCCAGTGCCAGTGCTATATCGCGCAATTCCCGGACAATAACGTTGATCTCAGCCATTATCCTTCACCCAATCCTTCCAGTGGGGGTTTCTTATGAATTCCTCAATCGCCTCCCTCATCTTAAACAGGTTAGAAGCAAAGAAACCCATCTTGTTGCAGAACAAGTCAACAGTGAGCTTGGATGGGTCTCAGATAGACTCGATGTTCCAGCCCCTGCCAACTAGTACCTTCTCAATGTCCACAACAAGGCTGGTGTTACGGCTAGGCCTCACTCCATGAGAGCCGCCCCTATATCACCGTGTGCAGCCTCTGCCTTGTCTCCTTAGAGGATTGCATCTGTTTCATCCTGAGGTTGCTTCGCTATGTTTTACAGCTGGCCTAAGGGGCGTTGTCAATCTCTTGATCACGCCGGGACTGGAAGAAAGCTTGGAATACCCTAAAGGGGGATACCTTCTGCCAAAAAGTCTCATACTGACTGCTTCGATTGGGTACTTAGAGGACATTATTGGAGCAGTTAGTCCTGACTACTTACCATTTACTACTGACTGTGCACGTGGGGCTTGAGCTTGAGCCATATAAACCTTGCAGAGTGTCATCCCAAGCTCTTTCTTCTTTGTGTGGACCTTGTAAAGTGTTCCAGGAGCCCTTAATATATCCAGTCTCAATACAATGCCTTCTCCTATTGCATATCAACCTACGGTGATAACAACTAGGCGTTCATACAGCCTTCCACATCCAATTTTGCTAGACTGATGCAGATGTAATATTTTCTAACATCGAGGGATGACCAATCCTTCTTAGTAAGAGGCAGTTTTCGGCTAGAAAGGTGGACTAGCTAAAGGAAAGTAGGGTTGCGGCAGGCAAATGCGGTCGATGAAGATCCCGTATGCGATATCAGGTTCTTCAAACTCTTGCACCCTTCATCCTGACCTTCACACCGTCCGCTGGACACCCGGTCAAGCTGAGTTTAGTCCTGAAGTAGCCTTGGCCACCATTCTCCACGCTCTCCCAGCTATTACTAACACCAACAACTTCCTCAAATCGCTGAGCAAGCCTTACGAGCACATAACCGGCTTCCGTCAGTGCGAACTGTCTCGATTCAGTATGATGGCTGCACAAAAAAGGGCGGGGCAACACAAACCTGCTGTCCAATACAGATCCTCGGTCCGCCATTGAATGGCAGATACTCCCATCCGGACTTCCTTCCATCCCAGCGATCGGGACGGAACTCATCGGCATCTTGACCCCAGAGGTCCTTGCGACGTTGCACCACATACACGCAGTATTCAACCCGTGTACCCTTTCGTACGTACACAGGCTTGTCACCGTTCGGCCCGCCACCCCTGGGAATTGTAGTGTCCTTTAAAGCACAACGTCCATCGAGAGGAACAACTGGGTGGAGACGAAGTGTCTCGTTCAAGACCCACTGAAGATAGTTGCAGGACTTCAGGCTTGCAAAAGTGATGTTGCGGGGGTTGTTGTAGGTGCCGAAATTCTCCAGCACGATGGCACGGAGCTTCCGATAGACTTCTGGGTGCTTTATTAAAAGCGTGTAGACAAACGAAAGAAGCGAGGCTGTTGTGTCGCGACCAGCGAGCAGGATGGAGATCATGTGTGATCGAAGCTCGATGGGGTCTTGTGTCGATTCTGCAAGTGCGTCGAGAAACACGTACTTCTGCTTTCCATTGGACGTTTCCTTCTCAGATATCTTCTCCTTGGCAAGAGCTTTCTGTACGTAGTGGTCGATGAACTGCCAGCAGATGTCGCGATGTCGTCTGAAGTTCTTATCAAAAGCCAGCCACCATAATTCACCCATGCGAGCAGCCATAGCGACTGCGGCCTGAGACTGGTCAAATGAAATTGCGAAGTCCTTCTCGTTGACAGGCATGGGCGGACGGCTTGAAGTGTAGTCCGACAGGTTTGCAAGTTGCGAGTCTACGCTCTCACCAAAGAGAAATTCGGTGGCAGAATCAATCGTCAACCTGAAGAAGAGCGGCTGAATATCTATGACATCTGTCCAGCCATCTTTGTTGATAGGTAGAACGCGCATGAGGTTCTTGACGTGCTCTTCCTCGAGGTCAAGGTCGCTGACTTGCTCACGAGCAAACTGAGGTCGCAGCAGGTTTCGCGCATGTTGCCATTCTGCGCCGTCTGTAGAGAACTGTGAAGCCAGTCAATACTGCTTGAGATACGTCAACACGATGAAGTGTAGAATGGTAATGCTCACAATGCCTTTTCCAAGCAGAGGAGCGAAGCTTTCGTTCCTTGTCTCACCTAGTCCGAAGTCCTTGAATTGTGTGGCAAGGACGGCCTGAATGTTCATTGGGTCGACTGTGAAGGCAGTTCTTGTGCCCAAAATCTTCTGCCCGAAGGTTGTAATGTTCTTTCCTTCGTCGGCACAAGCATTGTCAACACGTTCTTTCACGTGTTCAGGGACTCGCGATTTCTTATCCGCCGCAATGATTCTTAACACATTTCGAATACCCTGAATATCGAAGAGCCTGAATTGATATGCGGGCTCGCAGCCTAGTCTCTTAGCTGCATTGCGATGGTGGCGCTCTGTGAGGAAGTATACAACGATCTTGTAGAGAACAAACGACACACCTGCCCAGAGGGCGAGAAGTATGGTGTTGTGCATGACGTCTGTCGGGGTCCACGCCGTCGATGCAGGTCGATGTGTCTGCTGGTTCGAGGGGTGTATAGCTTCAATTCTTGGGCGGCCTCAAGGAGATATTGAAGTCGCTGCCTGTCAGCCACGAGGGCAGCTTGCTGCATTTGCCGGTTAGAGGCCGTCTTACATGTCCCGCGGCACGCACCCCATGTCGCCGTTACTTAGTGGTATGCTAGTACAGTCGGACCCTCTTTCCACCGCTCCAGCAGGTCCTCCGAACGTTCCTTTGTCTGCTCCACCTCTTCCCACGTCGGAAACGTTACGAGAGCATGTTATCTCTTCGTCGTGATTTGGATCTCTGATGAAGAACTCCCCTGACCCTTCGCTTAATACGGCAGCTTGGTGTTCCGACCATTCTTTCGGACATTTCAACTTTTCCAGACTAGATTATTGACTGGGACTTGAATACCAAGGGGTGGTCTGACGCACAGTAAGCGGTCGAACTTCACGCCGTCTACTCCTGGGCTAGCGGGACGCTCCCGGCTCGCATCCCGGACAACGCCTCGGAGCCCTCGTGTTCTTCATCTACAGAGTTAACAACAAGTAATCGCCAAATATAATACTCAATTAGGCCTGACACGGTCCGCTCTGTGGTCTTTTTGGGCTTGATTAGGCAACTTATTTGGCGATTACTTGTTTGTTGACAACTCTGTTCATCTATGAGATATCGAAATTTTGCGTGTGGATCACAGGAAGGTTGCTGTTGCCAGAATGTACCTAGTACTGTTCACGTGGCTAGCGGCGGACGAGGGCCTTCAACGATCGTCTCTTGAAGGAAGCATGTTGCTTGGACGGTCGGGTGGCGCCAAGAGTTCCGAGCATGCTGACAACGGGGACAAATGCAGGGTCAATTGTTTGATGGCAGGGTAACAGTGCATAGTCAAATTACCCAGATGGCAAGGCTCTTCTGAAAGGAAGAGCAAGATAAATATCGGACGATGTTGTGTTACGTGAAAGAGATGATGTTGGTGTTGAGTTTGCGTGCAACCGCATACATGCACATGGCTGGAGCTTATGGGTGACTTGTAGTGTTTGCTGACCCCCTTCTCTTTTTGAGTATGTGAGATCCCACCAAATGTTTGACTTGGGACCTGGATGATATGGGTATCACACTTACCGCGCAGGCAAGCAGATTTTAATAGGGATGACAATGGTCTCCCTACTGGCGACAGCGTTGCTCCATACTACGTTAGAGGTGGTAGTGAAGGAAGGGTAGCGGGTTCATGACGGTGATGCTATCTATGATAACAGGCTTGGCAGAAGCAGAGGTTGTGATTGGTGGTGAAGGTATGGGTCAGGGTCTAGTACCTAAGAATATGCTCCCGGCAGTCTCAGACTCTTGCATCACCGTACCACTCTTCTCCCTTCAGTATGTGGTCTGTGCACAAGGGGGGGTCAGCAACTATTACAAGCCATTATATTGACCTCTAATGTTGTCACATTGAGGTGCAAGGTCGCAGAACAGTGTTATTGTAAACATGGGTCTTCTCTATATTCAAGTCCAACTAACCATAAATACTCTTTTGGTATCGTTCATGAAGGTCGTCACTCGTAGACTCAGCATTTAGAGTTCATCCCTTTTCCTCATGGCTCGCCTCCTGAGATTTAAGCCTGTACACACCAACCGAGTGCCTCTCAATCTCAGCCTCGAAACGGCCACCAGAAGCAAGAGTGCCAACTTGCTGACCCCAGAGCGCAGGGTGCATGGTCTCAACACCGTCGGCATACGATATAGCAGTCGTGTTGAACCTGGTAGTGCTGTTGCTGCTGATTTGTACAGTAGTACCGTTCATACCAGCCAGAACAGCGCCAGCCTCAGCCTCAGACATACGGTTTGCCCAAAAGTCGTAGACATCCCAGATCTGACTGAGCTCAGGTGGAGCACGGTAAGCGCCCGCAGTGCACTCGTCGAAGAAGACCTCGTCGATGGTAGCATTCATCGTGCGAGTAGTGTTTTCAGCATTGAGCCGAGGCGATCGCCGTTGCCCATGGTTCGAGTCCAGAGAGGGATCTCACAAGCGATGATGCCCTAGCCTCCAATTGAGTTTGTGCAAGACATCAAACTCTTTGGGAATGAGCAACGCAGTAAGATCACTGGAGAATCTTCGTGTCCTATGACGGCTACATGTGTCTCACAGTCTCGCAGGATTGCATGTTTGACTGCGCTCAAAGAACGTATCATGTAAGTTCGGGTACATGGGCCGACATTTTGAGAACCAACCTCTATACTCCACAAGTCACTGCAAGAACGAACAGCCATCTTTCATGTCCTTTCTCCGCAACGTGCAGCTGCGGGCGGGCACACCTCTGTCTCTGGAAACAAATCCTCTACACTTCCGTCAGTTTCCCGCCTTCTCTGCCTCAGCGGAGCACACCCGACGAGCCGAACATCTGCTTGCACATTTTGCAAAGCCCATGCAGCCGGCTGACAGCCGAGAAAGATCGACATCAAGATGACCGGTGAATGGTTGACGGTCAGACCCGCAGCAGAACCTCAAGCTCCAACAGTTGTCTAACTTCAGAGAGACTTGTAGCCGCCACCCTACTGCACTCCACACTTGCACTAAGCTTAGGCACCTTCACAATGGGCACGCGAGACCGAGAACAATTCGTGAATAATTACCATACATCATTAATGAGGCAGAAAGTACCACAAGAGTTCTTAACCTATCAAGTCGACACACATCGTGCCGTCGGAGCCCAAAAACACGCTCGTCTATTATCTTTAGAACATGCATCTAATCCAAGCATTCTTCTTATACGCTCTACCCCAATGAACTCCGTTCTAATCATTCTTAACTCCTCCATCAAGAACGCGCAGCAACCCTCTTTCCCCCACACCCCGTACAAATCCCATCCTTCTCAACCTTCAAACACCACAACTTCACACCCTCACTCTTATCACTCCCTTCATACACCCTCACTGGCTTCGATTTCCCCTCCTCTGTTAAACATCGTCAGCAATCTCCTCTCACCTTCACCACTCTTATTATTTCGAGACACATACCTTGCTCATGAACCGACTTCGGCTCCGGAGTATGCCACCGCTCAACCTCATCGTAGCAGGCTGCCCAGTCGTACTCTTGTGCTTCTGAGAGAACGGTCTCGGGGATCACCATTGTGGAGGCGCCGGCGGAGTAGTATTCTAGGGCTCGGCGTTGGGCGCGACAGTGGCCTGTTGGGTGGGTGTGAGGTGGTGAGTTGGTCATTGTGGTGTGGCGATATCTGTAGTTGTGTCTGTTGAGTAAAGATAGGTAGGTAGGTAAATAGATGTGATGTTGGTAGTGAAATTGATTTGTATTAATAAAAAGAGTCGAGGTACGGCACAGTGAGGTGCTTTTATATAGATTGAGGCTCAGCTGCAGTGCGGCTGAGTCGCAGAGGCACTATTTCAGTGCAAAGGTACGAAAGCTCAGGAGAGTTGTGGTGTTGTCGAGTGGTGTTGTCTGCTGGTATTTTGGTGGTGAGATCGATGGTCCGTGGGATATCACCTCATGGTCATTCATGCCACTCACAACCTCGGGCGGAGCGGTGAGAAGTCGAAACAAGCACATGATCTGCAGATCTTCTCGTTTTGCAATAAGGTTATTGCTTTGATATATCGTTCAGTTTCGTTGATGTTGCCTTGTGACTTGTCATCGTATTGTCGCTGCTGCTTGCTGCGGTGTCACCTCCTGCCGCAATGCGACGTGACTGCCTCCAGCACTCAGGGAAAGCATTGATTGTGCGATTGCATATGCCTTGCCTTGCACACGCGAGATGCTTTCCGTGAAAACGAACAGACCTTCACCATATGTCTGATTCCGCTACGGAAGCCAGGTGAAAGCGAGATGTGCGAGATGAGAGCTCTCGCGTGGAAGCTCGCTCCCATGAGCCTGCCTGGCAAACAGGTACTTTCCAATTATTCTACCGTTTGCCATCATCCCCACCACTGCCATCAAGTCAACCACCTTTCCGTTAACAGAACGTTTGCTACTATTGGAAATGCAGCAAAAGCGTGTCGACTCCACAACCGCTCAAATTCACGATGCACCAAAGGCCAAGCGGCAAAAGCGCGCACCGGCACCATTCGCCTTCTATCCGAAACAATGGACGACAGTACGCACATTCGATAACAAAGTCTCTCTGCTGAGACTGCAGCGTGGAGGCCCTCAGCTTATCGTCAAGAAGGTCCTCAGGATCGAGCCCAACTCCGCCAATGACCCAAAGCCCTTCGAGATGCGCGCTCTTGCCTTGCTGCCTAGTTGCAACAGGATCGTCCATGCCCTCACATGCGTTGCGTCTGAGGACCCCGACTTCGGCATTGCGCTCTTTAAGTACTACCCCTTGGGCGATTTAGCGGTATGGAAAGATTGCGAGTTTGACCGCAAGAACTTCAAGCCGGTGCCAGAGAGTTGTATTTGGAGGTTCTTCTTGCAGATGGCACAAGCTCTGGCGTTTATCCAAGGCGAAATCGGACCAGGAACCGTGGAGCGACACCTCATACTGCATCGAGACATCAAACCGAAGAACGTCTTGGTGGTGGACATCGGCACCACGTACCCGTCTTTCAAATTACATGACTTCGGCTGTGCCACGGTCTGGCGAGAGAGCAAGCAACACCAGCTATCTCATTGCGGGACATATGATTGGCAACCTCCAGAGAACCCTCAGATCAACACCACGGCGGCAGAGGTTTGGGCGCTAGGTGCTTGCGTTCACTTCCTCGCGACGGGACAAAAACCGATTGCGAACACACATGAGAATAGAGCCGCTTGTTTGGAGAGAGCGAGGAGGCATTCAGGAGAACTGGAAGAGCACTCGTCGGAGCGAGACTATTACTCCTCGTCGAATCGATACTATGCGGCCAAGGTTCCAAGACGGGTGATTCCAATCAATCTTGACGCAGAAACACAGATTCGTCGCGGTATCGCAAACCGAGGATTTCTCAACCACCAGTATAGCGACGAGTTGAACGACTGGATGACTCGTTGTTTGCAGTTCGCACCTGCGAAGCGACCGACGACGGCGGGACTGATGTCCGGTATGGGGGCCACGGCGCAAGGTTTGCTGAAGCGAATGGGAGGCGCGGCGGCGCTGGCGGACATGGAGGTGACGTTCTAGTCATCATTCTTCCAGATCCTCACGATATGTAGCTTCTCCCAACCAGCCTTCTTTCCACTTGTGCCCACCGTTTCTGCTTGCCACCCAGATCCCCAGTCTCTTATCTGCTGCTTGACGATGTCTGGCTTGTTCTGTGCACACAACAGCACGTAACCCACTCCGCGCCCTTTGCTCAATATGTCTGGTATCTGCTCTAACATCCTGTTCGTCACCACCATGCCATCCTCTCCACCCGCATATGATAGCTCTAGCAGGTACGAATCCTGCTCGAAGCTGGTCTTTGTTTTGCCCTCAGGTACGGCGTTGTAGTCGGTATGGCGCGAGAAGTCGGGCAGCTCGGCTGGGACGTATGGTGGGTTGAAGATGAAGACATCGATAGAGTGCGGGCGGATTGATGACGCCAGGTCGCCGTTCACGATATCCAGGAAGATAGATCGTTCTTCATGTTGTTCTTCGTCTTTGACTGCTGTCGATACGGTCTGTGAGGCTGCCTGACAAGCGAAACTGTTGATGTCAGTCCCGAGTGTTAGTATGTCATGCCGACCAAAAATGCTGCGCGCGTTTGCAGCAACAAAAGCTAGAACGACGCCTGAGCCAACGCCCACCTCGAGCACCAACGGTGGGGCTGTCGACTGCAGGAATCGCTCTGATAGGAACGCAGATTCGGTTGACGATGACAGTGTATCGAGCAGCAGATATGAATCTTCTGCTGGCTCGTAAACACGATCGAAGCAGACGTGTGAGGTCGAAGGCGTCGGCAGCATGTTTGTCGATTGCGGCATTCCGGAGCGGTGCTCGAAAAGATTGGTCAATGTGCTCCGGACCCTCACCACGCTAGCCGAGGCTGAGGTCATCGAGCTTCTCGATGATCATGAATTCATCACTCGGTCTCGGGCTTTCATCTTCTACAGCCCCAAAAGCTCCAATCAATCACAATGAGGACGTATTCGCGATTACTGGCTGTAGCAACAGACGCGGGCGCTGCGAAAGGGCCTTTCCGACCTGCTCCAGCAGCGTTACTGCCACCAATTCCACTCTACAGGACATTGCTACGAACGCATCGAAAGGTGCTGCCTGTAGAGCAACGGCTGCTTGGCGACATGTATATCAAGGCTGAGTTCAGAGCACACAAGGACATCGACAACCCTGTTCAGATCGTTGGTGCTTCAACTATCACACGTGATTGTACATGTTACTGACCGCAACAAAGATTGGATTTCTTTCAGAATGGCAAATGTACGCACAAGCGTTACAAGGCGATACCTGGAGAGGAGAGAAGATGGACAAGGCCAAGATTGATAAAATGAGCGGTACGTGAATACACCGACAGGAGCTGCTGTATACTGATGAAGCGCAGACCAGCAAATCGGTCAGCTATACGAGCTGATGCAAGCGATTCAGAAGCAAAACAGTGAAGACGCCGAGGTTGAGGAAGCCGACGTCGTGGTGCCACTCGACGGGCCAAAGAAGCCTGATCAGTGATGTCCTGGTGGTGAATATCGACTGCCACTTCAATGCTCAAAGACGAACGACGAGGGCCTCACGATCGACAGCATGCGTACAAACAGGATCATGGACGCTTCACAGAGACCCGAAGATGTACTATATATGTTCAGCAAATATCACACCTTACACCAACACCCTCCCCGTCCACCTTGATCAACACCACCAACGGCCAGCAACCTGGTGCCTCCATTGCAGCGCCCTCGGATATCGTGCATACCGTCGAAAACAGTCGGTTCACAGATCTTCTCTAAAATGTGTGGCTGTACCCTGTACGATTCTCCCACGTGCGGGCATTCCTGGATTTCGATGTCACAGCCCTGCGGTTTCCTCTCCGATCTCCTTAGCTGCCCGAATCGACAAACCTACCAGACCCTCATCGCACCTCCGTTTACCTGTCCGCAGTGCAACGGTGGTTTTGCAGACCGCGAGACCATCGAGATGGTGCAAGGACCTTGGGGCTGTAACCAGCTGATTCGCAGCCACATTGGAGGTAGCCACGGCATACCTGGCTCTTGGGGTAATGTACCGCTGGCGATGAACAACTGGGGCGGAGGTCTGGGAATGGGTATGCCTTCAAGCATGGCATTAACATCGAGTCGGGCGATGGTACCAGTCAACGGGTATGGACACGACCACCGGCTGACTGGGCCATATGGCTCCTATCCAGCGATCTGTAGTGGATACGGCTCTTTTGGCAACGGCATGATCATGGACGATGGCTTCGTGCATGACTACGATTACGGCTACGACGGACGAAGGCGAAGGAGGCACAAGAGCAGTTCAAGGTATGTCTACCGTCACTCGTCAAAGCCAGCGACGAACTGTACGGTCATGTAGCATTTGTTGTGTCGCTGAGGTCGGTAGGCATAACAGGTGTTGTGCATTTTTCAAGAACTGGTATTTGTCAAACGACGAAACGCATTCTTCCCACCTTCCCTTCATTCACAGTATTGATGTTGCGAATGCACAATCAAAAGTACCGTCATACACCTTTGCATATCAGTCACGTTCCCAGGATTAATATACGTACCACCGAAGAGAGCCAATCACAAGCACCTCGGTCTCCGCCGCAGAGACCGCCGGCCCCGCTACACGCGAAAGCTTGCAGCTCTCCCTCCTTCACGCCGCTCGTCAGTCTACACTGGCGCTACGGCTTTGACGCCACCTACGCAGTCCCAGCCTTCGCTTTAGCTCCATAAAAACGTCGCAAGAACATACCACCACCTGCTCACCCCTAAGTACCAGGCAGCAGCGGGGTACTTCAGGCCAGAACCCTCGCATAAGCTCCAAACAAGCTCCGGACACCACGTCACTCCACCGTCAACCTCTCATACATACCAACAACATGGCCGGAACGTTCTTCGAAGACCTGTGGGAGTCCATCTTCACTCCTGGCCCTACGCCGACCCTCCTCATCGCAACCAACGCCTCCTTCGCCGCCCTCCAGCTCCTCTTCTTCGCGCTCTTCATCGGCACATACAGCATCCATTTCGTAGTCCTGTCTTTCCTCACCGGCGGCCTCTGGTATGGAATTAACTGGTTCGCAAAGGAGATCCGGATAGCGCAAAAGGCAGAAGAGGAGGCCAAGCGCATTCGCGCCGAGAGACGCGGAAGCCAGAAGGACACAGCTGGCGACGGAGAGCAAGCGGACATCGACACAGGGGATGACACGGAAGTCGACGCTAAAGAGGAGGTGCAGAAGCAGAGCGAGGGGCTAGCGAAGAAGGAGAAGCGTGTGCCTAGACCAGAGACACAGAGCACGGTGTTTGTGGAGAGGCCGAGCGAGAGGGAGGAGACGCCGCCTGCTGTACCTGCGAGTACTTATGGTGGTGGACCAGTTCGAGGTAGCACGACGGGCGCATCTACTCAGCTGGCGCCGCTGGTGGATGATGCGCTGAAGAAGAGGAAGGGAGGGTTGGGCGAGAGCACTGGGGATTTGAGTACGGACAGCGAGTGGGATAAGCTCTCTGAGGACTCAGAGGAGCGATGAGATACCCGCGATAGACCCTTCCTGTTGTTTGTACTACTCGACTGGTTACGAACTCCACGGTGTTATCAATGAGCGCCCATACGCAACCCTGTATGTATCCCACGTGAACACGCGCTTCGTTCTTCTGCTATGATGGAACTTCCACAGTGATCGAGACTACCTACCCAGACCAGCAGACAGCTTAGTCCAGGCAGCATGTTATCGTCAGCATACTCACCTTACATATGTCCGTCTTCCCCACTATGCGAACGCCTGGCTTTGGCGCCCAAGCTATGCCCCACCATGATGCAGGTGCCAACCATCACAGTGCACGTTTGAGACGCCAGGCACCTGCAATTGCACCACACACCTGACAGATGAAGACGCGTAATCCTCCACCACACCGGTAGCGAACCTGGAGCCCGGATCATTCACAAGCCGACCCTCTCTTCACCGGCGCTGGTCCCTGCATCCCCACACATTCCACCATGACCTCCCGCAATGCGCCCATGAGCGTGGCCGAAGTGGTCGCGCAGGCCGGCAACTACACATACAATGCGCACATACCGCTGGCGAACTGGCTGCGCACAGCGAATACTATGCAGAAAGAAGTGTGCTGCACAAGCCGGTACCATCGTTCGAAGCTGACACGTCCAGGCGCAAGTCTACGAAGCAGAGGGCAACGATGCGCAGACATACCTGCTCCTCTACAGACACGCCGACCTTGTCCTCCAACATCTACAATCCCATCCAGACAAGAGCAAGCCCGAGAACCGAAAAGCGCTCAATGCTGCGACTGCCGCCGTGCGCAGCGACCTGAAGAAGCTCGAGCAGATTGCGCCGCGGATAAAGAGGAGGCATGAGGAGTATCAGGAGAGACGAGGGCGGCAGTTGGAAGCTCTGAAGGCATTGGAGGGCAAGCATGCAAAGGCGCTATCTCAGGAGCTTGACGGGCTCTCGATACAGGACAGAGCTTCACAACGAACGTCTTATGGCGAAAGGCCAGCACTGGACGCGCGGAACCTAGACAACCATTCCTTGGCGGCGAGACTTGCACAGAGAGAAGTGCGGCGGCGAGACACGCAGCGCAGAAGTGTACGGCAGGCTGGAGTGTCGGAAGAGGAGGAGCAGGAGCGGAGGACGGGCGGCGTCTGGGGCACATGGGACGACGAGTATGCGCGACAGAGTCGGCCTGGGGATGATCTGTCAAGCCAGATCCAGGAAGTTGCGCGCTTGCAGCGAGATGGGCAGCGGACACCGTACTCTCAGGTAGGGCATATACTACTAAACGTGCAAGGAGTGGGCGTCACTGACAGTTACAGCGCCCAACTTCGCAATCTTCCACATCGACGTACAACTACCCCTCCGTACCTCATACATCCGCGCAAGATCGATGGTCACAGTCCAGCCCGCAAGGTCCCTCATTGCCCGCCCGCCCACCAAAAGAGCAAATCTACAGATCCTCAGGCGCGCCCTCACTCCCACCACCACTCCCTCCCAAACCCTCTACACCGTTACAGTCAAGTCCATACAACCGCTCACAGCCCCCTCCCATACCAGGCAAATACACCTCCACCCCCAACGCCCCTCCAGTTCCCGGGAAACACGCCCCCGACCGCCCCCCTACGCTTCCTAACGAGCTCGACTCCTTCACATTCGAGCCGTCTGCCTTCCTCGAAAACGGGGACGCGCTACGCCCTGTCTTCCTGCCCTCACAGTTACGCTCAAAGTTCCTTGCTAGCGCAAGCCACAACACGCGGCTCAACCTGGAGACGTGCGGCATGCTGTGCGGGATCCTGAAGAACAACGCTTTATTCATCACGCGCCTGATTATCCCCGAGCAGACGAGCACCAGCGATACATGCGAGACACTCAACGAGGAGGAACTATTCGATTACTGCGATAAAGAAGAGTTGTTGGTGATTGGCTGGATCCATACGCATCCGACCCAGACATGCTTTATGAGTAGTCGCGATTTGCACACGCATGTTGGCTATCAGGTCATGATGGCCGAGTCCATAGCGATTGTCTGTGCGCCGTCGAAACAGCCTAGTTGGGGCTGCTTCAGGTTGACGGATCCGCCGGGCAAGCAGGCGATTCTGAGCTGTAGTAAGCCCGGTATCTTTCACCCACACGACGTTGACAACATGTACACGGAGGCAATGAAGCCGGGTCATGTGGTCGAACTGCAGGACGCGCCCCTTGAGATCGTGGATATGCGGCCGAAGAAGAGTTATACTTGAATACGGAACAGACGGGGATGGAGATTGCTGAGTGATCGACAGAGTCGATGTTCTCGAGGATTGAACCTGCATAGCGTTTGGCGTTTGGGTGCATCATCTAGATGAGCGTCCTATTGAGGTTTCAGAGCATGGCATCTGGATCTAAGCGCTCGGGAAAACGTCGTCCAGTAGGATCCAGATAGGTAGTAATTATGTCTATTGTGTCTAGGTACGCCACATGACGCCTTGCTAGATCTATCATGGATATCGTCAAATCATGCACCCGTCTACTTATCAGCCATTTCCTCCTCCACCCACTCCCGCCACTCCTTCCACTCATTATACTCTAAACTCACCTTCTTCCCCTGATACCTTATAACCTTCAGCCCCACCTTCTGCCAATCATCCTTCCTCCCGCTCCACCCCGCCTTGCGCATCAGGCTCGCCAGCGCTTCCTCTTTCGTCCACCCTTGTTCTCGTGCTACGTCTGGCAGGTATGTCGACCCGTACCGGCGCCCGTGGTATGTGAACGAGAGCCGTATGCCGTGCGTCCCGATGTCCCAGGCCAAAGGGTCGGAATTGGGGGTGGGCTCGAAGTTTGTGAGCAGCGTGACGGCGCATTGGAGGGAGGGGAGTTCGCGTGAGGTGATGGGGGTGAAGCGTGTGTCGTCGAACGCACTGTTGGAGTTAGGTGTCATGTCTCTCTACTCTCTGCTCTTCTCTGCCCTCTACTGCTCATCTCTCAACTCGTCTGCATGAATACTGGGAACGGGGAGGGTAAGAAGTACCTAGTCAACGCATAACTGCCCAAGCCCTCCTCCAGATCCAACGGCTCAAACGTCCCGATACAACCCCTTAGTCTCTTATCCCCGCTTCGCGACATGGCGTTCCACGTCACGAATAGTGGATGGTCTTCCTGCGTACCCTCTGCTTTCTGCAGCGCCCTGCCAAGTGAGGTCACGCTTGTCCCTGCGCTGCTGGCACCGCTGATTGTAGAACCGCTAGGTGTGGACGCTACGCTAGACGAACTGCCGCTTGCCGGCGACAGGAGGCGCGATATGGCGGCGGGTTTGGCAGGTGGATCAGCGTCGGCTTCAACGGTGTCGGTGGTGGTGGATGAAGCATTGTACTTCTTCCAGAGGGCCTCGACTTGGCGCAGGGATAGGGCAGGTCGCTTTTCCAGCGAGGCGGCGAGCGACTCGAAGCAGTATGCGCAGTGGGCCTCGGTTGCCATATTGTGCTGTGTTGCGGTTCGGCGTGGGTTTGCTGTTGTTGTTACGGGCTAGAAAGTCGATGACCAGCGAGGGTTTGAGATGTAGAGTAAAGTTGGTGGCTACAAAACGTTTGAGCAGGGTAGACGTTTGCTTGTTAAGCAGCTAAAGCAAGGCAGTGCAGGCGAGATACCGGGTGCTTCGGCAGTCTTTCCTAGCAACTCTCCGCGGTAAACGGTACAAGAGCGTTGGATCACTTGTCTGGTCTTGATAGGTGCTTGGGGCTCTTGTATCGCCTGCGGAGAGAGAGGTGAGCGAGTGTGGTGTCGTTGGAGTGGAGGAGCGTGTACCCCGCTGGTTGGTGTTGCAACTCCACATGTGCTGAGGGGCGGCTATCTGCACGACGTCACCTGAACGATAAGTGATACCAAGACTCGCACCTGAAACTGAATGTATTGATCTATGTGCATCTGATGGAATGCATCAAAAGGTTGCATCTAGAAGTGTGGTAAGGATTCGCAGCCTTCGTCACAACCGTTTCTGGAAGCTAGCAAGACCTAAATGTGAGTACAAGGTATGTAACCCCAACTTCATGCACACTCGCCCTACGGAGTAAAGAACGGTGTGTTTGGTAATGTTGGGGCATTCGATCTTGGCACGAAGATAATGCTTCAGCAGTCGAGCATGGAAGAGCTCTTCTGCTGTATGTACTAATGCCGTTCGTCTCGAGGGATGGCCCTCCTCTCCCCAAATCACTTACTGGAAACAAATAAAAAGAATACTCGCATGCAACACTCGGCGCAATTGAAAGGGACCGATTATGACTTTTCGACTTTTACATTGCCGCATCTCAGTGCCTATGGTGTGGAACCCGTGTCCACCCGTCTGGGGCTCGTTGCCGCCAGAGAAAGTCCGAATGCCAGTGACGCCGACCAGATGTCTCATGAGGAATCGATAACCGCCCTGTGTCTCGCTCGTTCGTGATCGTTCGTCGCTTAAACAGCATCGCGCTTGCCCTCCTTGACCTCCTTCTGTGTGGGAGTTAGCTGGCCGTGTCCATCGTGATTTGCGGGTTATTGGTGGAACGCACCAGGGCGCGCATGGTGCCGTGCAGAGCATGCCTGTGGTTGCGGCGGAACTTGGGGTCGGTGCCCTTGAGCGAAGGGTAACGGTGAGTCTTAGGCTTCTTGATACTACGGTGCCATCATGTCAGCTGTGCCATCCTGCATCCCAATGTGCGTGTCGATATGTGATCGGAATAGGTGCGATCGATGTCCATTCGTGTGCGCTCGAGGCGGAGAGTGTGTGCGTACCCGTTCCTGTGGTTCTTCTTCGACTGGTTGTGCTGAGACGAGTTCTTTGACTCTGAGCTGCTGTTAGCGGGACTCCTTGACGACCGTATAGCACCTCAACATACTGGCCATGGCGACTGATTTGCGTGTCGATTGTCCGGGTGGATTTGTCGATAGAGCTGCAACTGTCACTGACCAACAGTCAGAATTCCGTGTGTTCGCTTAGAGCGGCCGGACTTGGCACAAGCCGCAACGCTAACCCACATCTGGTTGACCAGCAATCTCGAGAACTCGACTTCGATGAACATCATCTGTAGAATCATCACCATGAACATGCTTCAGTAGACCCAAATTATGAAACTATTCCAGTACACTTCAACACAACTGCAAGGCATGAAACATCGCAAAGGACTTTAGTGCGGCCGTAAGGAGGACACGCTAGATGCAGGACTGTGTTGTCCTCAGAATTGCGTCTTCAGCGTTGCGGTGCAGAATGTGTATCGCAAAGTGTAGCTGGAGGCAGTCAGGCTACTGGCACCATGGAGGTACACAATGGGAAATTGAACTCTTGTGATGTAACATTCGTGTATCGTGTATTCGTTTCAGCATTCAGTTTGGGGCAACACCCTTTCTCAGCTCAAGCCACCTCTTAAAACACCGTTATCCTCCCAGGCGGTCCTCAGCTACTTATTGTGAACACCGACAATAGTTTTGCGCGAGAGTAGAAAAACAAGAGACTCCTAGTTCTCCCTAGACTGCTCATAGTCCATAGCATCCTGTCCAGTTTGCTGCTGGCGCATGCGCTCACGGATAACATCCTGTGCTGTGGACGACTGGCCAGGACCTGGTGTGCGGTTCGCAGAGTCGCCCTCATCGTATGTCATACCATCAATCACTCGTGCCTGTTGTCGCTGCTGCTCTGCGCTGGAGGTAGTCTGTGTTGTTCCTGAGCTTGCGACACTGACGCCTGCCAATGGACTGGCAGAGGCCTGCTCCCTCAGATAGCCAGGTACTGCACTCGCCTTGCCAACAGCGGGGCTACCAAGCTGGCTGAGCTGTCTAGCAGGCGTCCTGGCTCCTTCACCAAAACCAACCAAAGAAGCTTCATCGCTGAAACCGCCTACGCTGGATGTCTCTTCAGTCTGGTCCTCGCTCATTCGGTCCGGCTCATTGACACCTGCATCGCTTCCACTTGCCCAGGTCGTGCGGCCACCTACACTACCGGTGGCTGAAGCGCTGCCAACGGTGCTCCTTTCGCGGAAGATCTGGGGCTGGTTGTTCGAATCGAAGTAGCCAGGTGGTGGGTTGGCAGCACTTCCTGGGCCAAGGCCTTGGGGAGTGCGGCCGCTTACGCCAATGCGCTCGAGACCTGCCAGGCGCGAGATGCGATCTGCTCGCTCAGCATCAGCGGGTTGGTGGTGGTGGGGAAAGTGTCCGCGATGCCCGTCTTTGATGGCGACTGTGGACAGCTCCGACATGGTTGTAGTAGCTGAGTTTGGTGTGCCCCTGGCCCTGTTAGTAAATGTACATGATCAGAATGAATTCCGCACTTACGGGATCTCACTCGGGGTAGCTGGATCCGATGGCGGAGGCGGCAAGTTGATCAGGGTGGGTGCGTTTGTTGCCATTTTGGAGGTGCCGTATGCGCCGTGATTTAGTGTCTTGTGAGAGGCAGAAGTAAAGCTGGAGTGGTTGTGGTGCAGCTCGCGATGTAAGGCAAGGACGGCTTTGGTATGACGTCGCTGGCGGGGCTGGAAGGAGCAAGAGCTACACACGCGAGCAGTGTTCTTGGTTCAACGGTGACACTGATCGTCAGGGGAAGTCTCGAGCATGCACAAATCAATTCACTATACGACCGTTTGCTCGAGATAAATGAATGACCATGCGCATCTTGAAAGTGGAAGTGCACTGCGCTGTGGATGCAGGGTCCACCCTACTCCGCCCCGGGGCGGGTCGCGGCTTTGTCCAGCTCGAGCCTCACTACCTTTTCTTACCTCACTTCTACATTGCAAGCAACCTGTACGCAGACATGTTTTTGGGCTGTACAACGAGGCTGTGGCTTTGTTCATGATGCTGCAATCATCACCGCCACTGCACATGCTTCTGAGTCCCTCCAGGCATGGCCAAAGATCTGTCGCGAGAAGAGCATGCCAATACATATTCACATTGCAGCAAACTTAAGTGATACAGGCTCAAGTGCATGCAGTCTCGAGAGAAATATGGCTACTAGCACTTCACGATATGCTCTCTCTGGGGCCTACAGTGTCGATAAGCTAGCTACAGTATCAACAGTACGAAGTACTCCACTACCCACTTGTGAGATTGAACATCGAGTCCTCAGATGGGGTGCAGACATGTCGCTTTCAGCCATGCCACCTACCCGCAGTTGGGTTCAGGGAGGTTATGAACTCGGGGAAATTACCTCCACGCTGCCTGGTCCTTCTTTCCATAGTGCCAGCCACGAGGCTCGCGATTGCTTGATCCCAGAACAATGTTTATCCCTGTACACTTCCTTTCCTCGGCTTCAACCACACAGATCATTCCAGTCAACAGCATTATCACTCACAACCTTGCATTATGTCAAACACCATCACTTTTATGACATCGTTTGCGGAAGCGCCCGATCTTTCTAGGCCTTCGGCAACAGATCGAAGCACTCATGGACGAGAACGCTGGGCCGAGCTTCCGCACTGGCAAAACAGATACCCCTCTGATGTAGCTGAGACCTTCAATCGCCGCTATCCGGTCGATTACTTTGTTCAAGCATTTGGCATGGCGGGATCGAGCTCCCTGAAAAGTGCTCCGTGAGCGCAACTACCTTTGACGGACGGATCATGAACATCATATCGGCCTGCCCTTGGATGACTCGGGTAACAAAAGGAGGAATTGTTACCCCCTCCGTCAGCTGTTTGCCAGTTGTCGCCCTGCCACATGCGCGAAATCGACTTCTGATGAACAGGGCTAAGTACAAACGGGAGTTTGCGGTGCAAAGTTACTAGACTCAAGTGAAACTCTGGTTGAGATAGATTAACAGTAGCTAGAAAACGCAAACCGTCACACCAGAAGAGGTTCCACAAGCTCGCAGTATAGCACCCAATCATGTGTGATTCGCTCATCTATCCCCACATAGAATCAGGCAACAACAATCAGCCCAACTACCTCAGGCAGTAACTTTCTATAAGCCTTACAGGCAAGTGTCATTTTAAGCATCGTCAAGCTTCCCCCTGCTCATCGTTCCAGTTATCTTTCCCAAAGCCTCCGGTCGAACAATCCTGTTCCACTATGTCTTCTAAGCCCTACACCGGCCCCTCAGTCGCAGACATGCTCCGCGACAAAACGTTCGCAGAGAACATCATCAAATACCACGATCACCCCACCAGCGACAGTATCTTGGACGACGAAAACTTGGATCTCTTGCAGCGATTTGTTGAGGATCCGAGCAAGCGAGAGCAGATATTGAAGGATGAGGGTATTGACCCCAATGGGTCGTTGAAGGGGCAGCAGGCAAGTCTGACTGCTTATGCGATTTGGGCGTATGGTAAGCAGGATGTGGATGGAGGGCTGCTGAAGGAGAGCGATGTTGAGTTGTTGAGGCAGTGGTTTGAGGGTGGAAAGAAGGGTGCGTAGGGTTAGGACTGTCAGTAAGAGTAGCAAGGCCAGCACTATCTGGACGAGCATTTTGCCCGTTCGACGGACTCTTTTTGTACAGGGCATACAGCAACTACTGTAGTCCTAAGAGAACTTATCAGATTGCAGAAGGCCTGCACAATGACACTGAGTACCTCCTAAAAATTTAGATTTGTACCTGCCTTGCTCTGCTGCTCGGAGGGGAGAGGTCCGCCGAAAAGACAGGATGCTCCTCCGTAAAGTGCAACCCATGAACAAAGCACTCCTGCTGTTCTTTCGCTTTGTTTTTCCGACAGTAAATCCGAAAATTCGGTATAATGCCGTGCTTTTGAATTTGTGAGCTGTACATTCCTTTATCCTTTACGAACTAGGGTGTACATCGTCAAGAAGTAGCTGCTTCCTACTAACTACCTCATCTTCCCCATCTCTTCTTGATATCTTCATTCCTATATATCATCTTTGTTGACTGGGATGGTGACTCACACGTGGTTACAATCTTTTGTTAGTGACGCTCATTGATGAATCTCACACTCCACAGATCGACTCGTTGCTGACAGGAATACGACCGACTTGACAACAAATACCATGCGGTTTGCCGTCCAGGAGAGTCTGCTCGCGGATGTCGTGCGTGTCGTGCAACAGTGCTCGACTGATCAGCGTCAAAGTTTTCTCGGCGAACCGAAGATCTTCTGCTCTTGATTGCGATGTTCGTATTGAATCGGGGATGTTTTGTCACCTCACAGGTTGCAGGAAAAGAAATGAGCCCACAGTTTCAGGGTCTTCCACCCAAGCCGATCGCCCAAGCCGATCGCCCAAGCCGATCGCCGCCGTCAACCATGTGTCTCGCATGCATGGCATTGCTTGGTTCAGCTCCCTCAAGGACCTCAAAAGTTGTTGCAACAATTACAACCAACGAACCGACATCTCAGACTGCGAAGCATGTCCACCACTTCGGTGTCCAACAACGTTGCGCTGATGAAAGCCCACCCTTGAAGGAGTTCACGCGGTGCGCGCGGTGTGCGTGCTTTGCGCCAGCTAACCTCAGCCAACTTAGCCAGCAATTGATGCATCTTGGCACACAGGAACGAACGATGGTCAGACCGCGATTCGCGCCCTGCATCAACTCCTATCAGCTTTGGAAGATCTCCAGATTCTTTTCTTCGTATCCACGGTCTGTCCGCGCCGTACGCTTATCGCATTTAGCTGACGGGGTCAATATCAGCTGCCGCTTGCCATGTGCGGATTGGTGAACAGTGTAGCCCCTGGGGCTTGCCTGCCGTTCACGAGCTACGAATAACTAGCCCTCATTTTACTATCGTATCGTTGGGTCACCCGCCGACGGCGTATCTTAGGGTAGGCTTTGCTCTTTTGTTCGAGTCTTGTCCCATGGCTTGACGCTTCTTGATTCTGACGTCCCTCTCACGCTCTCACGTCCTCAAATCCATTTGTTCTATTCGGTGCGTTTCTTACCACTGTCACTCATTTCCACACGTTATGCCATCATGATTCCCAAAGGATTCCGCCTTTCGACTACGCATCTTCTTTTCTACATTTCTACATTCGTCATAGCGACACAACTATGGTCTCTGTGGAGACAATCGGCGAGAGGCGGATGGTATTCGCATGAACATCGAAAATGGAACTTCGACGCAGACAACCACGCAAACATCCACACGTTCAGTCACGAACAATGCGACATTTCCTTCCCAAAACTATATCACAGTCTCGACCAGTCACTGGTTAGGCGGCAAGGGCGAAAAGTGCACATTCAGGATATCGAGATTGCAAAGGGCAGATGTATGCTCCGACTGATGATCTATGGAGGCGAGGTACGTTTAATGGCAATTCACGTCACATGTCAAGTCTAACAACACAAGCTCTTCGTCGTCGACTCGGGCAAGCCGGAAGAATGCTACGTAACGAACGGAAACGAGCGTGAGCGCATCCTTGGTACACTTGCTCAGATCGATCGAGCCCTCTCCACTTCGCCAACCTCCGACCCTTCAGTACCCAACATCGAGTTCTCCCTCTCCCTCGACGACCTCCCCCGACGATCCAAAGGCAAGGGTGTTTTCTTTGGCTACACGCGCAAGGAAGGGCGCGAATACAACGACATCTGGATGATGCCGAACTACGCCTACTGGTCATGGAATTATACACATGCTCCTAGCTGGAACAGCATCCGCCGGGAGATTGAGCTGAAGGAGAAGGAAGTTCCATGGGAGAAGAAGGACCCACGAGTCGTTTGGCGCGGCAAGATCAAGATGGCAGAGCTCCGGAAAGAACTCGTGCGCGTCAGCGAAGGAAAGCCCTGGAGCGATATCAAGCCCGTTGTGATCAATAACGCCACAGACGTACACACCAAGGATGTTATGAATTTGAGGCAGTTCTGCGGATACAAGTTCACGGTGCAGACTGAGGGCACTTCTTACTCGGGACGACTGAAGTACCTCCAGCTGTGTCGCTCGGCGCTCGTCACACATCCCCTCGAGTGGCAGGAGTTTCACACCCATCTCATGCGTCTCGCTGGGCCGGACGTGAACTACATCGAAGCGTCAGAGAACTTTGGGAATCTGGAGGCCGCAATGGATTACTACCGTGAGCATGATAACGAGGCAGAGGAAATCGCGAGGAACAGCTACGAGACGTTCGCGCGGCGATACCTAACTCCGGCAGCAGTAAGTCCACAACTCCCCATACAAATGAACATGTCTCTAACAGGATCCAGGTGACTTGCTACTGGAGACGTCTTTTCTGGACCTGGTCGTCGGTTCAAGGGTACGAGCCGCAACTTTACACACCTGATGAGGATGGCAATATGGTCATGCGAGCAACGCCCTGGACTGCATTTGCAGCGAATTGGCCCCATGATCCTTCGATCATCCCGTGAGAAGTGGCAAGTGAGAGGAGAGAAGGCGACAGCATCTGATATAGCGAGCATTTGCATCACGGCGTTTAGGTATAGAAACGATACCCGCATCCACATAGCGAAATATATAATCGAACCAATATTAACAAACACAAAGGCCGTGAATGCAATTATTTGATTGGCGATCAATGTGGATTTGCTGAGTCCTTGCGTATGGAGGTCTCCAAGAACTCACGAACTGGCTGGAAGGCATTCTAGTCCACTTCTTCGTACCTCAGCGACTCTCGATTTACCAGCGCGCCTTTGACAGTGTCCGCGACCCTCAGAATCCAGAGCTTCTTCCCATTGAGCAGGAATAGCTCGCCCTTGCGCCCGAAGGAGAAGTTCGCCAGCCCGCCGGGAACAAGCACTTTGCCCAGCAATACACCGCCTGGACTCCATACACTCAGACCGTCACCGCATGCAGCGTACACGTTGCCAGCTAAATCGCACTTCAAGCCGTCGGGCACGCCGACGTCGGCCATGGCGAAGACGCGACGGTTCATAAGGAACTTCGATTGCGCGCGGTCTCCGACGTCGTACGCGTATCTGCTAGTTGTCAGCTGAGAAATTGCACCCACAAAATATCAGGCTTACATAGTACTCGCTCTCTCAAAATCCACATGCCCATTTCCGTGAATAAACTCTGTATCACTGATATAACACGTCCCTTCCTTCGGACTAAAGCAAATCCCACTCGGCCGCCCAAACCCATCAGCCACAACCCTCACATCGCCTGTATGCGGATCAAACCTATATACCTGGTTCGGCAGCTCAGGGGCTGGTCGCAGGCCCTGATCATGGCCGTACACAGGGTCAGTGAAGTATATACTTCCGTCGCTGTGCACGGCAACGTCTTTCAGCGAGTTGAATCGCCGCCCGTAGTAGTTGTTGACGAGCGTGCGTATGCGGAAGGGGTAGTCTGCTTCCATCTGCACGAGGCCGGTGGGGTTCTCCATGTCCCCTTGGGCGCAGAAGAGGACGCCATCGAGTACGCCGTCGTCGTACGCAGCTCCGCCAGCGGGGTTGCGGACTTGGTTGGGGACTTGGTGGCGGGCCCATTGGCCGTAGATGTTGCGGGTCATCTTGCTGACGATGGCGACTTTGTCCTGTCCTGTGGCTAGGCTGTATTGGTTGCTGGTTACGTAGAGGACATCGTTGGCGGGCGTGTAGACGCCGCCTTGGTAGGCGAACGGGAAGTCTTCCTCGAAAGCAACCTTGAGATCTGCCCCGGTGCCAAGTATGGATTGGAACTGCTCATTGTAGACGAGGAATATAGGCTGATCCATGGGAAACTGGGCGCGCGATACTGTCAACAGTCTTTGCTGCATTGGGACGACCACGCGACTGATGCCACTTGCCGTCATGATTGGCCAATTGGTAGTGACAGGCGGTTGACCAGCCGGCGGTATATTAGTGTAGGTCGAAGGAGCAGGCGGTGTAAACGAGGTTTCGCCCATTCCAGCCTTCCTCTTCTGCGTCGCTGGTGTCGTCCTTGCGCGCGGCGGCATGCCTTTGTCATCAAGGACATCGTTCAGCTCATGATTATGCTCCATGCAGACACCGGTGATCTTCCAACCGCCGCCAGACTGAGGCTGCATCTTCGCTCGCCATGGACACCCTGTCATGCGAGTTGCGTACACCTTGTGCCCGACACCCTTGCTCTTGTATTCCTTAGACCGAGCGCATTGCAGCATAACCCGTGTGATCTTCTTCTCGCCTGTCTTGGTAGGCGTGTACGATTTGGTGCGCGAGATGGCTATGCCGAAGCCGCAGTCACGCCCAAGATGGGCGCGGATCTGCTTGAGACCCTCATGGTAGTCTTCGGCGCTCACATATTCAGGCAGCGCACGCGACGTGTAGAGAGGGCCAGTGTGAATCTGTGGTGCTGGCTCTGGCGACGATGGCGGATCGTGGAAGTTGAGTATCTCGCCTGGGCCGGGCCGCGGTACGATTAGGGCCATGGGTGTCTCTAAGTGGGGATTAGGGTGCTGGCGGCGTTGAGCGCGAGATCTCTCTGCGCGGTCTAACGTCGGCGCGGTTTGGTCACACCCCAATCTCGAACCTCGAACAATGCACACCACCACAGGGTCCTCGAGACTCAACTATTGCACTTTGAGCTTGCAGCAACACGTAGCTCTTCACTGTTCCGTAGATGCTGTCTTGAGACGAATACCCCCTAAAGAGTCTTCATGATACTGAACGCCGCGGATTTTCTTTGATCTCGAAGCTATCCAGCTCTCCAACATGAGCCCCCTCACACCACAGCAGCGACTACCATACACACCACCTACAGATAGCTCGTCGCTGCCCTCCCGTCTTCAGACTCGCTCTCTGTCACGGTTTGGGGTGCTCCTGCCTGTCGTACCTCACCTGTCATGAGAGTGACTGCCCTGTCACACTAGCGTTGTTTACAGCTACTCACCTATATATACTGTTCGTAGCTTCACTCAATACAACCTCAGTACAATCTTCAAATTCTTCCCTTTGCGTACAGTTCTTCACTGAACTCTGACACTCTCGATCTTCGGACCCCGCGTACTCGGCGTGTTTCGGACTGTCCAAGACAGCGATACGCTCACGAGCACCTCATTGGCGTTGTGACGCGTCGACGCGATTTATTTAATCGTCATACATACTCTTAGAGCAAACCACACTCCACAACAAAAGCCATGGACTGATGACAACACCGTAAACAAGCACTACGGCGACGTCACACTGTTGCTGTCGGTGTTGAAGTGGTCTGCTCTCTGCACTTGATTTGACGTAATTGCACTCCATCATGTCTGCTCCCCAACTACTTGTACGCTGCGCTGCTCGCAGGTCAGCTATGCTTCAAACAAAGTTCATTACTCGACCTGCGTTGACGCTCACACCTTTCCATTACTCAAGACCTTTCTCAGTGACAACACAACTCAAGATGCCAGACCAACTCAAGCCCAGTGAGGTCAACTCCAAGACCGACCCTTCCGTCGCCAAGCAGTACGACAACGAGACCGACAAAGTCAAGCAGATCCAGGACTTCTTCTCACTCGCCGACGACAAGAAGATTGGTATCCTGAACACATACCGCAACGGCGTCGGTACGTACCTCATATCAGAATGAGACACAACGTCTCACTCACGTCCATCCCACACAACCCATCTCCAACCACAACACCACTAACACCCCACAGGCCCCGTCGGACGCTCCATGGCCACCGCCCGCCGTGACGGCCCTGACTTCCTCTTCCTCGCCAACAAGCACAGCCGCAAGTTATCCGACCTCGAGTCGAACAAGGAAGTCCAAATCACCTTCCAAGACAGCAAAACACAGGACTGGATCTCCGTCTCCGGCACCGCAACCACGACCTCCAACTCGGACCCGCGCATTAAGGAAGTCTGGTCGCGCGGCGCAGCAGCCTGGTTTGGCGACCTGGGCGACGGCAAGCATGATGGTACTGCTGATGACCCGCGCATGACGCTCATTGAGGTTAAGAGCAAGTACGTGACGTACTATAAGACGGAGGTTGGGCTGTTGGGATATGCGAAGGAGGTTGCTGGTGCGGCGATCACGGGTGGTGTTGCGAATACGGGTGTGCTTAGGGAGCTGAGCGAGCAAGATCTCGAGAAGGCGAGGAGTATGAAGTAAGCATGGAGTTGACGCGTGATGTTATGAACTCAGTCTAAGGTATCTAGACCTCAACCGAAGCTTTGATTCTACGGCTTCCCTTTTCCCTCACCCTCCTTCTCCTTCTCCCCAGTAATAAACTTCCTCACGCGTCGCACAGTATTCAAATACCCCATCCCATCAACCACGCCCTCCTTCTCAACCCACACCGGCAGCTCCCTACTCTCCCCGACTTTCCTCTCACCAACCTCCTCCTCGTACCGTCGCGCATACGCATCCTCCACATACGCCCACTCAGGCGTCTCACAACACCCTACCACAAACACCGTTCTCTCCGCCTTCAACCCCGTCATGACATCCTCCAGTGCCCTCGGCACCAGAACCTGCACCACGCCCCTTTCCGGATCAATCCCCCTAATCAACGCAGCGCACACGACGCGACTCGTCCGCGGATCTAGCGGCTCCGTAAAGTCCAGCTTCTGGTTCGCAGGGAAGTACGGGATCTGCGACTTGGGCGTGCGCGGCAGCGCGGTATAGGGTGTGGGGATTCGAGAGGATGAGGTTTGCAGGATGTGGATTACGGAGCCGGCGAGGTAGTGGATGAGTGAGGAGGGCGGGAGGGGCTCGGTAAGCGCGAGGAAGCCGACGATGTCTTGCGACCGCGTGGGTGTTGTGCGGTATGAGAATTCCCAGGGGAGGTAAGTGGTAAGCGGTGCAGAGGTCCATGTTGGTACCGAACTGGTGGGCGGAGTGGAGAGGTGGAAGTAGGATTGCATGTGCATGGCGCGCAGCTCGGCGTCTGTTCGTAGGGGCGGGAGGGTCGGTGTTTGTGCGGTGATTTCGTGGAGCGTGCTGCGGTGCTTTTTACTCATCGTTTGGAGAGCGTGGAGTTTCTCGGCGGTGGAGGGATCCACGGCGCACGTGTCACCTACATGAACAATGTTTTGGAGTTTGAAGCATGCGAGCAGCTGCTCTAGTAACCGGAAGTGCGTTGTATACAGGAAGGCTGGGGTGTTGATGAGCAGCGGGAGGGAGGAGTCGCGCGAGTAGAGATTCTTGTATGCTAGGTACAGGCCTTCGATACATTCGCGGTAGTAATCCTGGTAGTTTGCAAGATTTATTGGGATGGCATTGGATCGGACGGTTTCATTCTGTATGAATCCCGGTTGAAGTGGTGTAGTGACAGGGTGCGTGAAGCTGGGGCCTAGGTCCAATTCCCGTACAACGACCAGAGAGATCTGACCGGGCGGCGAGTATTCTGGGCTACTAGGATCTAGATCTAGGTAGCAGACTGCGGGCACAGCGGACTTCGTTTTGCCCATGCCTGTCAGATAGCGATTGATCAATCTTTTACTGAAAGTAGATTTCCCAGATTCTGGCGCACCAGTGACGAGAGTAGTAGAGGGCTCGGTGGCGCAGTCTTCGATCGCACGGAGCCAGTCTTCTGGACTTGATTGTGGCTGCAGGGGCCTTTGGAGGGGATCCTCCTCGGAGTTGGTGATCTGGAATCAGTGTCAGCGGGCAGTTCAGGCAGGAGCTAACGATGATTGGGGGCTCCATCTTGTGCTCGTGATAGGGTTCGTGAAGGGGCTGAACATACTATACCAAAGGTTCGCCGCCTCTCCCCTCGCGACCCTGTATTCCAGATGTCTTCGTATAGAGGACTCAGCTTCGCCAAGGGTGTCGGTTCTTTGCATGATGAGAATTGTACATGATTTTTGCCGTCGAGACCTCTGATCTTGAAAATTGGCTGCGTCGCCGGGACATATACACGATACTTCCGCGCTTTCTGGCCATCTCGTGTCACAGCACCAATGTTGGCACCGTTGATGTTGATGGCGCCCCTCGCGACCTTGAAGTCGAAATGGCCGACAAGGGCAATAGTGGTGTTCTTGTCCAAGTTGATGCTTAGATCGGACTCATTTTCGACGAATATGTCTTTAGGGTTATTTTGCCAGTTGCAAAGCTTCAGATTACGCTTAGTGACTGCTGGCTCTGGCCCGGCTTCTGACTCTTCGTACTCGGACACGAGTTCCTCTGCAGGCGGGCTTGATGGTGCCGGGAGTGGCTCAAGGGTCGTCTCTTGAACGATGGCGCCCTTTGTCGCAGCTTCTGCTCTTAGTCTTGCTGCAGCGATTGCACTGAGTGGCTTTTCGGCTCTTGCAGTGACCTCTGCATACCTCGTCAGGATGAGCGGGACGAGGTAAGACATCCATTATTCTTCTTACTTTGCGTTGAGGCAACAGGTGCGGTCTGTTCGAGCTTCCTTCTCTTTCCTGGCATGGTCACAATGCGATCTGATCTGCCAGCTCGCACTCTTTGGGTACTTGGTTTTGCAATAGTTCTGAGTTGAGTATGTGCTTGGCGGAGTTCGAGAATGCGGTGATCCTGCAACTTCGGGAGAAGATTTTAGCAAGAATAACAACACCAAACTTGTGTCAGATTCCTCCAATATTGTCGTGCAGTTCAGATTGTATATAGCTTTTAGGCTGTTGATCAAGTCGCGTCTTGAAGTTCACTGTCTTTTTCTTAGCGTGTCCCAAAACGAGATAGCTTCATGCGGACGGCCCACCGCCCGCGCAGGTGGGTCGCGACTGGCAGAAAAAAGTATCGAGAGCTCCAAGAGTCCAGTCGCAACTTGGGTACAACCGAGCACAACACAATGTCAGCAAAGAGGACGCCAGTACCGTTACCGGGCTCCAAGCCCAAGAGCAAGTCGAAGGTTGTGCCTCCAAAATCGTCTCTGAGCCAGGAATTGGTAGGTAGCGACGACGACTCGTCGACAGAAAGCGCACCGAAAGCGAAGAAGGTGGAGAAGGCAAAGGCAACGATTGGCGTACACAGACCAAACGGCGCAGCGAAACCGAGTACGAAAGAGAAGCCAGCATCGAAATCCACACCGACAACCAAGCCCGCGCCTAAGAAGCCTGCACCCAAGACGATCTCAACACCTGAGCAGGTCGAAGAACTGTCTAGTTCGGAGGTCTCAGACGACAGCGATGCGCCAGCAACGGATATCCAAACGAAGGTATCTGGGGAGGTGGAGATGAAGGACGCGTCGAGTGAGAGCGATAGCGACAGCGATTCGGACAGCTCAAGTGAGGAGGAAGCTGCGAAGGCCGCACCGAAACCTACAAAACCCACCCAATCGAAGCCGCAAGAGGTGGAACTCCGAGCAGCGAAACCATATGCACCGCCCAAGGGCTACACCCTTGTGTCCGAAAAGGACCGCAATTCCTCGAAAGCTGCCAAGATCTTCGACAACTTGCAAGGAAAGCAAGTCTGGCATATCACCGCACCTGCGGGAGTTTCTTTGAAGGGGTTGGAAAGCATTGCGATGGACAAGGCTATGAAGGGAGAGTCTATTTTGAGCCACAAGGGTACAGATTACGGTTTCTCAACAACAGAGAAGAGCGAAGACGGTCCACGAGAAGTTCTGGTGCCTCAGAAGAACGGCTACAGTGCAGGTATGTTTTCTTAGTACCGTGTGATGCTCTCTTCTAATTTGATCATAGCACCTGTCAAGATCTCGCAGACCTTACATCTACAGGAACTCGTACGGCTACCGAAGCTGAGCTCGAAACAGGCAGACCCAAACACAGGGTCGGAAGCCGCTGCATCCATTACGCGATCCACCATTCGCGCACCACGACCACAGGTGAAGGGGCTGAAGATGCGCTACCTACCGCTCGGCTTTGTCGGTGGGAACAGTGGAGGTGTACTAGGTGACACCGATAGCGAGGACGATGGTGTGCCACAGGAGCGCGCTGGGTTAGCAGCACCGAGCGGCCTCAACTTGCCTACGAAAACAGCGAAGAGGAAGCACACCGAGGCCAATGGGGAGGAGGCGCCGTCAAAGAAGGTCAAGAAGCATAGGACACCAGAGGAGATCAAGAAGAGGGAAGAGAAGAAGGCGAAGAAGGACAAGAAAGCAAAGGCATGAACCTTGCGTTGGTCAGACGCACAAAACGGGGCGTTATTTGACAAAGGTTGTTCTCTTCTCGCATCGAGCGTTGTATTGGCTTTATAAACTCACAGCATTCTGTGTATATGAGTTTTGGGAGGCATCAAGAGCATTGGGGGCATGGCATATGCAAGTAGCGACGTCAGCGATGGTCTTTGATGGCAGCACGGGTTACGTCAATAGCGAATAGTCAGCATCAAGTCCATCCGCCTGCATTTGGAGGTTGGTGGCTGTCTTTGAGGTTTCACAATCAAAAGAAGGTTCAGCGGGCTCGGCTAGCGTACCTGAACGGGTACTGGGCTTGGAGCCATTATGATCGACTTTTGGTGTTTGTCTCGACGCAGGGCAGTGGAGAAGGAACAGCACACGGGTCCACCCCAAGGGTGCCCTGACAGCATTGTCCCCGCGTGCATAGGCATATCAAATTAAAGAATAACAACACATCAATGCGATCTATAAAGTGAAGATGACCGTTGCTCAGGAGTGCAACGGGGCCCTAACAATGGTCTGCAAGGCCGCTCCGGTAGCTGTTCCGACTGGCCCTGCTCCTCTTCGAACAACGTTGAAGATGACGGGCGGGTCCTGCGCATTGACCTCAAACACGCGAATGGTCTTCGCGTACTGGTCGCGCAAAGGGGAAAGTCCACGCTGCACATTGGGGTACTTTCACTTCACCGACCTCTACATGGTCGAAATATGCCGATGAGCACGTTGCGAGGCTCCATATATCCACGCCCCCAGATCCACACGCCGTGCGCGCACCTGCACGAATGGCTCCCTCCAACGCTCCTGCCTCCACCGCTAAGGCCCAAACAAACAACGGCGAGCCCACACCAACCGCAGCCACACCGGCTGAAACCACGCACAACCCCATGGAGCGCGGTATATCAGACCTCGAGGATGTTCAAGCCTTCGACGTCGCCGATGCAGATCTGCCACCACTCCCTACCCCCGAAGACGACAGTTTCCTGCGCCAGGACTTCAATGACGACAATGCACCGAGCGATGGCAGTGACTTTATGGATCGCAAGATGAAGCGCCAGCTGATGGATATCGAGTCGAGCTTCATACCAGACCTGTCTGCGCATCCTGGGGCTTCGCAGACGCGCATTGGCGCCGACGATACCTACCTGTTTGGGGGCTCTCCAGGGACGGTGCGCCCCCCGACGCAAGCTGCAGAAGATGCGCAAGATGTGTCGAAGCCAGAGCAAAGCGGAGAAGAAGCGCAAGAGGCGCCGAAGCCAGAGGAGAGCGGAGAAGACACACAGAATACAGAGTCCTCGATCTTATCAGAGGAGCCTCCGACACCAGCAGGCGCCTACAAGACACCGGCCGCGCGGCGGCTCGGCGTCGATACTACAGACGACTCACTGGACCATGGAAACTCAATATCCGAAGCCGCGCCATCATCACCCTCAGCAGTCGCTGCGCAAAGGAGATCAAGCGGACACAGGGGCAAAAGCGAGCCTCAAGCTGCAGCAGGGACAGAGCAAAAGGAATTGGACCCTTCTCAACGGCCAGTATCGAGCGCGTCGACCGTGAAAGCCCCGGATTTCAGCAAGTTCGAGGAGGCTGCATCGTTCAACAGTGCATCTGAACCCAGCTTAGACAGCATAGCCATACCGCCCCCCCCTCTCATTACGACGACCTCTCCACGAGCTGGCAAGCGACCGAGCTTCTTGCAGAACCGCCAATCAAGCCAACGATCTTCCGTATCCTCATTAACGAACCGCTCTGACGTATCTGGCGATGGCGCAAGCACAGCAAGCCTAGGCGCGGACTATGCTTTACAAACCGGCGGCGCAGTGCCCCGTGCAAATTTGCCTCACAGGAGTAGTATGGGCCTGTCGAGGCTGCCTAGTCTAGGCAGTATTGCGTCGTCCGTGTCGGGGTATAGTGACTCCAATCCTTGGGACAAACACCGGAGCATCAGTACGAACTCGCTGTCTGGCCTGCTGCAACCAGAAGGCGGTTTGGGGCGACTAGACGAAGAAGTGGCTAGTACTACAACACCACCGGAAACACCACGAACGTCCGACGCAGGAGCCTTCACAAACCTGACTGACACTGTGGTCGCTAGGCACGTCCAGGACATTCAGGTCCCCGATACAGTCGCACGTGAGTTCAGGGCAAAGCACTCTCGATCGCCCGACAAGCGCCAATCGGCAACCCCGTTCACCAGGAGCAAGCACAACCTGACCTTGAAGGAACAGAACAGCAAGATTGACAAGCTCAGCAAAGAGAACTTCGACCTTAAGCTGAAGATTCATTTCCTTGATCAAGCGCTACAGAACCGGTCCGACGAGGGAGTCAAGGAAATGATCTCTAAGAACGTTCAGCTCCAGACAGATCTCGCAACCGAGAAGAAAGAATCGCAGACTTTACGCAAGAAGGTCCGTGAGCTGGAACGCAGACTGAAGTCTCAAGAAGAGGGGCAATCTGCGACAAAGGACAGTGGCAGCGGCTCAGAAGACGAGAAGAGTGAGCATTCGTCACGACAAGCTGAACTGGAAGAAGAGATCCATTTCCTACGAGAACGCTTGGAGTCAGCGGAAACAATTACAGAGCAATGGCAACAAGAAGCTCTCCAGAAAGAGGCGGACAATCGGCGCATGGCAGATTACATCAAGACTATGCGAGAGAAGAGCCCATCCGGTGAATCTGGCTTCGACGAGGCTGTCAACATCTGGAAGGAGGACCTCCACGAGGAACGGGTACGTCGCGAAGAGGTGGAAGCTCGCTGCGAGCACGCAGAGTCCGAACGCGATAGACTTCGCGAGGAGTTACAGCGCACAAGGGAGCAGAACCGCCAGATCCTGCAGCATACCAATCACCACAACAGCCGGGTTCACAACAGCTCCCGTCTCATCCATCAATCCTACGCCGACCGTTCGGACGCAGGCTCAGAGCAACCTCACTCCGTATCGGTTGGTAGCAGTACGTTGGTCGACCAGCTTCAAACCAACAACGAGCGGCTACAACGAGATCTTCATGCCCAAACTTCTATGCTCACATCACGAAACCGCGAAAACACACGTTTGCGAGAAGAGAACGAAGGTCTTAGGCTTACACTTCGAAGAGGAGACGTCGGATCCATCGCCGGGGATAGTATCCTGGAACGGTCCATCTCCCGCAATCATATGAGATCTGTATCGCGCGCTAGTGGCGGCACGCGGGTCACTCAGATGAGCGATAGTGAACGTGAGGATCTCGAAAGCAAATTGGCATCGGTACGAGATGAGCTATCCCAGCTCAAGCTTTTGAATAAGGAGCTTGACGATCAACTTGTTGGACATCTCGATATGCTCGAAACTGCAGAGAACAAGGTCAGGGAGTGCGAGACAGAGCTCGAAGCACAGTCGGAGGATATACAGGCCCTTGCTGCGGAGCGTAACGAAGCGTTGGAGTTACTGCAAGACAAAGAGCAGGAATGCGAAGAGCTCAGAGCAGAAGCACTTGACACTGTCCAGAGACTCGAGACTGAACTTGAGCAGATGCAACAAGATCGGGACCGTATAGCGACCGACCTTGAGCACTCTATCGAAGACTTCAATGCCCTGCAACAAGAGATGAAAAACGTAAGCGAGAGCCTGGTTCAGCTTGAAGACGACCAGAATGCAAGCATGCACAAGATCGAAAACCTCGAGTCTGAGCTGCGAGACGCGACTGAAGAGTTGGGTAGACAAGATAAGATGCTCAGTGATGAGAGATCGAAGAACGAGAAGCTAGATATACAACTCGAATCTTGTCAAGGAGAGGTCGACTTCCTGCGAGAGGAACAGGAGGGCGACAAGATCAAGATCGGCGAGTTGGAGTCAGATCTCGAGAATGCGCAGATCAACATACAACACGAGAAGGAACGACTCCGAGATCTTGAGGAACGTTTTGCGGAAGAACGACAGCAACGTGACGCTTTGGAAAGCCATGGGAAACAAGAGGTCGAGAAGGTCATGGCTGATCTCAATGCGCAACTGGCCAGACTCAAGGAAGAAAGCAGGAAGCTGCGAAAGAACCTATCTAGCAAGGAGGTGGAGGCGAACAACTGGAAACGCCAGCATGACGAGTTTGAGACGAGCCTTCGTGATGCCCTTGGCAACAGCAATGGCACCAAGCCTGGTTTGCTCAAGGTATGTTGTTTCTGCAAGTTGGACAAGACATTGATTCACTAACGCGTTATAGGATATCACAAGGTTGCAGCGAGACCTCGACGCCACCATTCAGGAACTTCACTTCACAAAGAACGACCTCACTGAAAAGGAACAGCTACTTCGCAACCGCGATACTCTGCTCGAGAGCACAGGATTGCAAGTTCGTCAAAGTACAGAAGCTCTCGAGCGTGAACGCCAATTGCGGCGACAAGAGGCGGCGACATTCGAGAACGCCAAACGTGGCCATCAGTCCGTGACCAGGACCATACAGCAGCATGAAACTAGAGTTCTCGAATTGGAGTCTCTCCGCAGTCAGGATCGTCAAAAGCTGCACAACCTCGAGAAGCAATACAAAGAGCAGCTGCTCGAGCGCAACAACTTGCTGTATGCTCTCTGGAATCGACTGTCGACTTTGTGCGGTGCGGAATGGTGTCGAAGCTATGCCCTTGTTAATGGCGAGTTGACATCCATGGAGCTCATCTCTAGGAATATCAAGGGCTTCAACAACAACATGGTCCTTGCAGTCAAGACTGTGGAAGGCATCATCGGTGGGTTCAGACAAAGGATACGGGCTACCGAAAAGGATCTTGTCCGTGACTACCAGACCCTAGAGCATACACTGGATGGTCGCATTAAGCGCCTCGAACAGCTGGAGAAGGCAGTCTTGGCGCAGAGGCAGTCCATTGGCAGACCAAGCACAGTACGTGGTGGGATGGTTGACATTAACTCCCCAGAAATTACCAAACTACGCAACGAGAACAAGAACCTTCGAACAGAGGTGCAGACACTACGAGCCATTACCTCAACTGCCCAGGCCGGCGACAACTTGGTAGTCAACAAGAACCCATCTCGCACTGGCTCGCCCACCTCATCCAAACGTGCGAGCATGGCTCACACCTTGCTTCGAGCGCACTCCACCTCTGTTGTGGAGCATCTTCAACAACAGCAGCAGCAGACCCAAAGCGGGAGTCGGTCGCCAGGACACCCATACCCTGAGTCTTCACCACTACAGCCTAGTGAGCAGAAGTGGATACATAGGCTCAAGGAGCTGGAGCGCCGACTCAAGGCTGAACGCGAGGCCCGACTCCTGGATCGCAGTGGAGCGCGCAAGAGGTTGGAGCAAAAGGTGGAAGAAAACGCGGACCTGAGAGCGATGCTTGAGAAGGAGCGTGAGCGATTGGCGGCTGAAGGACTCAGTGTGCAGAGGAGTATGAGTATCGATGCACGGAGCAGGGATAGGAGTGGGAGAACCAGTGTGTTGAGCAGACAGAACACTCCGGATCAGCAGCGGGAGAGGGATGAGGACATGTATTAGCGTCCTGACGAGTTTTTTACGCATTGTTCATAATATCATGTATTAACAGCATATGGCTACGTCCACCAGCGTTAGGGTGTCTAGGGTAGAGAACAACTGGGTCATCAAGGCGTTCAGGTAGCATTGGTAATGAATATTCAACATTTAGCCAGCGGCGCCTGGTCGCGATCTCCTCCTGGAGCCCATCAAATAACAGTTTTCGGCTTCTACACAAGCCCGTCGGACCTTCCAGATAACCTCGAGACCACACATTCAAGTCTTAGACCACAATGGTAGCTCGCCCGAGTCAATGAGGAGTGACCGCTACTGGGCAGTAGTTGCCAAGAATTAGCTGATGCTGTTTGACTTCGAATCAGGTACGCAACATCTCTGGCCAAAATTCTATCCTCAAATTCTGGACTCGGCCCTTTCTGCCTTCACCTGGCCGCATCAACCCCAAGACTGCGCTGTAAATAACCTTGTTCACGGCCCTGCCTCCATTGAAGTCTCACGCATCGCACCTGCTCCCTCGCAATCTCACAACTCGATACTTGTTGAGCCTCCAATTGCCTCGAAATACCTCTTCCAACCCTCGTTCACCAACCTTCTGAGAGCAATCGTGGTTTTGCTGCTTTTGGGCCTCCTTCACCGAGTTTTCGGCAATCACAATCAGATTACGAGTCCCACTGTCCAACAATTTTAGAAGGTTTCGAAGACAATCAGCCCTGAACCTGAGACAGTGTTTGTCTCTACAACAAACTCTTCAGTCGTTATCTGGGGACTCAGCTTCTGTCAAGACAACGTTGATTCTCATCCTCGTCGCCAGCTAAGCAGACCGACTAACTAGCGCTTTTGCAAACGGGCTTTCTAAGTTGCCCATCCTTGACATATTGGTTTCTCACCACGGTGCGCGCGAACCGTGGACGATTGGACCCTATTCCCCCAACAGCCACTTACTCACGTTAGGAGTTTACACATGCGAATTGTGGATCGCGAGAGAATGCTTTCCGTCTGAAGCTATCTATTTCATGCCACCACCCTCTACAACCTCAGAACATCGCACAGATCCTGGTTGTTTGAGAGGCCCATTGTTCTTCCAGCGTCTCGGTAACCTCGACCTTTTCAACAACCTGCTCTTCAACCGCGAGAGAGTATATCAGAGTCTCAGAAGATTTTCGCCTATACGGACGAATGCTGTCAGTGAGGAAGAGCTAGTGCGTCGTCAGAGCGTCGAAAGTGAAGATCACGTCATCCAGTCCATTGAACCTAAAGAAGAAGGCGATCCTGCCCAAGATGACCTGATGTTGTCATACCTGAAGAGTACCAATATGGCAGTGAGTAAACCGAGGGGAAGGCTGCCGAAGAAGGCTCCAGCTAAGGCGAAACCGAAGGGAAAGTTGGGTATCGCTACAACCAAAAAGCGCAGCCCACCTGTGACTAGCAAGGCCGAACGTGCATCGAAGATCCAGAAGACCGTACCAATAGCGAACAGCGGAAAGAGAGTGAACAGTAGAGGCGCAAGTGTCACCGATGCATATATCATCTCAGACGATGATGACGACTTTGACCAGCCACCGCAAAAGAGCAGAACCGACAGCCTGACACCACCGCGTCAGACGCCAAAGATCAACTCCCCGGGCAGCGAAGACGATCTGAACCCAATAGCAACACCCACACCAACATCAACACATAGCAACAACGTCGAAAACGAGCTGGTGCGCATGAAGGTAGCACATCTGAAAGAGCTAGAACAGCTTCGCCAACAGCTGAATGCCTCTGAAGCGACGTTGAAGCAGATCAAGGAAGAAGCTGAGCGAGAGCCTATCGAGCTCCAAAGGCGGCAAAGTGTCACCAGCGACAAACAGATGGCCGAACTCGAAGAAGACCTCGAAGCCGAAAGACGCAGGTCAAGTGCTCTTAGCAGGGAGTGCGATCACCTACGTAAGGAGATGGAGGCAGCCCGCAGCTGTCTGAAAGGAGAGGCAGATCTAATTCAACAGCGCGATGAATACGAACGGCTTCACAAGGAAGAGCAGGATACAAATGCCGACCTCATGCGCGACTTAGTCGAGAAAGATGAGGAGTCGACGCGCAAAGCAACTGAAATGGTGAAAGAGATGCAGCAACTAGCCAAACAAATCGAGGAGCTTCAACGTGAAGCCACCCAACTGGTAAACGAAAACGCAGCTTTGAGGGAATCCTCGTCGTCACAGGATAACAAAGGTCGCTCAAGTGCCTCGCCCGCACCTTCGCAGTCGTCGTCAGCATCCGACCAGGAGCAGAGGCTAGCGAACATCCGCAAAACATACATCACCGTCAAGAAGCGATACGACAACCTCCACTCAGTGGCTACGAACATTTCCACCGCGACTCGATCCTGGGACTATGGCAGCTTTGGTGAGTTTGGACAGTATCTCAGGCAGTTGAAGACTGCGTTGGATGAGAATGGACCTGAGGGTCAGGGAGCGGGAGCTGACAGTCAAGAGGCAGAGGTGGACTAGCTGATGGCTGACTTGATGGAACTTGCTTTTGGGATGTGGCGTTCGCGTTTACCTACCACTCGGACATGTACGCGTACTCCGAATTTCTCAGATAGGGACACATTAGCAAGGCTAACTGTATTTCTAATCGTTGAGATGTCTTGTTCACTTCAACAGGCATGCTTTTGCTTTGGTATGTGAAGACACATGAGCCAGCCCAACAAAAACAAAAAAGAGGCAGACAATATGTCATGTTCTGCTTGCCTCCCTCTTGGTGTTATGTGTGCGGATATACATGTGTCCCTCTTTATCCAGTCTGGTATCGCTTTGTGGACCGCATGAATGCGAGTCGACAGGTCTTTCACAGAGCATGTTCAACCCGCTGCGTTGAGCTGTTTGCACGTTGGCATGCCGGCAGCGACCTCATCGATGACTCATCCCTGCAAACTATAGAGGAGCAGACGATCAATATCGAAAGCAGCGGGAGCCAAGTCTTCCAGACTCCCGCTACAGCAGTCCGTCCCAGAAGGCCCCTTGATGAAGTCGCATAGTCGTTCCGTCGTCACTGAACATAAGTTAGATTCGAATCCTCCTGCTTTCGCCGTTCAAGCTCCCCGCCGCCCATACCTAGCAACTCGATCCAATCTCCGCCTCATCTCTGCCCGTGCACTCGGCGCTCTTCGCTCCGGCCCGCCTGTATGCCCATAAGTGTCAGGAGGTGCATCCGGCAGATCTAAACCACCTGATTGTGCATCGCCGTTCTGACCTTTAGCAGCGAGGAATGGGCTTGGTGGCAGGTCTGCCAGATGTTGCACTCCCTGCATGAGTGCTGGGTCGAGAGGCATATCGTACCTGTCATTCGAGGACGGCGGATATGTTGGTTGCTGTGGGTGTTGTTGCTGCGCTTCGAGTTGGAGTTGATAGCTCGGAGAATCTGCACGATCTGTGGCCTGGTGTTGCGAGAAGTGTGTGATAGCTGGCGGAGAAATGTGTTGATCGTTTGCGGGCGGAGAGTACCGCTGCTGTCCGTTGGAAGGTTGTGATGATCGAGAGTGATTTGCGCGCATGGCCGACAGCCCCTTGTTCATCTCACTGCACTCGGGACAGTTGCGGATCACTTGGCTGACGGTCTCTTTAATGCGCACCCAGTGGTAGAGTTCTGCGATGGCGGCGGTGGTTTTGTTGATTCCGCCGTGCGACTTGTTGTGCACGTCTCGCGCGATCTCGTACTGGCGCTGTGCGTCGGATATAACTTCCTTACCTTTGAGCCAGAGCTTTTCTGGCTCGTCGTCCGTGGCTGGTGTTAGCTTGTAGTGCGTTGCTGCGCTTCGGAGGCGACTCTTCTCGGCTCTGTCGGCGCCGTTGGGGTACTTTCCGTTCTTTAGGTAGAAGCGTATCTTGTCGAAGCGCTCTTCTGACACGAAGTCATCGTCCCGACCTAGATCGCGACCGTAGATGATCGCATCGACGAGCTCACCCGGGTAGGACTTGAGATTGCCGCACCCCTTAACGCGACCGATGCGCTTGAAGCCTAGGGCATCCCATATCCGACACGACGCGAGGTTAGTCTCATAAACCAGATTGAAGACCGAGTACGTGTAGCCCAGTTTCGGCGCCCAGTCCAAGTACGTCTCGCCCATCAAGCGACCGACACCGCGATTCCGCGATGCATCAGTGACCAGGAACCCACCGTTGCAGACATGACTCGACCGGCCAGGGTAATTGGGCTTGATATAGAAGCTCCCCAGACACTCACGCTCCCAGTCACAGCCCCGCCGCGCCATCTCATGCAACTCACGTCCATCCTGGATCTCGCCCAACAGCATGATGGCACCAAACACGCCGAACCAATACGGACCGAAGTTCTCCAGCGGCAGCGGTTCAACCATGGGATACGTGTCGCCTTTTTCTATCTCGCGGCCCAGCTGGTCGCACAAGTACGCCAGCAGTGTGAGCGGTACCTGGTTCGGCGCCGAGAAGGGGATTATGGTCGCCGTTGTGACGCGGTCGCGCAGTGTCACTTGGATGGGGGCGATGCCTACAGGTAGCGGACCGCCCGGCGCAGAGTAGGGGACATCACCAGACGTGCGGATCATGACCGGCGCAGTCGGATCATCGAGCATCGCAGGCATGGCTGCGAGGGGAGGTGGGCGCCTGCAGCCGTTGGGGATGGTCAGATTTCATGTTACGATGTCATTCTACTGCGGCAGGCTAGAAAGGCAGTTGCAATGCGCCGGCAGAGCCCTGGAAGGCACGGCGTTGCGCGCAGCATATCCGCAGCGCAGCGTGGACATTGTGTCCCCCGGCGCAGGAGAGGTGGAGGACTCACAAGATGCGTGCCTGAACGGGCTCTAGGGTACTTCGTAGGGCTCGGGCAGGATGAGAGGTACGCATGGGCGGCAAAGTACTGAGCTGTGAGCACGTCAACGCTCTCCGGGCACGGCGGGGAAGTCGGTTGTTCATTGGATGCTAAGCGAGCGGTTGGGGTCCCCAATCTACACTCGCATCACGTCTCAGGAGCTTGAATAGCACAAGGGAGAGAAAGTATGCTCACTTTCGTGTTCATTTGCTAAGGTTGTGGGTATATAGCAGAAAGTCACCATGTCCTGTTGGTAAGACGCGCCAGTTTTGTACCTGACTTCCAGTCTACCACTCGAAACATCATGTAACCGCCGAAAAGAAGAAGAGAATACGCGAAAACTATACGAGAAAGTGTTTGTCAACATGGCAGCTTTTACGCGGTGGGGACATGCAGCACCGTCTGGTTCTGGTACAAGTCGCACTCGTGAGGGTGCTGCAGACAGTACTTCGGCATCAAAGGAGCTGCCTGAACACCATTGGCAACGAGGTACTCGCGGAAGTTCAGGATGCGCTGCGTCAGCTCCGTGGTCCTCTTGTTGCCGTTCTCATCACGATTGCCTGACCACACGAGCTCGGCAAGCGCTGCAGCACGCGGCCACATCTTCTGGCTGATGACCACATCATCGACTTGCTCAGACCACAGCGGGGCAATGACACCCTGTACGAGCGACTTTTGTGCATCCGTGAGGTTGAAGGTGAAGTCGTAGTCGTAGATACGCTGCCACGTCTTGTACGGTGCGCACCATGATCCTCCACCGGCTCCCCAGTTGAAGTTAGGAGACCCGTCGGTGGCATTGGGGTTGACCATGACGTTGTAGCGAGGATCGTTGCCTACCCAGCCACCGTAGCCGCAGTCGAGATAGACAAAGTCGGATGAAGAGACAATGACTTTGTAGCCAGCATCAGTCAGGTTGGAGATGTGAGCAAGACCGTTGTTCCAGGCCTGCAGGACAATGTCCTTGGGTACTTCGCCGGTAGCAGCAACGGCTGCGGAGAGCTTAACATCTTCCCACATGACGAAGGTCTTGTTGGCCTGCTTGCGGAAGTTGGGGATGGCGTGGTCGACCCAATACTGGTACAAGTCGCCCATACTCTTTCCAGATGCGAAGAACTCGGTTGCCAGGGAGCTGAAGTTGTTGCAGTTGAGGAACAGCTCGTCACCACCAATGTGGAACCAGTTGTCAGGGAAGATGTCGGCGACCTCCTTGTACACCTTCCCGGTGATCTCGTAGGTCTTGTTGTTCAAGATGTCGAGCTGGCCCGGGTTCGGCTCAACGGCAGTGTGTAGCGCCCAGTCATCGTTCGACCACCAGCTGTTCTGGCATGTTAGAATGCTCTCGTCGATCTGACCCCACCCAGAGCTGGCGTGGCCGGGCATGTCGATTTCCGGAATGATACGAACGGCGCGAGCTGCAGCATAGCTGATGATCTCCTTTAGAGTCGCCTGGGAAAAGACCTCGTTACGCGAGTACGCGTCATCAGTCATTTCGGGGTAGGCGGAGATCTCCAAGGGCCAAGACTGAGAGTCAATGATGTGCCAATGCAGGACGTTCAGCTTCGAGAGTGCCATTCCATCGATCTGCTCAAAGATCTTCTTCTTGGAGATGAAGTTGCGGCCGGTATCGATCATGATACCACGCACGGGGTAGAGGGGCTCGTCCTGGATGGACACGGGCTGCTCAACAATCAAGTTACCTTTGCCGTCGTTGATGATGATCTGCTGGAGAGTAGTGAAAGCATGAAGTGCGCCGTACACGGTCTCAGCGGAGATGTCAACAGAGCCAGATCCTTCGGAGATTTCCAATGTGTACGACTCGTCAACACCGTGCTGCAGAGCGGCGTGGGTGTTGGTGATATCGACGTTGACAGTAGTAAGACGACCTGTGCAGTTGCCGGTTGGGGGTACGCCATATTGCCTCTTCTTCCTGGACTTCTTGGAAGCGGTTGATGTTGGAAATGGTTCAAACTCGCGGATTGGTGCTTCAATTGCTGCAGGGATCCACTTCAGCTCGGTAATAGTATTGGTGGCACGGTCGAAGGCTTGCTGCAAGACTTCATGATCGGGTGCTGACAGGGTCAATGATCCGACTGAGAAGCACCCCGAATCGCCCCAAGTGATGTTGGAAGGTTTGGGTAGTGGGTTGGCGGCAACAGCTTCGACATTCCTGGCGAACAGGATTGAAGCCGTAGCCACGGAGGCTAGGAGGAAGTCGCGCATAGTAGTGATTGTGTGCTTTACGCTTGCAAATGGTCTGAAATGACAGAAGATCGAAATCTTAAGTGGTTCGAGGTCGAGGGAGGAGACAACGAAACAACGAAACAACGAAACAAACACGGCTGAGCGAATGACCAACGGTGGATAAAGGATGCTATTTCAACCCAGTGAGCATCCAAGGAAGTGAAAGACAAGGCCGCACCGGGGGCTTCACAGGCCGCGCCGCGTCGGGTTCACTTCACTAGCGGTGCTGGGGGGTTGGTGAGATAGGCTAGCGAACTCAGCCTTGCTGCATCTCAGCAAGGGAGGCTCTCGCCGCTGCAACCATGCCAGTGCATGCTTACCAGTCGAATGCGCGCTGCGGCGTCAAGATGTTACTTGCCCCGCGCCAACACGAAAATAACAACCACACCTTATACTGGCTGTCTTTCTTTTGAGCCCGCCACCGCAACCCTACGATCGTGAACCAACAGCCTTCACAGTGAACCGCATTGACTTTCCTGGTCGGTGCGTGCAGCTCGTCTCCACCACCCGGCCGCCGATCAGTCGACGCGCTAAGATAAACGGCTTGTCACCCCAGGATATGCATGTTTCGTGCAGGGTTACACGCGCTTTTGCAACAGGCCGTCAATGACTGTTTTGGTGCATATATGCATGCGGCCGGGCAGCCTTATCGTCATCTTGCATGCCGCCTCTCAGCTTGTGATTTCAGTCGTCCGGCGTCCAGTACACGAAGAATGCGAAGGTCGAAGAATGAAGCTGCAAAGGGGTGAAGTCACGTTTAGCCGACATTGAAGCCGAGGATTTTCGCCTCGAGGCACAGCTGCGCGTCGTCCAAGCGAAGGAGGGAGCGCAGCACCAAGGAGGAAGGCGCCGCTCGGTTGCGGAGATCAGACAATGCAGCGGGCGAGATCCGAGGGCTGCAGGCTGCGATGGATGCCGAGTGACATGTCTCATTAAACTCTACATGCCATTCTCGCCAGAGACATGCACAGCTCTCCCTAATGAAGGCTGACTGCATTCTCGTCCAAAGCATGACAAGCCCTGCTTGCTCAACCACGCGTTTGACATTGCGCCACCTTGCCGTCAGCCCTGGCAGACGCTCATCTGGAATGTCTGAGATGCTTTGATGCTTTGATGCTTTGTCGAGTCAACGACCACAGGCAATGACGCGCTGTCGTCAGGCTGTGAACGATCCGCCTAAAGCGCAATGTTTCAGATATAAATTGGCGCGGATTGATAAAGTGTATATCCGGACCGCGGATGAATGCGGAATGCTGGGGTTAGGATGGTGGTCTACGATCTGGGCACCGACATATCACAGCAAACTCTAACGATCAAGTTGGACAACATGCAGGAACCCGACTCCACAGTTACAGAGGGACAGTGTGTACACCGCTCGATTCAAGGTTGCCCGCTGCTGCCACCGAGAATAGGTCCATCAGCTGGAGGCGCAGCATGCTCGGTGCCGTCGGTAGCGTTCCCCGGACGCTTTGCATGCTTGATGGTCCACCAGTCTGGCGCAGGCACACTCAGCAGTTTACATACATCTCGTCTTCTCATCCTGAAGTCATCGTACAGATGCTTCCAGATCTTCCTCTCTGCGCAGCTTCCCGTCTGACTCCCACCGCAGTCAGGCTGCATCTCCTCCAGGCCCTCTGTAGGCCACATGATCCAGGGCTTGGGCAGCGGCCAGTCGCTGAAATGAACGAGCTTGGCTTCGCTGTAGACCTTCTCAGCGTCCCACTTCTCATAGCTGTTTCCAAGGTAGGCACTGTGATCGTGCTTCCTGAACTCGCCTGTCAACAGAGCATACGGGCGGTGTGGAAGCACCAGAGCGCTCTCCTCAAACCGCTCATTCACGAGCTCCATATCGAATCTGTGCACGCTGACAAGCTCGCTGTTGCCGCCTCCCCCGATTGTCTTCTTGAACCGCTCGAATTCGTCCAAGTCAGGCTTGATGACCATAAGCATCGATGTGAGCGGCCACGGCTTGCTGTCGGCCCAGTATGCGCGGGGCATGGCCATGGGCGTCTGCGGGAGGAGGAAGAGCTCGTCGAGGGGCTTCAGGAGCATGACGTCCGAGTCGATCGCAATGACACGGTCGTAGTACGCGAGCGAGAATGCCATAAACTTCGTGACTGACTTATCCCATGTCCCTGTCCATTCATCTGCAAAGGCCGTCAGCACCCTGTTCACTCTCCACCGGATCTTTCATGCGTAGGGCGACGGGTTCGCGTGTAACTGCGCATCCTGCTCATCGTACCTTTGGTGCGACCCTCGACGGTCATAAGCTTGACTGGGTGCAGCTTGACGTTGTACTTGTCGCGCGCCAGGACGAGCAGCTGGCTGTCGCGGTCTCTGGCGCTCGTCACTTCCGTGTCCCAGTACTGGGGGTAGAAGAGGACGCGGTCTGCCTTGCTGCCGAGCCTGGCGAGCGCGTCGAAGAGGAGAAGGGCATGGCAGAGCGTCGCGCTGTCGGTCGCATACAAGCTGTACGCGTAGTTGGACCAATTGGTCACGCCGTTTGTGGACGCTCGACCTGATGAAGGGTAGAGGAACCAGCAGACGAAAAGGAAGCCGCACAGGTAGTAGGCGTATCGGCGGTGGAAGCGAAAGGGTTGCGCGTCGTTGTCCCTCGTGTACCGAGGGAGCTCGTCAGATCGCCTTCGACGCATGATGTGAGTGCGCAGCAGGCATCTTGTCAGTTCTGATCAAAAGTTTGGTTGCTTGCTCACGGAGGTGTCGGCGAGTGACGTTGAATTGTCTCCGGAGCTTTTGCGCTTTGAATGACGGTCGAACCGACCCTGATCCTGGACGTTTCAGCGCCCCCGTCAAGACATATACTTGTGTCGTACAGAATGATGCAATCATGGCTTGCGGCCTTCGGTGGGTATTCTCGTGACATGCTACATATGGTTGAGGCCTTGAGCCGGCCTAGTCAATGGCGACCCATTTATCCTACATTATTCAAAACGCCAATTCAAACCCAATCACTTCTCAAATCGCGACAGGCACGATCCACTCGCATTTCGGAGGAGTGAGCGGTATGTCCTCGTCGTTGCTGAATCGACCCATCTGTCCCACCCTTCTGTAGATCTCTTCCAGCAGCTTGCCCGCCTCGCCCTCGTACTCTTCTGGGTCCCCTTCTTTGTAACGGTCCTTCGGGTCAATTGGGCCAGCTGCTTGATTAAGGTTTTGTTGTGCCTGCGCCGGCGCTGGAGCTGGCTGACTTTGGGCGCCGAAGGGCGACTGAGTTGTTGCAGGGGCCGGAGCTGGCGGTGTTGGCTGGCCAAACGGATTTTGAGCTTGCGTGGCTGAAGTCTGAGCCTGTTGCCCACCAAGACTGGGTGCTCCAAAGGCAGGTGCGCTTGGTTGGCCAAAGGCAGGAGCTGGTGTCGCCGCAGCAGCTCCAAAAGGATTTGGTTGAGCCGCGTTTTGCTGGGTTTGTGCTTGCCCGAAGGGATTTGGCTGTTGCCCTGACTGTGCTGCTTGAACAAATGGAGACTGAGAGCTTTGTGTAGCCTGTTGACCGAAGGGTGATTTGTTGGACTGGGGCTGCTGGCCAAATGGCGAAGATCCTGAGCCAGTCTGTGCTGCTTGCCCGAATGGGCTCTGTCCGAAGGCAGGTTTACCAAAAGCACTCGACTGCTGGGTCTGCCCCAGAGCGCTTGCCTGGCCGAAAGCCGAGCCCTGAGCTGGTGTAGATGCCTGTCCGAACGCTGGTGTGTTACCAGGAGCTGAAGTCTGCCCGAAAGGCGACTGCTGACCAAGGCCACTGGGTTGCCCAAAAGCACTCACAGAGCCCGGCATGGACGTCTGACCAAAGCCTGCGCCACCGAAAGCAGGCTTGCCGAAAGCACTTCCACCTCCTGGCGCTGATGGCTGACCGAAAGGCGATGGCTTCTGGCCCAGTGCTGACGACGCGCCGAAAGCAGAACCGACGTTGCCAAACGCTGAGGTGTTCTGTCCGGGAATTGATGGCTGTCCAAAAGCTGAGGTGGTCTGGGCAGGATTTGAAGCTTGACCAAAGGCCGGTTGTCCGAATCCAGGTTTTGAAGGCTGTCCAAATGCAGATCCTTGTGTCGATGACCCTGATGGAAATGGATTGCTGGAGGCTTGTGCGAAAGGACTCGAGCTGGAGCCTGAGTGTCCGGCTTGCGCGGAGGTTCCTCGCACCATGTCCAGCCTGTTTGGATGTACATTTGCACCTTCTGCTATGTACCGAACAGCGCCCTCAATGTCGTCTGCTATCGCTTTGATCTGTTGTTGCATCTTCGCGTGCAGTTCGGTCTCTTCTTGTTGCTATGTTGCGATTAGCTCGAGTTCGCCGTGATTCAGTGAGTACTTACAGCAACATTCTCGTTACCTGCAGCTCGTTGCGTATAGTATCTTACGCGAAGTTCTTCCGGGCTGATCTCTACAGGACCTTCGATGAGTTGTCGCGGGGCATCACGACCGGGGCCATAGCATGAAAGCGGATAGATCGGTCGCTGGCCAGAGAGATCTGCTCGTATATCCGCGATATCTAGATGGTACGGCAATGTCTTGCTGTCACGACCGGCTGATTTCTGTCAGAAGATGTCATGCATGTAGTCGCGTAGCCGGAAGGTGCACAATCGGAAGCGACTTGTTCTACGTGAAAAGGACTTCAGATCGATGAGTGAAAGGCTTACTTCCAAATGCTCCGCCTGAGTTCTGATTAGGGCGATAGGTGTCGCCGCCGCCGAAGGCACCAAAACGGTTGTTGTTAGTCGATCGCCCGCCAAAGCCTCCACCAGCATTTCGATTGCCATCTCGCTGACTCCCAGGGTGCTCGAATTTGCAGTCGTCTATGCTGTGTCAGACACGTGATCTTACACGGCTTTCGAAACACTTGCCCCCAAACCGGCAGTGGCCCTGGAGATAGAATTTGCAGACAGTCATGCCGGTGCCGTAGCCAAGAGCGGATGTGGATGGTCTTTAAATTGGAGCTCCCAATAGGCTGGGTGGATGTCAGTATGTAGCTGAGCCGCGATTCCACAAGTCGATCGAAAGCAAAGTCCAAGGCTGCACTTCGGGTGAATGAACGGTTCGAAAGACGCGCCGCGCTAGCAACACTGGTAGCGTGCAATGGCGCGCAGCATGAGCGCAGCAACCATTGTGCACCAAACCATGCTTTGCAGTTACCTCTGCCTGATGAAGCTCTGAGTGAAGTTTTGCGACGGACCCTGATCTGCTTATGCGCATCTCGAGCCCTGCATGACGACAAACTTGAAGACGCGCTCTGATTCGGCAGCTTGACTTCCCTGGACGCAAAGTGGACTGACAGTATGAGACTGGGCCTACCTGGGAGAGTGAATGAATGACGTGGTTGTTGTTGTTGTTGTTGTTGTTGTTGTTGTTGGTTTTGTTGTTGACGTATACAGTGTATTTTGACACAGCCTGGAGGTGAATATGGCTGCTGGCTGGCCGTGGTTGCAGGAAGGAGCCCTGTCTGCTGCGATCCCTGCTAGCGTCATCGCGCGTGGAGCTCAAATGTTTATTGCGCTCATGGATGCAACAAAGCACAACACCGCGCCCCTCAACGAGTCGACCCACGGGGCTACACAGCCACACCGCCGACAACACTGTCCGGCCCATGACCGCGCGAGGCACTGCAAGCCTCACCCCTTGGGCACGATGAACGGCGCCACTCCCGCGCGCAGAGGGCCTGGCGGGTTTCCTGCAACACCACAGATGTCGAATCGCTCGCCCGGCGTGCGCAGCCCCAGTGCCTCCACACCGTCGCGACCAAACGCGCGGTCGCCCATACAAGATGTTCCCAGGGCTGCACCTGCGCCGCAAAGCTCAGGGCCTGTCATCCCGTCCGAGGTCCTCGATGCGGCACAGCAGCGCTTCTACCTATTCGCCATCTACATGGCCCTATGGGCCTACCGTTCCTATGACTTCTACACACTCGCCGTCGAGGAGGACGAGTCGCTATGGCTGTGCCTCAAGTGGTGCTTCTTCGACATGATCTTCATGTTTGGCGTCCCGCTGCTGGAGATTCCCTGGCTGGAGTGGAGCAACGGCGCTGCCTTTCTGTTGTTCGTGGTACACGCCGCGCTCGACGTCATGCTCATGTTTCGCATTGGCATACCGGTCCAGGCGTGGGCTGTCAGCTTGGTCGGCTTCCTGTGGGACAGCGAGCTTGCCATTAGCGAGCGCAGCGTCAAGCCAGGCTCTATCCTGCACAACGCCTCGCTGATCCTGGGAAAGCAGATCGTCAACATTCTGCCCGAGGGATCCGCAATCCTGAACCCCAACAAGGAGCCATTCTGCCTGAACTCGACCGTCACCCATCTGGAGATCCCCATCATGATCAACCAAACCGAGCCGATCGAAATGGAGCTTCTGCGCATCGACTTCGAGACCAACGTCAACGAGACCATCACAATCAAGAAGTCTGAGCTCGGCAAGATGCTCAAGAAGGCGCGGAAGTCGACGAGATCTGCGCATCCCGACGATCCATTGACACTGCGATACACCGTAAAGAAACCGGGTGTGTACTTGCTCCAGAAGGTCCTAGATCACACGAAGCTTCAAGTGCGACCGCGCGCGGCTAGTTTGATTGTCGCGTCCTGTCCGCAAGCCCGAGTGAAGCCGACAGGCGACAGCCGCTGCCGTAACGATTTGTCCAATGTTGCGCTGGAAGTCGAGGGTACGCCACCGCTCAACATCAAGTACCAGTTATCAGTGAACGGCAAGCCACGCGGTGTGTCCGAGTTCCATAATCTGCAACCCGACGACGTCATCTCCCCTCTGTCACGACACAATCCACAAGCATTGGTAAAGCATGGGCGCGAGGACGTTTCCTGGGCGCGATCGCAAAAGGTCTCTGTTCCTCTAAACGAAACACTCTCCACTAGCGGTCGATGGGAGTACGAAGTGGTGGAGGTGCAGGACGGTCTAGGCAACATTGTTGACTTCGTAAACGTCGACGACGATGAGCGGCCAAAGGCCAAATTCTACGGGATTCGTCAGTCGTTCGAAGTTCGTGAACGACCAAAGGCTTACTTGAGAGGCTGCGATCCTTCGAGACCACTTAGAGTGGCCAAGGGTGAGGTCGCCCGTCTACCAGTCCACTACGGTTCCACCGGCAAGCAGGCCATTGAAGGCGCACACGCCATTGAGTATCTGTTCACACCAGAGACGGATATTGTCAACAATGGTTACCACAGCCCAAATGCTGCATTGAAAAGGCAAACCATGCGAACCATTCGGGAACAGCCGCTGATTTCTAACGCTGGTCTTTACACGATCAAGACTGTGTCTACTGACTTCTGCGAAGGAGAGGTGCTCGAGCCAGCCTCGTGTCTACTCCAAAATCCTCCGGAGCCAGGTCTCTCTTTGACCAGCGAAGACATTGTAGACAGATGTGCCGGCAACCCTATTGGTCTGCGCGTTGGTCTTGACCTTATCGGAAGCCCACCCTTCGTGATCAAGTACACGGAACACATCAACCACCGAAAGATTCCGAGGGAATTGCAAATCGCCACTCTCCGAAGCACGGCTGATTTCACACCTCAGGACGCAGGTCACTACAAGTACACCTTCGAGAGCATTCGTGACTCCGTCTATAAGGATACGCCTCTGCGGAATCTTGAGTTGCAACAGAACGTTAGGCCGTCTGCGAAGGCATCATTTGTGGACAGCAAGCGAACCAAGCAAGTCTGCATCGATGACTCGGTAGACTTTGACGTCAAGCTGTCAGGAGAGGCGCCTTGGAAGCTGGAGTACGAGCTTGTACACAACGGTAAACGCACCAAGCGCACCGTTGAGACAGAGGAAGAGTACTACACCATTAGGACTGAGAAGCTCCGCAGCGGTGGCGAGTACATCGTGACCTTGGCAAGCATCAGCGACAAGATGGGTTGCAAAGAGTATCTGAGGGAGGAGGCCAGGGTCAATGTACGCCATGAGCGACCCAAGGCCTACTTTGGACACATTGAAGGCAAGCAAGCGATTATGGCGCTTGAGGGTAGGACGATCGGTCTACCTCTTCGTTTTACTGGCAATGCACCCTGGCGGCTAGAATACGAGAACTTGGATACGAAGGAAGTTAGGAAAGAGACTTTCCAAAACGCAAACGCATTCCTGGACGTAAAGACAGATGGCACATACCAGCTGCTTTCGGTCAAGGATGCCGTTTGCCCTGGACTGATCGAAGAGAAGGCTGACCAGTTCTTGGTTCAGTGGGTTGCTCGACCCAAGCTGACTGTTCCTGAGTCAGACGCTATCGTATTCGAAGGCGGCAAATACACGAAAGAGCCAGTCTGCGAAGGAGACGAAGACGCGCTGGAGGTATCGCTTCATGGTGAGTTAAACTACAAATCTAGGACACACTTCGTGTTACTGACGCACATACAGGAAACGCTCCGTTCGACGTCTCTTATCAGACACAACAGAACGATCCGAAGGGCAAGCTAGTGTCAGTCAGGAACAAAGACTTACACGTCGCAGGAGGCGCTGCCTCAATCCGAGCAGAGACGTCGCAAGCCGGCACTTACGAGTACACCTTCCAGAAGCTGGCCGACTCCAGATACAATCATTCCAAGAAGCACTTCTCCCCAGTCACCATCAAACAGACTGTCCACCCGCGCCCTAGCGCTCGCTTCGACAAGCCAGGAAAGACATACAGCTACTGCTCTAGAGAATCAGAAGGCGAAGAGGTCATCCCGATCACATTCGAAGGTGTTGCGCCGTTCTACCTGGAAGTAGAGATCAAGCATCATGGCACACCAAAGCCCGAAATCAGCATGCACAAGAACATCCCGACGAACAAGTACGACCTCAAAATTGAGCACCGCAAGCTGCATCTCGGACACTCTTCCATCTCTATCCGCAAGATCCGCGACTCGCGTGGCTGCACGCTTAAGCCTGCTCCCGGTGGTCCTCGCGTGCAGATCAGCGTGCACGATGCACCCACCGCCACCGCTCTGGAAGACCGTACGAACTTCTGTGTTGGCGAACGCCTCTCGTTCGCACTCGGTGGTCAGGTTCCGTTCACTGTCTACTATACATTCGAAGGCCAGGAGCGCAAGGCATCGAACGCAGGCACCACCTTCCGACGTCTCGCGGAGCTTCCCGGTACATTCACCATCACTGGTTTGCGCGACTCGGCATCTGAGTGCCTTGCGTCACTCGACCTTACAAAGAAGATCCACCCCATTCCCTCGGTCCGCCTGTCGGGTGGTCGTGTCGACGAAATTGACATCCACGAAGGTGGAGGCACCGATCTTGAGTTTCAGTTCTGGGGCACTCCGCCATTCGAGTTCACCTACACAAGGAGCACGAACGCCGCGCGTGGCAAGAAGAGCAAGGTCCTCGAGATCCGCACAGAGGTCAGCCACGAGATGAGCATGCGCATCCCCGTACAGGAGGAGGGTACGTATGAGGTGGTCAGCATCAAGGATGCGTGGTGCAGCTTTGCTCGCAACGATATCGAGGGTTTGGAGAAGAGCAAGGGTGGTGCTCAGAAGTTGCTGCAGTTCTAAGCGTACTTGGATCGTGACGAAGTGAAGATTTGTATTTGCATTGCTGGGCGTTGGGCGCAGCGTAAAAGGTCGATGAGGGTTGGAATTTGAATGGCATATGATGAAGCGGTTCGCAGCATACAATCCCTGATTGATTATATAAGCTCGATTGGTGTAGGTCCCCTATGCAACCACTTCGTCGTGACGCATTTCAATCATCAGGATACTCGTCCCTCAAGTTACTCACAAAGGTATGGCTCGCGTCATCCCAACGCTTGAAATGCCTCCCCGCAAGCTTCATTATAGCGGCAGAGGGCAGTGCGCCAGTCGCCATAGGCTCGATGTTCTCCGCAGCGACATAGCGTACGGATTTATCATGAACACTACGCATACAGTCAGCCATACAGCGTTTGATCACGACACTGTCGAGCAAGCACTTACAGCACATGATAGAACGCCTGTTCCCTCCCACCTGGCAACCGATCAACACCCATGTTCTGTATCCACTCCTCGCCCGCATCACAACTCGTGTCCCACCCCGTGATCACACCTTCATAGTGATACCGCTTATGCCTGAACAACTGCCCGATCTTGAACTCCACATTCCGCGCGCGCGCAGACCTCCGTAGCAGCGGTCGCCTCAGCGTATCAATTTGATGCATACTCTGCACAAATTGCAAAAGCCTCTGTCCCTCAGGCTGCGTATAGAACAGGGGAATAACATACTGCTCAAGCAGCGCAACATCCCACGCAAAATGGGTCTGGAAGTGCTCGAGCAGGTAGGGCAGGTACTGCCGTCGCCGCGACGAGACTTGCTGTATGGACCCCGGTGTTCCTTCGTCGCCGGGCCCGAGCATCAGCATGGCCCAGATGGTCGAGTAGAACGCGTTGTCCATGTCGGGGTATGCGTCTAGCCATGCCGCGCTGATCCCATGCACGCCGCCTTGCGTTTGCCGGATGGTTTGCACCGAGTTCATTATGTTGCGTGCCGTGCGCAGGACCATTTCGCGGGTTGTTGTGTCGGAGAGAAAGGTCTGGTGGTCTGTGGTTGGGACGCCCATGTCGCGGAGCACGCGTAGGAGGTCGGCTTGTCGGACTTCGTCTGAGGAGCGGAAGGGATCGAGGTACATGGAGTCGAGGGGCCCGGAGCTGCTGGGCTTGTATTCGCCGTCGAGACTGTGCCGTTCGGGCGCGTAGACGAGGCAGTAGACGTGGAATAGGAAGCCGCATGGGCGCGCATCGAGGCCGACTCTTTGGGCGAGCGCGCAGAATAGGGCGACGGATATGAGGGGTAGTGACTGGTGAGTGGGCGACCGGAGGACGAGGCCAATGAACGAGTTTCGTAATGCGCGGTATGAGGTGTCGGGTACGCCTTGGAAGCCCTGGTCGCGCAGATACGAGGCGAGCGTCGATGCCTTCGCCCTTGTGCTGAGCTCCCGGAAATCGGGATGCTCACTGAGCAGACCATTCGCCAGGCGGTCCAGGTCCTCTGACATCAGATCGAAGTCGACATCTTCCCCGCCACGCGCGAACATGTCGTATGCGCCCAGCGCCCTATCGATCGACACATCCTTCCCGTCCTGCACGTCCTTCCACACATTGATCGCCATCTCACGGTGTATGCGCTCCAGTGCAGCATTCGCGTAGTACCGCCTCGCCAGCACATCTTCGGCGTCATCTGGACAGGCGCACTCGCGCAACAGCGTCTCTTTCGCGTCATATCCGAACTCGGCGATGCCGTTGATGCATCGTATGCGTTCGTGTTGTGTCGCTAGAACATGGTCGAGTAATCGCCGTGTCTCGTGCTCAATGCGCTTCTTGCGAATGTAGAGGGCGCGCCAATTCACGGCGGGGAGCGGCCCTGCGAATTTGGCGGCGATATTGTGTTGAGGTGCCCATGTAGTGAAGCTTGTGCGGCAGAGGTGGCGCCAGATTATGGGTGAGTCGGTAGTGAGCTGCTTGATCAGCCTGTTGGACTGCGAGAGGGCGAAGAGCGAAGGCGGGTCGAGGTGCAGGAAGATGGCCTCGAGCACCTCCGTCGGCAGGTCCGTGAAGGCGGGGCCAGACATAGTCGTTGCAGGTAGGCGCTGGATTCGTTACAGCGCAGTCAGAAAGTTGGCTGCGCGCAACAGCGTGCAGGAGTTGTAGGTTCGGAGGCGACAATGCACGCTGGCAAGAATGTCGTCAATGACGACACACGCGTACGATGAGCGCATCGCGCTTAGCAATCGCTTCTGGAGGACTCACATCATCCGGCCATAGGATTTGGTAGGGCAGCCATAGACTAACCTAGATAGGCAGGTGGCCATAGAAATGCAAGGATTAGCGCATAGGTCTATGGCCAAGTGCAGCTATAATAGGTAATGTCTAAAAAGTATTTAGAATGGGGTTGATTGATTGATTGATTGATTGATTGATTGATTGATTGATTGGTTTAACGTCCTATCTGAGTCTAAGACTATGGAAGACGAGAGGAGCAGTAGCTCCTCTGGTAATGCAAAGATTTAGTTACATGAGAGTGAAGTCAATGGAGGTACAAGGGATGGTGAGGGCTCAGGCCCAGAGCAAAGATGCTGGAAACAAAAGAAGTACACAAAAAACAAACAAAGGAAAGAGCAGATGTTATGGCAACACTATGCCTGGTCTTCTGATGACTGCCCAAGATGCCACCTCCTTGTGCCAACCCTGGTCCTGCTGATAAAGTCCAAGGTGGCCTTGAT